AATTTTTAATTTTAAACAAACTAGACTGCTGTGAGGTGCAATTGTAGTTAGTGATGTTTTCTCTGATTAGAAGAAAGAGATGGTTTTAAAAGGTATATTATTTTGGTAAATGACACGTCCTAACATTTTTTTAGGGTTGCTTGCCTTTCATGTACAGAATTGAAATTTCATTTTGGTTAAGACTTTCATCTTCTCCACTCATACCTTTTAGATGTGCTGGTACCATCAAATACTAATTAATTTATTTGAATGTCATAACCTTTCTTTTCCTCAGCCTTTAATGGAATGTTTAAAATGATGTCATGGTGAACAAGAACAAAAGGCTTGAATTACTCAGCAGTTAGTTAATTCCTTCTGGAGTAATTTGGATAATATTTCATACATTTGCTAAGAGGACTAGTAAATCAAGTGTTATTCTTTGAATTTTCCATGTTGTGATCCACTGTGGCGTCTCATCAGACAGTATATAAATAACATTCCAAAATCAAAACGTGAACCTCATCTTTGCTTTTCTTCTCTTATGTTGTGATGAGCTCTTTCTATGTATATAATATTTACAATAAATACAGATCTTTATTTTTATATCCCAAATCTTAGACAAATTATAATATGTATTTCTTGGCTGTATACTTTGTCATTCTTGTGCATTGCAATTTACCTGTTTTATGGAATAAGTTTTATTTAGGGAATACTGAGGATTTTCAAAGTCATTGCAGTTATTTGGGTACTCAATAGAGTGAAAAAGTCTCTGGACTGAGAGTCAAGAATTGTGGGTTCTGGACCTGCCTGTTAGTGCCTTCAAGTATATGGTAGTTCCTTCATTGTATGCAATGCCATATTGAAAAAAAATTAATTCCAAGAAATAAAAACTAATTCAACCGTTACCTTTTTTAACCAAAGAGAAGCCATTATGTGATTGTGAATGCATCGGGCACAACTATTTATTTATTTATTTAGACAAAGTCTCTCTTCTCACCAGGCTAGAATGCAGTGGCGTAATCTCGGCTCACTGCAACCTCTACTTCCTGGGTTTAAGCGATTTTCCTGCCTCTGCCTCCCAAGTATCTAGGACTGTGGGCGCGTACCACCACAGCCACCTAATTTTTGCATTTTTAGTAGAGACGGGGTTTCACCATGCTGGCCAGGATGGTCTCAATCTCTTGACCTCGTGATCTGCCCACCTCTCTGCCTCCCGAAGTGCTGGGATTGCAGGCATGAGACACCACGCCCGGCCAACAATTTATTTTTCATGTATCAAACAATCTTGAGTTTTATTCTCCTGAATACCACTGTATTCTTTATATTGATTGTAGCTTTTTGACACTCCTTACATTTAATTCCATTTCTCTCCCAAGGTTTCCTTGCACATACGACACACCATATTGACTACTGCCTCTTATTTCTAAGGGACCAAAAAAAATTAGTCACTGGTAAATGTGGTTTCTTTCTTGTGAAAAGTTAAATTTTATCATCTCAGTAGAGCATATGAGTTTTTATTTTGCTATATATGATTCCTGGCTGGACATAGTGGCTCATGCCTGTAATCCCAGCACTTTGGCAGGCCAAGGAGGGCGGATCATCTGAGATCAGGAGGTCAGGAGGTCAAGACCAGCCTGGCCAACCTGGGAGACAGAGCAAGACTCCAACTCAAAAAACAAAACAAAAAAACATATATATATATATGTGATTCCCTAGATGAGTTTAAGTACAATCTCATATGGTAATATAATCTCAGGACTTAACAATTTTTTTAATTATTGAAATAAACTGCATTTGTACAATGTAACTGTTACTATTGGACATTATTATTAAATAGGCAGTCATGAAAATGTTTACTGAATATCACTAATAAAAGGAGGCTGCTTTGTTGAGTCTCATATACATACCAGTTGCCACTGCTTTGTATCTGTAGCCACAGTAACCCATCCCTTTGATGGTAGTTAGCTTGAATTATTTTGTACCAGTGCCTAGTTTAAATTAGCCATGTTAAGTAAAAAAAAAAAAAAAAAAAAGCCAAAAATGCTTACAAGAAAGGTCATTTGTTACACTGTAATTTATTTTAGATGCTTGCCTAATGCTATAAAGGTAAAAATGACATTTTAAAAGTATTTCATAAGGAAAGTTTTATGGGTTTGAAATATACTTTGGGTTTGTGGCTTTTAAAATATATTTTTGACATATCAGAATATTCTGTATGTAAAATGCTACAGTTAAATAGTAGCTAAATGACTCCAAAACTTGAAACATTTTTAGAATAGAAAATCAGAGGATGTCCAAATGGATTTTTTCTTTTATGAATATTTTTATGTGTATAAGAATTGTATATGTTGTATACCATGAGGTATGTTTTCCTGAATTAAAAATATAAAACATTCAGGACAAAATATCAAATGCTTATTATTTTCATTATTTTGCTACCTGTTCTTTAATACTGAAAAGTTGCCTTGTATCTTACGGACTTGAAATTTCTCTGGGCTTTACTTTTGAGTTATTAAATTCTAAATCAACTCAATGAACTAATTAATTGTTCAGTAAGTTTGCCTTTTCTTAATGTATACAGCAAGCTTGTCTGACCCATGATCCAATACAAATTCATAAACTTTTTAAAACTTTATGAGATAGTTTTACAATTTTTAAAAAGCTTATCAGCTGTTGTTAGTGTTAGTATATTTTATGTGTGGCCCAAGGTAATTCTTCTTCCAGTCTGGCCCAGGGAAGCCAAAATATTGGACACCCCTGGTATATAGCTTTCAGTGTTACATTATCTGCTGCTTGAAAGACTAAACTTGATAATGTTATGGTAACAGTTTATTTGTCTCTCAGAATTCAACCATGTGAGAGACAAATAGTTTCAAATGATAGGGATGGAAGGTACTTTGAGAGATTACCTGGATTCGAGCCTTCAGCCTACCAGTAATGTCTGTTAAGTAAAAACCTAGTATCTTTCTTTATGAACACCTGGCCATTGGCTTTCTTTAATCCAGCTGGCCATTGAAGAACAATACTGTGAATAAAAGATATTTGAGTTTTTTTAATGCGTATATTTTAAAAATCTCTTATCCTTTGGAAAATATATTTCATTATCCTTTTTATGTTGAGAACTGTTATGAATAAATTTTTCTTTTACTTAACATAGCTAACACTGAAAAATTTCCTAAAAAATGTAGATTATGCCTCTAGTAGAATGAATGGTGAGTTTTTAGTAATGAATATAAGAAATCTGGATAATAAAGCTAAGTAATAAATGTTATAATATGGTATTTATTACTTTTATAATATTTGGACATTAAAGAATTTTAAGTAAATTTTAATAAAAATGGTTTAGAATATAAGTAAGAAATCTGTTTACTTTTCACAGGTCATCAGTGCATGTGTGTGCACATGCATGTAACTGATTTTTATCAATTGAAGCAGAGAGGAATGTGTTGTTGACCTTTAAGGAATACCTGTCAAGAACATAAAATCCTTAAAGTACTAATGTACTAATGAATAATGAAGCTAATTGAAAAGTAAACTTCTAGCTAGGCATGGTGGCCCATGCCTGTAAACCCAGCACTTTGGGAGGCCAAAGCAGGCAGATCATTTGAGGTCAGGAGTTCAAGACCAGCCTGGCTAACATGGTGAAAACCCATCTCTACTAAAAATTAAAAAAATAAAATAAATTAGGTGGGTGTAGTGGCAAACATCTGTAATCGCAGCTACTTGGGAGGCTAAGGCAAGAGAATTGCTTGAAGTTGGGAGGCGGAAGTTGCAGTGAGCTGAGATCGTGCCACTGCACTCCAGCTTGGGCTATAGAGTGAGACTCTGTCTCAAAAAAAAAGAAAACGTAAACTTCTTTATAAATCACTTTGAATATCTTTTATGATACAGAGTAGGTATTCATAAATTGTTGCATGAAAACTCTATTGATAAAATTTTAATAGATCTCAAACTCCTATAGATCGCTCAAGCGATCCTCCACATTGGCCTCCCAAAGTGCTGTGATTATAGGCATAGGCCATTGCAGGCAACCAAAATGTGATTTCTTAACTTTTCCTTTTGGTAACCAGGAACAGGTTTAGAAGATTTTGGTTACTGAATTATTGTCACTCATACATCTGTTAATTGCTTGTCTGAATCATAGTCACCTTACTGTACTGACAATTAGTAGTTATTGATGACTTAGTTCTTGTTAAGTACAGACTTTGTCTGACATAGATATTTGCCAGTAATAGAAAATATGCTTGAGTTTCATAAATATGTATATTGCAGCTTTATTCAAAATCTTAATGTCGATAAGGACAAAGTTCTTCATTATACTAATGTTAATTCTGTAGGAGAATCACAAAGAAAACAATTTACACTTATATTGTATGCTGCCATTTACAAAGTGTATTGGTTTTTAATAACCCCTAAAAGTAGGCAGGGTAGGCTATAAGACTTATTTGACAAATGGGAAAAGTGAGGCTCAGAGATCAAGTGACTTGCCCCAACGTCAGACAGAAGTAGAAGTAAAGTCAAAATTTGATGCTAGGTTTTGTATTTGAAATTCCCTCTACTATATTGCATCCTTTTTGGTATATTTATCTTCCTTATCATCTCAATATTATATAACAATAATATAGGGATCAGAAACCTAAGACCAAATTCCACACTTTAAAAAAAGAAAACCTCATCTACATGCTTAGTGCTGTGCTAACTCCTATGATAATTCAATAGATCGATTGTGCTCCTCATTTCTTTTCAGGGGTATGCACCTTGAGAAACTACATATTATTGCCTGTCACAATATGTAACCCATCTTAACACTACTAATCTTGGTCTTTTAATGTAGAAAACTTGGTTGTGTATTAATATAGGTAGTAACACAAGAAAAACACTTCTAAAAAGAATATTTGATGACACATTTAACATTTTTATTGTGGTGACAGTTGAATAAATGTTATTTTTGTCCTTAAATGAGATTATTATCTTATCCAAAAGTATACTATTGGTTCAGATTTGTCATTTCGGCTTTACAGCAGTTAGAAGAAAAAAGTGAAGATCAAGAAGACAAGGAATGTTTAAAACAAGCAATAACAGCTTTGCTTAATGTTCAGAGTGGTATGGAAAAAATTTGTTCTAAAAGTCTTGCAAAACGAAGACTGAGGTGAATATTTTTACTTTTTAAAATACCCTTTTCACCCTGAATATTGTGGTGTAAATTCAGGGATCCCAGTTCCCTCCTCAAGTAAACAATGAAGAAAATAGTTTTAGTGACAAGCTGGTCTTTCAGAGGAAGTGACATCAAAGCCAAGAGAATTGTTATTGTTTGAAAAACCTTTCATATTTGTGCATTTTCCTTGCATACTCCCAGACAAGACCTCCTGAGAGTCAACTGGTAAGCTAAAGGAGAGACACAGTAAAATGTATTGGGTAGATTTATGCTGGCATCATTGTTCTGTCAAAGTAAAATTATTAGTGTCCTTTAGTTTAGGGATTATATAATTTGAGGCATTAATTCAGATAACATTGCTTCCACTTTCCTAATTATAATAAGTGCTACATGTTTTTCGCTTTGGGTCTTATCCATTTAAGCACTTCTAAATAATTTACAAATCCCCCCCCTTTTTTTTTTACTGTATTGGGCTACTTTTTAATATTTAAAATATTCTAAATATTTAGTAGCCAAGATAGAAATGATCATTTTATAGTTAAATTTGTAGGGTAGAATTTTGTCAATGATCATTGCACTTTTTAGAACACTGAAAAAATTTACTAGGTTGCTTTAATTTTCAAAATTGTGTAATTGTGTATCACTAATATATTGGGGAATTAGTGAATACCTTTCAGTGAGCCTTTTAAACATCTACTTTTACACTTTCCCTTATTTACGTGAACTCTGGGTTTTCTGTCATCTGTGTACTAATAATGCCTTTTTCTTTATTCCAGTGAATCTGCATGTCGGTTTTATAGTCAACAAATGAAGGGGAAACAACTAGCAATCAAGAAAATGAACGAGATTCAGAAGAATATTGATGGTTGGGAGGGAAAAGACATTGGACAGTGTTGCAATGAATTTATAATGGAAGGAACTCTTACACGTGTAGGAGCCAAACATGAGAGACACATATTTCTCTTTGATGGCTTAATGATTTGCTGTAAATCAAATCATGGGCAGCCAAGACTTCCTGGTGCTAGCAATGCAGAATATCGTCTTAAAGAAAAGTTTTTTATGCGAAAGGTACAAATTAATGATAAAGATGACACCAATGAATACAAGCATGCTTTTGAAATAATTTTAAAAGATGAAAATAGTGTTATATTTTCTGCCAAGTCAGCTGAAGAAAAAAACAACTGGATGGCAGCATTGATATCTTTACAGTACCGGAGTACATTGGAAAGGATGCTTGATGTAACAATGCTACAGGAAGAGAAAGAGGAGCAGATGAGGCTGCCTAGTGCTGATGTTTATAGATTTGCAGAGCCTGACTCTGAAGAGAATATTATATTTGAAGAGAACATGCAGCCCAAGGCTGGAATTCCAATTATCAAAGCAGGAACTGTTATTAAACTTATAGAGAGGCTTACATACCATATGTATGCAGGTAAGAAATACAAAGTTGGCTGTCACTTTTGTTTTCCTGCTTCAAACTGATTTTCTTTCCTGCATGGTTATTGTGCCTAAAATAGAAAAGAAACTAACAACCAAAGACCTCTTTTCTTTGACTAAAAATACCAACACTCTATATTTCTTTGGAATGTTTTATTTTTTCTACTACACTTACATACTTTTTTTACCATCAGTTATAGATGAGAAAATGAGGTCACTTGGCTAAATTTATCCAGTTAGAAAGCGACAGAAACAAGACTAAAGTTCGTAGTAAATCATCGTTAACTAGGATCTGAAAAGTTTACTCCTTTATCTTTTTTCCTTCACTTTCTATTACTGAGATTATAAAGTAAAAATGTTAATATAACAAAATTGTTATATTACTATACAAATATATACAGCATTGCTTTCTCTCAATTTCCACTCCTAAACCTGATTATTTAATATTAAATGTGGCAATCCTGGAAGCCAAGGATTCCAGTTTTATTATTTTTCACCTAGAAATGTCTATAGTCAATGTATTTATTTTATTGACCCAAAAATTTGAAAAATTAACCATAGGAAATAGGTTGCCTAGATTTTACATGAAAAACAAATAGGTTATCGTCATTTTTTTCCACATAAAGCTGTTTTTTGAGAGGTACAATTTTCAGTAGTATGACCTGCTAATTTAGTTGTATTTCACCAACCTTCTCGATACTCTTTTATGATCTAGACACAACTATAAAAATGTTTTGTTAAATTACCCAAAATTTGTGGTTCCAAAATACTTCTTTGCTGCTTAAGAAATTTTTAAGGTTATAAAAGTTAAATTGCCCTGCTTTCCACATTTTCCTGGTTTTTAAGTCCCCTTAGAGGACTCAGAATTTTTATAACTAAGCATTCTAAACTTTTTATCATTTCATCCTAAACACTTTTGTTTGGGGTTCCTAGACTCATTTGGAGTAAAATTAATCTTTAGATTTTTATCTGTGTTTGTAAGAAAGAAGTTTTAATTTTTTTTTTCCTGTAGAGGATTTTAAATGGCAACTGCTGAAGAAGTTACTACTAGTGTTTACTGTCACAAGTCAGTGATCTTTGGGCAGGAAGAATTTTCAAATTATAAAATTTGTAATTGTTTCTGTAAGACTTGATTGTTAGTAATAAAAGTTTTCTTTAAATTGCTGTATTTCACAAAGTTAATTTATGATTATTAATAAGCAGCTGAGGAACGACAGCTGTTTTCTGAGGAACTATGTTTTTTGTTTTTTAAATGAGGACATTTTAAAGCAAACTTGAACAAACTGATAACTTGTTCTGTAGTCTTGAAAGTCTTCTTAATGTGTACAATGCTGGCTAAAGTCTGTGGATGTGGGCTTTTGTAATGATGTTTTGTTATTTCTGATCTTTTCTATATCAATTTTTAGCTTTGATATAGAGTAATATTTTGAGTGCTTTTACTTCTAATAAATATAAAACACTTAAATTTCAAAATTTATAGAACCTTGTCAAAGTTAAGTGTATTGAAAATTTAAATTGATGGTATTATTTTACTTAAAAAAATAAGTTTAAAAAAATCCTTCCAATAATTTCTTGAGAAATAAAAGGCCAGTGTTGGTTTTAGAAGTGCTATGGCTAAGTTTTTTGACATTTTTCTTTTCTATCTTCTTTTGAAGCTTAACTGAATATGTCATAAATATATTACTGGTGAAACTGTAGTCTACAAGCAGCTTTTGTGAGTTGTGGTTTACAGTACACAAAAATTAGTGTTAACTGTTAGCTTATTTGGTCTATTCTGTAAGGTCTGTTACTGAACTTATTACTGGCAACATAGAATGGGTTTTTAATAGATCAACATCTATGAACTTGTAAAACTGAAACGGACTTTTAAGGCCTCACTACAATGATAACAGATCAAGTTACCATTTGTTTTTAAGAACTATTGGTCTGTTCTTCTCTTACCTTTCGTCAGCCTACCCAAAGAAAAAAGGGATTTAATGATTTGGTTAGTAGGTATATTTATTGGAGAACATACAGTACAGGTTGTGGCTTACACTGAAACAAAGCTAACATTTAACTTACACATTTTTATTATATAGAATTGTAATAAAAGACATTGGATATCATACATGAGAAAATTTAATAATACTATAAGACATCACTTACAGACATCTTTTCGATTATTATAGTTTGGTTAGACATTGTCTAAAAACAGAAGAGAAACTGGTTTAACCTTACTTTATTCAGACTTCACTGTGGTGTTCAACCAACCTTTTGTCTCAAGTGTTTAAACAGTAATGTACAAAACGGAGCTATAGATCTCTAGTGCTCAAAGAGATGTACAAATCCCAAGTCCCCTGAAAATACGATTTGCCAGAAGTCATATCACCAGTTAATTCCAGAACATGGACTTGAAATTAGGTTTCTTGACTCAGTAGAGTACTTTTCACCTAATTACACTGACTTATATAAGGTGACTGTTTTCATGAATAGAATATGTTACAACTTTTAAATTATATGTGTTAATAAAAGGATCTGGTACAGATGTGAACTCATAAAAAATAAATAAATAACTTGAACTTCCAGTAATATAAATGGCTTGTTCATTTCTGGGCAATTGTGTGTACTATCAAAATATTGTAATTTTTTTTTCTTATTGAAATAGGATAGAGGTGAGTCCTCACTATAGATACACTTCCATTGGAATGCATAGATTTTTTTTTATGTATAGTTAGATACTGGTCATTATCTTATTTTTTTTTTTTTTTTGCAATTAGAAAATGGTTGACTTGCTTAAAAGATTGCAACAGGGTCTTATGTGGAATCTATAGCTTGATTTGGTGTTTCTGGATGTATCATAATTCCTAACTATATTAGAACTTTGGGATTTGTCCCAAAAGCTAGGGGAAAAATCATCCAATTGGATGGATCATTCTAAATCTGGCAATGATAGGAAGAGACTATTTCCTTATCCTAAGTAAGAAAGCAAAAAGCAATATGTACAAAGAAAAAGTTGAGAGTAGGAATTTCACTTCTGTTACAGAGTTGTAGGCAACAGAGTATAAGTTAGTTAATGAGACTAAAACAACGTGAGTAGAGAAATGGTAGGTGGTGTGGTGTCCAGTTTAATAGTCTGTTTTAGAAAAATGAGATGACTCTGAAGTAAGGAAAATAATTCAGAATTGACATTTTCGGGGAAATAAAGACTTTGCATATTCAACTGTGGGAAAAGGTGTTTCCCTTGCATGGGAATTTCTCTTACACAGAAGATGATATTGAAAAAAACTTAAGCCAAAAGATACTTTTCTTTAAAGTATTTACTGCTATTTTATATCTTCATATGGGAAAGCCTCAAAAACCTGAATTAGATTTGAGTTTTGTCCTATATAAGCTCAGTTTGGGTGTTTTAACTTTTTTAAATCTTTGAACAATTTTTGATCTGTAGGGCAGTACTGTTCTATTTTTAAACTGATTTTTTAAAAAAGTGTTTGTGCGTCAGCATAGCGTCTGTTTCCTTTTTTAAGGAATTCAAGACTGATTGTTTATAAATCCTTGTTGAGGAGCTTATTGTTTCTTGTAGCTTTTTAAATGGCTGCTTTAAAGGGAGAATTATCACATGAACAGACATCCTGATTAACAGTGTTCTACTATGGTGGTTGGGTGTAGGGTGGTCTTTACGTAAATAACTTTTTTATGTAATAAATATTTCACAAATCTCATTGACCTTGTCAAATAAAATGTCAAGTGTCAATTAAAACAGGCACATAAGGAAAAAAGATTAGATTATCACTTCCAATCTATATTCTGAACACTAATGTAGGTATATTTTGAGTTCCTAAAATCTTGAAGAATTGTGCAGTAAAATATCGAAGAATGGTGGTTTTACAGTGAGGAAGACAGAGACAGCTAGAAGGCTAGTATACAGAAATAACTATAGCTTCTGTCTGAAATAACCTGGGCCTAAACCAGCTTGGTGATGGTAGAGTGGCAGGTATTTCTATAGAGTTAGCTTTTTGAGTAGGGGAAGCAAAGCAGTTAATGAATATGGTGGAAACCTTAGTGCAGGGATTTGAGAGTCAAGTAGCCCAGTAATGTTATCTCTAATGATGAGGGGGAAAAAACTGTAGAAGAAGTTTTTGTTGACCATATTAAGATCTATTAGGAGGTCATGTTTGAAAAAGAACTTTGTGGAATTATCTCCACAAGCAACTGAGAAACAGAAAGGAGAATATAAAAATAGGCTGTTTTAAATTTTTTTCTCCAATTATATGTTCTTGCTTACATTTTAAAGCCAAACCCAGCCTGGCTTTTGTATTTTTATGTGTTTACCTTTCATTTCTCTCTGCAACTTGGTTTTAGAATATGGGTAAAAAACTGCTGCTCTACACCTAATGATGGCAGTATAAAACTTCACTTTTACCATTGCCTAATCAATAGAACTAGGTACTCTGTTTCCTTCCAAAATTATATAACCTGTCCTTATTGATGGGCATTTGTTTATGTTATCTTAGCTCTTTACATTATCAGTAAGATAAAGGTCTCCAGTGGTTAGTGACATGGTGTATGTTACAGTCATTGAAATGGAGAAACCAATGAAATAGAAATTAACTTCTGGAATTTGTATTGCTTTTCTGTATTAAATTTCAAATATAAGTATTTCTCTGTGTTTTTGATTCATTAGCAATTTTTCATTGCTTTAGACTAAAAATAGAATATAAATTAATACAAGCCTGGGACTACATGCAGCCTTTAAGATATTATTTCAAAGTACTTAAATTTTTGCCAGATTTTCTTGGTTTATTTCTAGTTTCTGCTGCTTTTGTCTTTTGGCAAGACTACTCTTAATTCTAGTCAAGCTAAAAACAACTCTAGAACCTAAAACAACAGTCATGATTATGGGAATGTTAATTTCACTGCCAGCTGCAGAAACCCTATACAGCATACGGGATGGTACAGTTGTTAATTCTTAAAATCTGGAAGACTAATCAAGAGTTACAGAATCAAAATTGGACTGCCAGTTTTTCAGTGTCTTTCTGGTGCCTTTAACCAAGATTAGCAGTACAGGTACATTCTGAATTAATCATTCATGTAAATTTCTATAGTGATTATAACTTGTGGTTTAATTCTTTATATTTAGATCTCACAGCTGTGGAAACTTTAAGGAACCCTGAATTTAAGGGTTTCTTATCCAGGGAGGTTATATGATATGATAGAAAAGAATACTAAATCAGGAATCACATGATCTAGGTTCTGGATCCATCTCTGCCACTCTGCTGTACGACCTTAGATAAGTCTAGTTACATCTCTTCCTTGTTTCTGCTTGTTCATGTGAACAGTTTCTGCATAAATCACATGAAATAAGTTATGTGAAAGTTTCTTTGAGAATGTTACATAACAGACCAAGAATTGGTGTGATCCCATTTGACTATGCCACTGAAACACATCATGGCTTTCCCAGCATTGTAATCAATTACTGAAGTAATGGAATGGCCAGAAGTGTTGGCTTAAGAAGATGAAAAGTTTGTTTAGAAATAGCTTGCCTTTAAACATAGCCACAGTTTTCTTAAAACATACTTTAATTCACTTAGAACTTGATTTTATTTTGTTTTTCAACTTAAAATTCCCCTTGATATCCCTCAATTTTTTAGCCTGATTTTCATGGCATTTGAGAAAAAATGGATGTGGGTGTTGATTTTAGATTTTTAGACTGAAATAAACTTTTCCTTCAAAAAGGGAGAGGGCACCCTAAATTTGGAACACAGGTCAGGGATGCTTGGAGTACTCTGTACTGTGGATGTGGTCTCTCTCCAACAGTGACCACTCAGCATCTCTCTAGTGGCCACTGCTTTTGCTTTTTGAGTAGCCTCACCTTACAAATAGATTTGCAGAACAGGAAGAAGATTCTTGAAAGGGAAGATTGTGATGAAACCGATAAAAATCTCTGTATTAAAATCTTGTACAGCCTTCTGTTTTAATATCTTTTCTTCTGGATGAGACATTAGTCTTTAACTTTTGAGGAACTCTGTAACCGAAGACAAACAATAAAATACCAACAGAGAGGAAATTATTAAAGGATTATATGTATTTAAATTACTTTTATCAGTAACCCACTCTAGCCTCAGAAGGTATAATTAAGCTTAAGGAGAAGGGGGCATTTAAAACCAATGTATTTTTATCCTGTAAATCTTTCTTTAACTTAAAATAGTATTATTTTAAATTCAAGGTTGTCTGATATTTAAATCAGTTATTATCTTGATAACCATATATATATAATATATATATATATAATCAATAGATTGGAAGTATATTTCTGTTTTATGATAAATCTATGAATTTGCTTTTTGGGGAAAAAATTATTATAAACATTTTATTTTAAGGCTAAACCTAGGATGGTTCTTAGTGAGAATCAGCCTAAATAGAAATTTCCCAAACAAATACATTCTGCTTTTGCTAAATCCTATGCTAATAAAAGACATTGTGCTTCTTATAAAACTTGACCCACATTATGTAGCCTAACAGAAATAAAGGCATCTGCTACGTTCTATGAATTTACTATTGGAGTTTGCCAGTCCCTAATATAAATAGGAAAATAATGCTCCCAATAAAAGATTCAAGTTACTGAACTTTCCCTTCCATTAAAAAAAAAAAAAAAAAAGACTTAAAATAAAATGTAGGCCTTGACAAAATTTGAGTTGTAGAAGTGAGTGATTTCTTTCCCCCCCATTACGGGAGATGTTTTTCCCCTTTTACGCAGAAAACAACAGCCCAAGTCTCTTGTGCTGGTGACAGCAGCCTTTCTCCACAACGGAGGAGAATACTGTCATGGAGATAAGGAGTAGGCCAGGCCTGGGGGAATGATCACATTTAGCCTCCTGTTTTTACTTCATGGAGATGTGAATGATAAAGTAGGTCCTTTCATGGAAGGAATTGGAGACTCCTGTATTTATGATTGACCTCTCATTAAGACTACTTGAAATAAAGGCAATTAAAGGTTGGAATAGGACCAAACCAACATATTCTAGCACATTTAATAATTTAATAGCTTATATGTTTTTGTAAGCATCTTTAAGCAGTTGTGAGATTTTTAGCAAGTAATTTAAATACTATATTTAACTTAAGCTACTACTTTAAGTTCCAGTTTCCAGTTCTGTGTACTTTTAACATGATTTAAAGAAAGCTAGATAAGTAATCCCAAATAAACTAACCTTGATGTAAGAAAAAGTAATGGGTTATTGCTGTGGCATTTCTCTTTACAAGGGAGATAAACCAACTGGTGATGCTTTGAGATCCTGATAGCTGGTGGGAGGGGAGCCTGGCTCTGTGCTTTACCTTTGCTTTTCTTTCTTGCTCATGCATATGAACGATGAGTTTAAGATCATCTTGTCAGTGTGCAGATGGCAAGAAATAAATTGATGTAAAGTTTTAATATCAGTGTTTTCACGACTAATTTAGAAGGCACTAAGCTAGCAGTGCATTACCAAGTCTAAAGCCTTCTACTTGTCAAAACATTTTGGAACCTTTGAACTTGACTATTTGATCTATTTTGAAAATGTAAATAATAGTTTTAATCATTTTGAATCAAAGACTTTAATAAGATATTTTTCCTTTTTCTTCTTAGATCCCAATTTTGTTCGGACATTTCTTACAACATACAGATCCTTTTGCAAACCTCAAGAACTACTGAGTCTTATAATAGAAAGGTCTGTCCAGTTAAAAAATATTTAAATTTATTATTTTTTTTAAAAAGATTGAGCTAAGATCTTACGTTTTTCAGAAATATGTTAGGTGAGCTTTAAAATAGACTTCATAAGCACTTTTTCAATAAATAAAATCTCTTACATGATTATTTATTCTATGTTAGCTTTTACTTAAATACAAAAATAAGTATTCTTTTTGTATGTGAAAATTCATCATCTGAAATTTCAAATTTATAGAATTAAAGATTTATATACAATGTATAATGTAGAGTCTAGAAATTCAAATTTTGATGAATCAGATGTTCTAAATAGAAGTTTTCAAACATACTTCATGTTGAGTAAAATGGAGCTTGTCAGTGAACAAATACTGTAATAAAAGGAAAATATTTCATGCACCTAAACAAAGAACAGTCAGTTTTTTTGGAATTACCCTTCAAAGTGATTTTGTCACCTGATTTAGAGTAATTCCATTAACCAAAAATAAGTATCAGTCCCATAACTTTACAGTCACATTTATTTTTAGAATTTGCATGTATTCTTTATTTTGTTTGTGGTTTTATCTATATTAGAAAGTACTTTTAAATTTTAAATTACTTTTAAATTTTTAAAAATAATTTTATTAGCCTTTAATATTATAGAATTCTCACTTGTTTACACTGATGCATATCTTTAGTAATTTTTTACAGTATTCTCTTTTTGCTGACTGGTAAAAAGGTTTGTCGTTTTCTATTTGTATAACTCAATATAATTAGTATTTTCATTAATTTGTTCTATTTTATGTTAGGTTTGAAATTCCAGAGCCTGAGCCAACAGAAGCTGATCGCATAGCTATAGAGAATGGAGATCAACCTTTGAGTGCAGAATTAAAAAGATTTAGAAAAGAATATATACAGCCTGTGCAGCTTCGGTAAGCATTAAATAAATGAAGTAAATAAGTCTGTATCAAACTTCCGTTTCAATGTCGAAGTATATAAGGACCTTTCCCAAACAAGGTGGGGGGGAGGTGACAATAAAATTAGTAAATTAATTTTACTAATCAGAGCAGTTATCAGAAATTACAAGTCTCAACATAGAATTTTGGAAGTGTTAAGCACACTGATAAGATTAATTTGGTAATTGATGGAGCTGAAAAAGACAGTATTTTTAAAAAAAAGAAAAAAGATTTAATTTGGTATGAGTTACTCTGTTTTCATTTGTATTGAACTATGCATTGTATTTATGTTTGAGTTCCCATATAATTCAATTCTGTGTTAATGCCATAGAGTATTAAATGTATGTCGGCACTGGGTAGAGCACCACTTCTATGATTTTGAAAGAGATGCAGATCTTTTACAACGAATGGAAGAATTTATTGGAACAGTAAGAGGTATGTTTTTTTTAGATGCCTAGTTTTGTATGTAATAAAAGCACCAATATGGTGACTATCAATTGATGTCATTGTGGCTCAGTAGTAAGAGATGTTTATAATAGTACCAGCATATCCATGTGAAAAAATTAAAAATTTTCATCAAACAACCTTTAGACCTGCAAATTCCTCAACAGTCACCCTGTTGATCCAATGTATTTTCATTTAGTGAATCAACGTACTGATTATTTTAGAGTTGGTTAAGCCAAGTTTTCATACATATCCAAAAAGTGTGAGGGCATTTGGGAACTACATTGTGCCATTATAATACCACTGATGGAGGTCAAGCAGGCCACAGGCCAATAGAGAGAATCTGAGAGGAAGCAGAGTGGATTAAATTGAGAGTCTGTGTCTAACACTGCCACTAATCAGATACGTGACTTTGGGCAAAATCACTTAGATTCTTTGGACTTCAGTTTTCTTGTCAATAACATAAGGAGCTAGGTTTAATACTCTCCGAGGTTTTCCTTCTAATTTTAAAGACTATATGATTGTTTGGCTATAAGGATGTCTTTCTTAGACTGTCGTAAGCATTAAAGTCTTAGACAAACTTATCATTTCCATTGTATGCCCTATATGAGAATCAGAAAATAAAGGGTTAAATAATAGTACTTTCATGTACAATACAAAACAGAGTCACATCAAAACTCACACTAAAAATGAAGAAATCAGTCCTCTGGCACTGATATTTATTGGTTTATAAAATGCAGTGTTAATTAGATTAATAGTGAATATGTATAATCTATCCTTATAAATCTTGTGATTTATGTAAGATAAACCTTTTCTTGGAGGATTATAAAATAATACATTAAACTGAAGATCAGAACAATAGGGGTAGACAAGCTCTACAAATTAATTACTTTCTAATTTTGTTTGGAAAGGATCTGGAAGAATACATACCAGACTATTAACACTGGTTACCCATGTGGAAAAGAATAAGATTGGGATGGGAGACCGGGAAATGGAAAAGGGAAACTTTCCATTTTTCATTTTGATCATTTGAACTTTTTATAGCAAAAATACATTCAGGAATCATCTGTGTGATTTTAAACAATTTTTAAAATATAAAATAATAATATTTCAATGTTATTTAAAATATAATGTATTGCAGGTAAAGCAATGAAAAAATGGGTTGAATCCATCACTAAAATAATCCAAAGGAAAAAAATTGCAAGAGACAATGGACCAGGTCATAATATTACATTTCAGAGTTCACCTCCCACAGTTGAGTGGCATATAAGCAGACCTGGGCACATAGAGACTTTTGACCTGCTCACCTTACACCCAATAGAAATTGCTCGACAACTCACTTTACTTGAATCAGATCTATACCGGTATGTAATTTAACATTCAGGCTGAAATATCTTTCAAAAGAGTTAAGTTTTAAAATGAAATACTGATTTCTGCCTTACAGGGTTGTCATAAGACTTAACTGAAATGTTACATGAAGTGTCTAGTAATAAGGCCTGGTCGGCAGTTCCTGTTTTCACTCCCTTGGTCCATCTAGCTGAATTTACACCTTCTCTCTTTCTGTGGTCACCCCTAGTTGGTAAGGCTAGGTTTAAATCCTGGCTCTGAAAGCAATTGCTGGCCCTGGGCAACTTTAACCTCCTTGTATAACTTTATCCTTCTGCCCCTTATTTTCCTCAATAGTAAAATGGGGCTACTGATGGTACGCTACTCCTGGGGCTGTTTTTAGGTTTGAAAGTCAGTGTATGTACATTACTTAGCACAGAGTAAGGGCTCAATAAATGTTAGCTACTGCTGTTGTTGTGAACTTATATCATAGCCATTATAGTCTTTTTTAGTTTATCATACTACATTGATATAATTATCTTGAAAATATCTTTCCGATTTTAAATGGGACTATTTAGAATCTCAAACTAAATTATTCATTTTTAAATAACTAAATGAGCTAAATTGATAGATCTTCCACTAAAAATCATGTTTCTGAAAATGACAGCATTAGAATCTATTTTATTTCCTAGGACCCTTTTGTGACAGGTTTTTTCCTCTTCTCCTTTATACCGAAAAAAAAAAAAATTGCATTGATTACTCTACTTTCTTTGATTATAACAGCTGTCATTACTTAAATGTCTACTTTGTCATCCTAATTAATAATGTTTATAAATGCTGGGAAAGATATTATGGAGGAATCTCAACCTTGCCAAAGCAAAATGCTACTATAAAGCAACACTAAAAATACATAGGTATTTCCATAAAAATTAATTTTTAAAAATAGTTTTAAAGGCTGGGCACAGTGGCTCACGGTGGTAATCCCAGCACTTGGGAGGCTGAGGCAGGTGGGTCACCTGAGGTCAGGAGTTTGAGACCAGCCTGGGCAACATGGTGAAACCCCATCTCTAATAAAAATACAAAAAATTAGCTGGGCATGGTGGCAGGCACATGTAATCTGAGCTACTCAGGAGGCTCAGGCAGGAGAATCACTTGAACCAGGGAGGCAGTGATTGCAGTAAGCCAAGATTGCGCCATTGCACTCCAGCCTGGACAACAAGAGCGAAACTCTGTCTCAAAAAAAAAAAAAAGCCATAAGGAAATATGCATAATTATAATTTTTTGTTATACCTTGTTTTCACAAACTTTTCTTTTGGTATAAGAGGAAAGTTCATATGGGACTTAAGTTTTTATTTATCTCATTTACTTAATAAACAATGTCTATATTAGAGGAAAAGTGTCATGTAGCATTATGTATTGATTTTAGAGCTGTACAGCCATCAGAATTAGTTGGAAGTGTGTGGACAAAAGAAGACAAAGAAATTAACTCTCCTAATCTTCTGAAGATGATTCGACATACCACCAACCTCACTCTATGGTTTGAGAAGTAAGTATTCCTGGCATTCTTATATTTTACAGAGCTGTCAACTATGTTATAAATTTCAATGCAATTTTTTGTTTATTTTTTGAAACAGAGTGTCACTCTGTTGCCCAGGCTGGAGTGCAGTGGCGCAACACTGGCTCACTGAAACCTCTACTTCCCAAGTTCAAGCGATCCTCCCACCTCACCCTCCAAAGTAGCCAGGATTACAAGTGTGTGATATCATACTCCCCTACATTTTTTTTTTTTTTTTTTTTTTTTTTTGAGACAGAGTCTGGCTCTGTCACCCAGGCTGGAGTGCAGTGGCATGATCTCAACTCACTGCAACCTCTGTCTCCCTGGTTCAAGAGATTCTGAAGCCTCAGCCTCCTGAGTAGCTGGAACTACAAACGTATACCACCATGCCCAGCTAATTTTTGTATTTTTAGTAGAGACAGGGTTTCACCACGTTGGCCAGGCTGGTCTTGAACTCCTGACTTCATGTGATCCACCTGCCTCAGCCTCCCGAAGTGCTGGGATAACAGACATGAGAGCCACCGTGCCCAGCCCTAATTTTTGTATTTTTCATAGAGACGGGGTTCCACCATGTTGGCCAGGCTGGTCTTGACCTTCTGACCTCAAGTGATCTGCCTGTCTTGTCCTCCCAAAGTGCTGGGATTACAGGCATAAGCCACAACTCCCAGCCAATGCATTTTTATTTCTTTATGTCTTGTGTTTTTCTTCCACTCCTCCTGTCTTTTGCATTGAGTGTTTTTCATTGAATGAAAATGACAATATTTTTCATTAAAAAACATTGAATGTTTTTCCAATGTAGCATTTTAGTTTCACTAATTTTTTTTATTAAAATTTTTTGAGGTTCTTTTAGTGGTTGCCTGGCTACTTTAGAGTTTGCCATACACATCTTACCAGAATCAGCTTCAGACTTATAGTAGCTTAATAACAGTGATACATAGAAATGTTACTCCTATGTAGCTCTGTTTCCTTTCTCCCTTTTTTGTGGTACTGTAATACATATAACATCTCATTAATGATGCAAATCAAACAGTACATTGTTACAGTTACTACTTTACCTTGTCCTCATCCTCTTAGTCCATTAAAGCTTTGCTCTCACCCACCTCCTTTGTAAATTATTGGCAACATATTACACATATATTACATTTCTGTGTTATAAGCTCAACAATATATTTATATTATTTTATACAGTTGTTTAAGTCAGTTATGAGAAGAAATTAGAAAAAAATATGCATTTACAAAATGTCTTTAATAATTACACAATTACCTTTACTGATGGTCTTTTGTGGGGATTCGAATTACCATCTGGGATCACTTGCTTTCAGCCTGAAGAACTTCCTTTAGTATTTCTTCTGGTGGGTTGGCTAGCAACAGATTCTCTCAGTTTTTGTTTATCAGGCAAATCTTTATTTTACCTTCATTTCTGAACAATAGCTCTAGCTTCAAGTTAACTAATTTTTTTTTCAGTTCAAATCTATTGAGCCTTTCCAGTAAGTTATTTCAGTTATTGTACTTTTTAATTCCAGAATTTCCATTTGGTGCCTTTTTATAATTTCTATCTCTTAATATCCTCTCTTTGATGCACATTGTCATCAATACCTTCCCTTCCTTCTTTTTCATGCTTTCCTTTAATTCTGTGACTGTATTCATAATGGCTACTTAGAAATCATTTGTTATTGTTAAATCTGACATTTGGTTATTCTCACAGGCAATTTCTGTTCCCTTTTTTTCTGCCCAGTGTAAGAGTCATACTTTACTATTTCTTTGCACATCTCATTTTTTTTATTGGAAACCTGACATTTTAGATAATATACAGTAGCAAGTCTGAGTACTGCTCCTCATTCCCCAACCCCGTTCCAGGGCTTCTTATTGAGCGGCAGTGGTACTGGAAAGACTCTCATCACTCCTTCTCTGACCACACACACCCAGCTTTTTCTTTTCTTTTCTTTTTTTTTTTTTTTTTTTTTGAGATAGAGTCTCACTCTTGCCACCCAGGCTGGAGTGCAATGGTGCAATCTTGGCTCAGTGCAACCTCCGCCTCCTCGGTTTAAACAGTTCTCCTGCCTCAGCCTCCCTAGTAGCTGGGACTACAGGCGGGCACCACGTCTGGCTAAATTTTGTATTCTTTAGTGGAGACAGGGTTTCATCATATTGGACAGGCTGGGCTCGAACTCCTGACCTTGTGATCCACCTGCCTCAGCCTCCCAAAGTGCTGGGATTACAGACATGAGCCATTGTGCCCAGCCCACCCAGCTATTAAACTCCACAATTTGCCAGCTGATTATTCTGATGTTTTCAACAATTTCCTTGTGGCATAAATTGTTATATAAAATAATGCAATCAAATTGTGGCTCCTTTGAAGGAATGGTTTCTGAGATTTCTGTTTGATACTTGTTCTGACCCCAGGAGGGCTCCTCTCAGTTGTCTTATTTCCTAGTTCTCTCCTGCAAACTACTCTGCCTACAGTCTAGGCTGTATCTTCATTAGATCCATAAATCTCTTCCCCATTGCTTTTTACCACAGTTTCCACTGTTCTTAAGGGAACCCTTAAATTTAAACTACTTTATACTTTGTTGCAAATGACAAGAGATTAGGAGCTATCTGTTTGAAACAGAGCTCTGGGGACAATGGCAAGCTCTTCTGAGTGACACTTCTGCCTTAGGAGTTGAGTGAGTGGTTGAGAGGGCAGAGTAGCACACATGGTACTATAGCCTGAGGTCTTCTTACTTGCCTCTTCTGGCATGGAACTACACCCTTGGGAACCAGAGGAAGGGCTCTTTTGTCAGTATTCTCAAAACATCACACCCAAGGTAGAGACTTCCCACTTCTCGGCTGCACTCAACTGGGACTTAGCCTCAGCAATAGGCAGCTGGGGCAGGATGAGAAAACTAAAGCCTTGCTCTTGTACCTAGCTGGGAGCTAGGAGTTCTTGACTGTAGGAATCTGGAGTAGATGCTCCGTTCACCCTCACTGAGCTGGAAGGAAGAAGGGAGGGAACAGTCTTGGTTCAAATACCACAGAGTCTGTCCCCTCGCTTACAAATTTTTGTAGATTTTCTTGAATAGATGTTTCTTCATTTGCCATTTGCTCTCAGGGCCATTACTAGACTTTGAGAGAGAGAGAGAGAGAGAGAGAGGGAGAGTGTGTGTGTGTGTGTGTGTGTGTGTGTTTTAATAATTTTTACCAGTTTTACTCAGTGGAGCTCCTCACACTCTCATATCACAAGTCCAGAATCTCAATGCAATTATATATTAGCTTGGTGCAAAAGTAATTGCAGTTTTTGCCATTACATTTAATGCTGTTCCTAGAAATGTAGGAAACATAGGAACAGAGCTATTCCTAGAAATGTAGCCAATTATATATGAAAGAAATAAAATAAACATTAATCACTAAAATCTTGCAATTAGATGAAGAATAGAAGGCAACAGAATTCTTGAATTCAACTAGAACATACCCATATTACAAAGACCTACATACATTCCACAAGATAGGAGCCTCACCAGTTAGTTCTAATGCTAATAGAGGATGCATCAAATATAGTAGAAAAATGATTGACTGTACCAGTCTGGAAAACAGGAAAGAGCAGTATGCCTGACTGGAGATACTACCTTCCTTCTACTTTGAATGTGTCTTCTCTATTGTAGTTATACTATAGCCACCCTCCCCCCCTCTATTATATTTACTAAATTCTTTAAGCTATAACTTTACTGGAAAAACTCTAAAATCTTTAGTTCACTTTTTTGTTTTTGATTCCCAGATGTATTGTAGAAACTGAAAATTTGGAAGAAAGAGTAGCTGTGGTGAGTCGAATAATTGAGATTCTACAAGTCTTTCAAGAGCTGAACAACTTTAATGGTGTCCTTGAAGTTGTCAGTGCCATGAATTCATCACCTGTTTACAGATTAGACCACACATTTGAGGTAGGTTTATACATGTGCTTTTAAAATGAACTTTCATTCCCTATTACAAAAATTAGAATTTTAACAATTATTATCTTTAATTTTTAAATGTCTCATTTGTTGTTTTAGTAGCAGATTAAATGACTGAATTATCTAAGTTTTGTAATGAATTGGTTGCTTTTTAAAAATTAGACATTCCTATTAAAATATATTCACAGGTCCCAGCCTAAGCTAGAAGAGGAAAAAACTTTCAGCACTTAATTTGTAAGATAATATATAATTAAATGTTCACATAATTGTGTAAGGAATGGCATGATAAACTAGATCTGTCTCTTTCCCTCACACACACACACTTTAAGTAAATTTATACTGAGGTCTATGAAGTATGAAGATAGTTTATTTGAAACAGTATTACAATCATAGAATCAAATTAATATTATTGTATTGGGCCTTTCTGTTAGCCTAGTTCTTTGGTTTTTTTTTTGGGGGGGGGCGGGTTTTGACAAGACCTTTAATTTCTTTTGTAAACTTATGGCTCCTATTTATTTTTTCTTATAGCAAATACCAAGTCGCCAGAAGAAAATTTTAGAAGAAGCTCATGAATTGAGTGAAGATCACTATAAGAAATATTTGGCAAAACTCAGGTCTATTAATCCACCATGTGTGCCTTTCTTTGGTAAGTATTTCTTTCTGAATTTTTATTGCATTTCTACATAAAACAAAACATTTATTTCAGTAAATGACTGAATAATTACATGTGTAGTATGCCAGCAGAAAATACTTGTTTAATCAATGTTTAGCACCTGAGTCCCCTTAGAATTTTTCTCATTAAGACTTTTTAAGGTCAAGTCTAATATACATTTCATTTTCTATTTTCATCTTAGGCAGCCACTAGATATTATATAATACTTTTGTTTTTATATTCATAGAAGCCTTTTTAATTGAATTTTAATAAACTAAATACAGGAGAGGCATGGCCAAACTCATTTATATTTATAATCATTTTTGTAAACAGTTTCACATGGCTAAATATCATAGTGTGCCTGTGCCTTTGGGCCCACAACTCTGGCACAAGAAAATTTTATTCTCTTCATCCTATTTTTCCCCTTCTGCTTCCTTTTAGGACTGAATCTACCACCTGAATCTCCCTTTCTGTAGGTTCCTCTGTCTTTTTCCATTATTTATTCCCCATATTTCATGTATTCAATTATCTCTTTTCTACTGTCATCTTTTCTCTGCCTGAGTATATGCTCTAATGATCCTTCTTTTGAATGCTTACAGAAACTATGATCTCTCTAGTCACTTTAGTATGTGCTGTAGTTTCTTCTAGCCTTTTCCTCATCTATATGTACTTTTTCTATATAGTTTTAAATTACACTGCATATAACAATATTATGTCCTGATATTTTTAAAAATTTATATATTTTCCCACATTTTATTGTTTGGGTTTTAGAGCAGCCATTTTTGTATTTATTTCTAATCTTTTTGCTGTGTACATTGTATATAATTGTAATTGTATGATGTGCATATTAAGTTTACTTTATTCACTTAACATATTTTTGTATTCTATTAGATAATCTTAATAATTATATATAGTGGCTGCATAATATTCCTTAAAGTTGGACAATTTGTTTAATCATTACTCTGTGATTAGACACATGGTTTCCAGCTTTTTTTGCTTTCTAAATAACTTTCTGATTTAGATTTTCATTTATACTATTTTTCTGTTTTTGAGAATATCTTCTTGAGATAGATCACCAGAGGAGGAATTACAGTAGTGCTCCTATCTCCACGGTTTCACTTTCCACAGTTTCAGTTATCCGTGGTCAACTGTGGTCCAAAAACATGAGATATTTTGAGAGAAAGACCACATTCATGTAACTTTTATTCCAATAGATTGTCATAATTATTCAATTTTATTATTAGCTTTTTTTGAAAAATATCTTACTGTGCCTAATTTATAAACTAAGCTCATAGGTATGTATGTATGTGTATGTATGTATGTATGTATGTATGTATGTATGGGATTTAAAACTATCCATGGTTTCAGTTATCCACTGGGGATCTTGGAACATACCACCTTTGGATAAGGGTCTACTTTACATAGGTTAAAAGGGGTCCATCTTTAAACTGTTGTTAGGTATTTTTAAGTAGCTTTCTGAAGGGCTGCCATGAGAAGTGTATGACATTTATGCTGCCATCAAGGGTATGACAAAGCAAATATCATCCCATGTTTTCCAATTTTGGATACTTTTTTTTTTTCATTTCTGTTATTACTACTAAGCTATTTGTTACAACAATTTCCATTATTTGATTACCATGGACTTTTTTTTCATACATTTCTTTAATATTTGCACTTCCTTTTGTCCATGTCCCTTTTCATATATCCTGCAAACAATCTGCCTTTTACTTTTTATCATTGCCATGTATTAGTTTTAAATTCTACAATCTGTCCTTTCTCATTCTGATTTCTATTGTTTCTAACCTTGGAAAGTTCATATAATCTAGTAATTTAATATTCAATCATATTTTCTTCTAGCATTTTTATGACTCAAAATTATATTTAACTCTACTATCAAACTGAAGTATCTTTGATATCTTATGAAATACTCAAATTTACTTCCCCACCAAATTATTGTTAACCCAGATTTATTGAATGATTCTTCTTTTTCCCTGTTTACATACAGGACCTCCTTCTTTAATACTTATTACAGCCCACTGACTTCTTATACCCCTACCATAGTTTTAAGGATTGTCACTTTATAATCAGTGATTCTCAGCAGGGGGCACTTTTGCCCCCTAGGGAACATTTAGCAATGCCTGGAAGCATTTTTTTAATTGTCCTAATTGGGATTGTGCTGCAGGCATTTAGTGTGGATAGAGGATGGGGATATTGCTACCATCCGACAATGCACAAGACAGTTCCCCACAGCCCATAAATATCTGGTCCAAAAAGTCAGGTGTTGCTAAGACTGAGAAACCCTGCTATATAGTTTTTCACAGTGATGAAGGTGGTTCTTTAGGGTTCTTCAGTACCTTTTTTTTTTTGTCCAATTTTGCCTATTTATTTTTCCAAATGAACTTTATAAGTTTAGGTGGAGGGGGATGTTCCCAGATATAACTGGAACAAGCTATCAGTTAATTTGGAAAGAACATTTATTATATTTAGCATTTCCCCTTATTTTTCCTAGGTATTTTTGGTTTGACATTCATTCAATTACCTTTAATTCCAAGAATTTTTAATTTCCTTGGGTTTTCTAAATATTTAATCATGTCACTTCCCTTGAGCTTATATCTATATTATGCCTTAATTGGTCATTAACTTCCCAAAGTTTTAAGAATAATAGCAGAAATAAGCAGCTTGTTTTAAACTCAGTTTTAGCAGAGATAAAGTGTAATTTTACTACTTGCTTGATTAGATGGTTTTTATCCTTTTAAGAAAGCATCCTTCTTGCTACAGAATTGCTTCATTTCATTATTTAAAAAATACTAGCAATCAATTTATATCTACAAACATGTTTTATAAAATTAACTCTATTTGTAATATAACTTTCTCATCTCTATATTTACTTATTTTTTCTTCAAAAAGATAAGGTCTTTAATTTTCTGCTGATTTTATGAGGTTTAAAAAATCATTATTAGGCTGGGCGCGGTGGCTCAAGCCTGTAATCCCAGCACTTTAGGAGGCCGAGGCGGGTAGATCACGAGGTCAAGAGATCAAGACCATCCTGGTCAACATGGTGAAACCCTGTCTCTACTAAAAATACAAAAAATTAGCTGGGCATGGTGGGGCGTGCCTGTAATCCCAGCTACTCAGGAGGCTGAGGCAGGAGAATTGCCTGAACCCAGAAGGCAGAGGTTGCGGTGAGCCAAGATTGCGCCATTGCACTCCAGTCTAGGTAACAAGAGCAAAACTCGGTCTCAAAAAAAAAAATCATTATTAATTCCTAGTTTTCCTAAGGACTTTCCCCTATCCCCTACATTGTTTTCCTTTTTTTAAGACAGGGTCTCACTCTGTCACTTAGGCTGGAGTGCAGTGACACCATCTTGGCACACTGCAACCTCCACCTCATGGGCTCAAGCGATTGTCCTGCCTCCACCCCCCAAGTAGGAGGAACCACAGGTACAAACCGCTATGGCTGGCTAATTTATATATATATATATATTTTTTTTTTTTTTTTCATAGACATGGGGTTTCACCAGGTTACCCAGGCTGGTCTCGAACTCCTGAGTCAAGAGATCCACCTGCCTTGGCCTCCCAAAGTGCTAGGATTACAGGTGTGAGCCACTGTGCCCAGCCTGATCCTTTACATTCTTCATTAAGATACTGAGTTCATTTATTTTCTCTTCCTGGTAAAATATTAAAGCCTATGTTTTTGCTTAAATATGGTGACTATATTACCAGTTTGTTCAAGAGAACTGGAAAGGCTCTGGATATATCTGACATTGTGTCATTCAATCTGTGAGTATATATTTCTTGAGTATCTACTAAGTACTAGGACTATGTCAGGTGCTTAGAGAAGTGGAAAATACAGTCACTATGCTCACTTAGCTTATACTCATGCTACTCATGATATCCTGTGGTTTCTGGTACACAGACATGAAAAGAAACCTCAGGACCCATTTATTGACTGTTTGGCCCTGCTACTCCATCACCCTGATGCCGGGGGTATTTATTCATATTAACTGAAACTTTCCAGAGTCCTCTCTCAGATCTTTGTAAACTTAACTGATCTTAACATGTTCTTTAATTTTTGTATTTTTAGTAGAGATGGGGTTTCACAATGTTGGCCAGGCTAGCCAGGCTGGTCTCAAACTCCTGACCTCAGGTGATCTGCCCACCTTGGCCTCCCAAAGTGCTGGGATTACAGGCATGAGCCACCGTACCCAGCCATAAGATGCTCTTAAATGAAAGAAGGAAGTTTCAGACCTATTTTAGAGTATGATTTCAATAAGGTATTTTAAGGTGAGTAGTGTGAGTTATTGAGTGAATACAAAAACATATGTAGGTACTTCGATAGGTACACAAAGGTTGATAGGTACAACCCACCTGCCAGCCTCTGTACCCTTTCTTCTTGCTCATCTTCCGAGTTACTGAGCCTCTGCTCCTTTAAGGTAGTTTATCTACATCTGACCCTGGTCAGTTTTGCTGCCTTATCTTTGCTATTTTTAAGCTAAAAGTTACCAGTCCAGGGAGTCAGACAGCCTTTCATGGAGTTCTTACCCAGTGGGTAAAGTCAGATGTTATTGCTGCTTCTGAATTCCATCTTTTCTATATAGTAGTTTACAGAAACTCCTTCCAGATTCTTATCCAGAAATTCTGGATACTGTTTTTCAAACCCCTTCTATGGGGGAGGGTCAGGGACAGCAGCTGATATTTCCTCTGTTATCTTACCAGCATTCCCATCTTCTGCTGGCACTAGCATCATTTATAGAATAAAAGTAGGGCAGTTACTCCTTCCAAAGCTCTGCCAGATGTATCAGGTCTATATTACAGTTTTTCTCCATAAACTAAAATATTCTACTTATAGGTAGAATGGACATGTGGCTAACAAATGAATTTTTCCAGCTGGGCACAGTGGTTCATGCCTGTAATTCCAGCACTTTGAGAGGTTGAAGTGAGTGAACTGCTTGGGGCCAGGAGTTCGAGACCAGCCTGGCCAACATGGCAAAACCCTATCTCTACTAAAAATACAAAAGTTAGCCAGGCACAGTGGCGCATTCCTGTAGTCCCAGCTACTTAGGAGGCAGAGGTACAAAAATCACTTGAACCCAGGAGGCAGAAGTTGCAGTGAGCTGAGGTTACAGTGAGCCGAGATTGCACCATCACACTCCAACCTGGGGGTAACAAAGTGAGACACTGTCTCAAAAATAGAATTTTTTCTAAGGTAAAAGGATGTACCTTAATCAAGTTGGTCATCTGGGTACAAACATACATGCCTTTAGCATTGGCTTTGCCCTTTGTTTTTACACAGCTCTGATCTTGTATCCTCCTTCAGTTATGTATAAATTTGCTTTGTCTCCATTCTTGCTTTCCAGCTATTTTAGAATTGACTCTCATATCCTGGTCTTTCAAATGCCTCTCTTCTATTTTGAAATAATATACTTCTTTCATTCAGTCAAAAACATTTATTGAATACCTCTATGTGTTATGTTCAGGGCTACATGCTAAGAATAGACAAATAGATATAGTTCCATAGTTTCTGCTCCCTCGAAAGAGCAAAGAAATAAGTCATAGCACTCTGTAGTAAGTATCACACTGTATTGTAGACAAGTATAGATTGAAGTATGGACAGATGCTACAGAAACCTAGAATCCTAAGCAGCCACTTTCTCCTGGAAAGGATGGGAAAGACATCAACAAAAAAAGGTAAAACCTCAGCCCTCTTCCTTATGTCATAATGCTCTCTTTTCCGTTTCCCTCCAGAGTAGGGTATGTTAAATGATACACTGAAGTACAGGAATAACTATCTGTTTATATATTTTTTAAAACATGAAAAACAACTAAGCTTTACTGTAAGTATATAATTCTCAGGTTTTTGTTATACATATATACACATACACTATGTTTTTATTAAATTATATATGTGTATAGAGAGAGAACATGAGGATAGGTGCTTAAACATTTTTAACTGATTCAGTGTAAGATTAAAGTTTGGACACCACTGCTGTGATCATTTGTTATTTTAGCTAGCCATCAGTTAGGCATAAAATAATTTCCAAAATTTCCAAATTTCATCCTGAACTATCCCAAAGTGCTACTTATAACAACTTCATTCAAGTGTGCTTTCAAAAACAAAGCTGAGAGTCTTCATTCCCACTGCCCCCATTTCCTCCCCAAACCAGTTAACCAGTTCTTGGATAGTTTACCTCTTAAATATTTATCTACTCCCCGTTAGCCTCATTGACACTAGGGCAGCCCTCATCATCTCACCAGGACTATTGCCAGCCTACTAACTGCTCTTCCTGTTACTGGTCTTAACTCCTTCCAACCCATCTGGCTTCATAGTACAATTAGAATAATCCTTCTAGAATGCAAACAAAGATCCTTATAATTCCCTAATTGTCTCCTAGATAAAAGTTAAGCTATTTAACAAAAAGCATTTCATGACCCACAAAGTCTAAGCACTAATACCCACAAACTCTTCACAGATGGACCATCAATCTGTGACCAATATGGAAATTTGATTTGGGCTGCCACTGAATACGCATACTCTTATGGACATGTTTGTCAGACTGAACACTAAGCTGAGTGGATCATGCAACTTGTGTGGAGGAGAATATAATAGCTGAAAGTAAAAGAGCCACATGACAGGCAGAAGTGAAAATAAAGAAGCCTGTGCTTACTAGAACACACAGTAACTTTGTTTTATGAATGTATTATCAAGCATAGCCTGGGCGCTGAGAAATAACCAAGTAACTAATGCACTTAATAACTGGATATGTTTAAAAAGCAAACAGGCATTGATGTTGATCAGATTTCATTATTGCTGATTTGTTCAATATTGATTTGGGTCCTTTTATCTTTTCAAGGATATGACCAAAGATTTCTGTGGTATGCCACTACTGCAAAAGCATATAGAACTACAAACCCAGCCCTTGCCTGTGTCTGTCCTCATATCCTGTCACTCTTCCTCTACCCCACGCATCAAACCCCTATGGTCTAGCTGTACTAAAGAGTATATTATCTCTAAGTATGCCTTTCAAGTAAGCTTCATCATGAATTAGTGCCTTTATACTCATTGCTGCTTTGCTTAGAATGCCCTTCTATCTTATTCTACTCATTACACCTCTCATTTTTTGAGACTTACTTTTTTTTATTGAGACGGAGCCTCACTCTCACCCTCACTACAGTCACCAGGCTGGACTGCAGTGGCGCAATCTTGGCTCACTGCAACCTCCACCTCCCAGGTTCAATCGATTCTCCTGTCTCAGCCTCCTGAGTAGCTAGGATTACAGGCATGTGCCACCATGCCCGACTAATTTTGTATTTTTAGTAGAGACAGGGTTTCACCATGTTAGCCAGGCAGGTCTTGAACTCCTGACCTCATGATCCACCTGCCTCAGCCTCCTAAAGTGCTGGGATTACAGGCGTGAGCCACTGCATGTGACCCTTTGAGACTTATTTTGCTTTTTCTAATCCTCCCAGCTGAAGACAGAGTTTGGAATACCTCCTTTTTGCTCTCATATGCATTACTACTAATATAGCACCTCCTGGTTTATAGCACTTAGCAAATTATACTGTAGTATAATTTGGTTCAAAGTTCTGGACTCCCTGAGGTCAGGAACTCTTTAAGCACTGGACTGCTAGAGGTCTTTCTCATCTTTGTACCTGCAGTACCTAATGCAGTACTTGTCTTACAGCAGAGACTCAGTACTCATGTGGGGAGTAAGTGAACTCAGATATTCACACTCCCTTTTCCCTCCCCAAAACATCATAATCAGTAATTTGGGGAAAAAGGTAAAAGCATAAGAAGAGTATTACAGCAAGATGCAACAACAGCATCAACAATCACAACCATAGCTAATTAATACTTAACTGTTACCAGGCTCTATTCTAAGCTGATACATATATTCACTCATTTGTTTTTCACAGCAACCCTCCTGTCCTCATTTTACAGATGAGAAAAACTGAGGCACAGAGAGACTAATTAAGCAATTTTCATGAGATCATGCTCATAGGCTGGGCACAGTGTTCTCACACCTGTAATCCCAGCACTTTGGGAGTCCAAGGTGGGCAGATCACTTGAAGTCAAGAGTTTGAGACCAGCCTGGCCAACATGATGAAACCCCATTTCTACTACAAATACAAAAATCAGCTGGGTGTGGTGGCACATGCCTGTAATCCCAGCTACTCAGGAGGCTGAGTCAGGAGAAATCCTTGAACCTAGGAAGTTGGAGGTTGCAATGTACTGCACTCTAACCTGGGAGACAGAGTGAGACTCCATCTCAAAAAAAAGAAACAATTAACAATAAGATCACATATAGAGAAAGCAGCAGAGCTGGTTCCAGAGCCTTTATGCTAGAATAGAAAGTGCCTGTTATTCTGTTCATTCTTCTCCTTGTCATGTGCACAAGTATAGTGTTGGGGAAACAGGAAATCAATTACCAGGTTGCCATTAAGTCTAGAAACTATTGAAGACCAGAATATACATAAATTGTATACATAAACTGTATGACAAGCTTGGAAAACCTTCCACATTTCCATGAGTAATCCTATCCAAATAGTACTCCTTCTGAATTGCAAATCATAACAGCCTCTTGTGGGGCCACCAGAGCTGAGTAAGCAGAAACTATGATCCTCTGAATGTAGCATTTTTCCTGTTTGCCAGAAATGATGTGTCATTAGTGACAAAGTTATTCTTGAAGTTCCTTTAACAAAACTGATTTACATCAAATAACAATGGTTTGGAGGGGGTATGGAAAATTGATTATTCTTCCTAAAAAAGTAGTAATTTTATTAAACTTGATTTCTCCCTTTTTCTTGGATGTTTATAAAATTTAAGTCTTTCACAGATGCTTTCTCTTAAGCTGCTTGTTTTCATATCATGGAAATCTAAGCCTTTGTTTTTTTGTTATGGCAATTGAGATGATACAGTAGAATATACCCACAATTAATGAAATAGAAAAAAACTCGCATTTTCCTTCTTTACCCTTGAAATCATTCCATTGTATCTTCTAGGAATTTATCTCACTAATATCTTGAAAACAGAAGAAGGCAACCCTGAGGTCCTAAAAAGACATGGAAAAGAGCTTATAAACTTTAGCAAAAGGAGGAAAGTAGCAGAAATAACAGGAGAGATCCAGCAGTACCAAAATCAGCCTTACTGTTTACGAGTAGAATCAGATATCAAAGTAAGTGGAATTATTTAAAGATTTATACTTCTGATTAAGGTACTTCTGATTAAGGTTATAAACTACCTAATAAAAGCCAGGTTTATTTTATAGGGTAGAAAAAGTAAAACAAACCTTAAAAGAAATTTACTTATATTAAATGTTTTCTTTCCATGAATTTCAAACTGAATTTATAATTTTTAATATTAATTTTTTTCTTTGCATTTATTTTAGAGGTTCTTTGAAAACTTGAATCCAATGGGAAATAGCATGGAAAAAGAATTTACAGATTATCTTTTCAACAAATCCCTAGAAATAGAACCACGAAACCCTAAGCCTCTCCCAAGATTTGTAAGCATTTGTATATTTATATTTCTTTTACATTTATATACTTTTTTCAATTGTCATCTACATCTGGTGATGTCATTACTACCATATGTGTTATATAGATTAGTTTTCTATAAAGGTATTTGGGGATGAAGTATACATGTGATAGTTAAAAGTAATGAAAAAGTACTTAATAATTATGCCCAGGAATATCCCACTTGCTTTCAAATAAATGAATATTAATATTAATTTGAGGAAATCCTGATACCAAAGATGATGAAATTGAGCAAATATTATACAAGTTTTTTAATTTGTTTTACCTCAAAAAATGTTATTTAAGATTTTAAGAACAGGAAATTGAATAAATTTATACTAATTCACTTATAATAAATATATCTACTTATGACATTTTAAAAGTAATGACTTATTAAAACTTTTAACTACGAATCAGCCATAAAATATCAAGTTTTGCTAACAGTACTTTCTTGGAAAAATAAAGTTTCCATTGTTTTTTGTTACTTTCAGTGCCTGGCCAAATTTATGTTCAGAATCATCAGCTCACTGATTTGACTATGTACTCTTCTATTCATAAAAAAAGTAAAATATCTGCCAGGCGCAGTGGCTCGTGCCTGTAATCCCAACGCTTTGGGAAGCCAAGGCTGGTGGATCACTTGAAGTCAGGAGTTCGAGACCAGCCTGGCCAATGGTGAAACCCTGTCTCTAATGAAATAGAAAAAGTCGGGCATGGTGGTGGGTGCCTGTAGTCCCAGCCACTTGGGGAGGCTGAGGCAGGAGAATCACTTGAACCCAGGAAGTGGAGGTTGCAGTGAGCCGAGATCGTGCCACTGCTCTCCAGCTCCAGCCTGGGAGACAGAGCAAGACTTATCTCAAAAAAAAAAAAAAAAAAAAACAGTAAGTCAAGAAGCTGGAATTAAACATAGGTGGCTTCTAAGTGACCAAGATAAATCACATAATGTCTTTTAATTAAAGTGTATGCAATTGCCTGACAAGAAAATTTCTCAAGCCCTTGTTCAGTTTTTAATAAGATGAATTAAAAATAGAAGGTTAGAAATAGGTATATAATCTGCTGCACTGAGGCACTCTGATATATTCCTAACACTGAGAAATGATCATTTTGCAAGGAAAATGCCATAAAACATACATACACAAATGAAAATTGGGGTAATTCAATGCATTTGTAAATATCTCAAATGGTCCTAATGGCATCACTGTATTACAGGATAGGAAGGTATTGTAACTCATAGTGATGACCGTGGCTTTTCAGCAAGGTTAAATTTGCTCAAAATAGTCTATTTTAAAAACCAGGGAAATACACATTTTAGAATAACTTCCATCCAAAAATATTTTAAATAACAAATAGTCTAATATTTATAGGACTAGAAGTTATTTAAAGAAATGCATTCTTTAATAATTTAGATACCCAGGGCTTCAGCAAAATAGAATGTTAACACTTTAAATTTTCTACTTTTATTTGAATCATGTCCTTGTTAGTGATTTATGAATTTCCTTTATATTAGCTGATTTTTACCAGCACATATAGAAGAATCTTCCTTTCTACTACAGTGTTTAAAGTATTGTGTTTCTTTTGATATGTCTGCAGCCAAAAAAATATAGCTATCCCCTAAAATCTCCTGGTGTTCGTCCATCAAACCCAAGACCAGGTACCATGAGGCATCCCACACCTCTTCAGCAGGAGCCAAGGAAAATTAGTTATAGTAGGATCCCTGAAAGTGAAACAGAAAGTACGGCATCTGCACCAAATTCTCCAAGAACACCGTTAACACCTCCGCCTGCTTCTGGTGCTTCCAGTACCACAGATGTTTGCAGTGTATTTGATTCCGATCATTCGAGCCCTTTTCACTCAAGTAGGTGCAAAAATTCTAAGTGCATTAAGGTATTTATTAGTATTATGCATGCTAGAGGTAAAAAAGAATCTGTTATTTTTGTATATATGCAAATTTGTAGATAAGTCAAATGCCATTTCAGAAGATATCATCATTAAAATATAAGACAAAGTCTAAACTCCATCAACTTGAAATTTCTAAAAAAAAAATCTGCTAGAACAGCCCTTTCTTTTTAAATTTATGATACTTTAATGAAAGACCTAGTGAGAACACTGGCCGTTTAAATTTAATTTGAGCTTTTCAAATTCATTCCTCATATCTAGAGGAAATGAAGATTACTCTTAAAATCTAAATTAATTGTAGTCCCATGTTTCAAATGTTGCCTGCCCCCAGAATTATTATACAGGCTGAATATCCCTAATCCAAAAACCCAAAATCCAAAATGTTCTAAAACCCAAAACTTTTTAAGCATCAACGTGACTCTCAAAGGAAATACTCACTGGAAGATTTCAGATTTTTCTATTAGGGATGCTAAATCAGTAAGTATGATGTAAGATGTAATATTCTGAAATCCAAAAGGCTTTTGGTCCCAAGCATTTCAGATAAAGTATACTTAACATATATTTGCATACTAGGCAGGGTACACTCATCTACTCCCCATCAAATTCTTTAGTAGCTTTAAATTTTGCAATGTGTAAGATTTAAGCCCTTCTTGTCTACCCAATGGTACCCTAATGGTATATAATGTCTGCTATTACACTGTCTGTGCTTTTCAGTGCAGCCAAACAAATCTCACAGACTACACACTACTGCTTATCCATCTCGTATTTCTAGACCAGCACTGTCCTGTAGAAATATAATGTAAGCCACATGTATAACTTTAAATGTCTAGTAGCCACATTAGAAAAAGCAAAAATAACTTTAGTACATTTTATTTAACCTACTATATCAGAAATATTGTCATTTCACATGAAATCAATAAAGGAATTTATGATTGAGATAATATTATATTCCCTTTTTTTGTTCTAAGTCTTTAAAACCCAGTGTGCATTTTACACACAGCACATCTCAGTTCAGACAAGCCACAGTCAGATGCTCAATAATCACATGTGGCTAGTGGTTGCCAAACTGTACAACTTACCTTTATTTGGTCTTTTGAAAGGCTACCTTTTCAATCTAGATCACCATTAATTTTCTAATTAATTTCATGTGAAACTTTAAAGCTTTCTAAGAATCTTTTCTCATTTGTTCATTGTTGAATCACAACTTGAACCCAGTCACCTTTAACTCTTTCATGACCATTTCTACATGCTCTTACCATTGGCTGTCTTAGCTCGATGTGCTAATCAAGTTCCCCCCTAATAGTTGACATAATAGAATCTAATACTGGAGGCACCATGAGCATGACATTATTATGGGAGAGGAAGTTGAGAAGCACTAACCTCAAAGTTAGAATTTCTGGTTTATCATTCCAGTCTGCTAATTAGCTTTCTGATTTCAGATAAAATACTTTTTTTTTTTTGCCTCCTGGAGGTCAAATTCGATTTTTAAGATTCTCTCAGTTGGAAGAAACGTAACTAAAAGCATACCTAAAATAATTCTTTGGTAGTATATTATTTTGAAATTTGTTCCAGAATCCAATTGGTTTCTTCCTGTAGTATACATACATTTGTAGTTACTCAGTAGTCTTTGTTGCCATCTAAACTGTATTTGGGCTGGGCATGGTGGCTCATGCCTGTAATCTCAACACTTTAGAAGGCCTAGGTAGGAAAATGCCTTGAAGTCAGGAGTTTGAGACCAGCCTGGGCAATATAGTGAGACCCCATCTCTCCTAAAAAACAAAAAAATTAGCTGGGAGTGGTGGTGTGCACCTGTAGTCACAGCTACTTGGGAGGCTGAAGTGGGAGGACTGCTTGAGCCCCCAGGAGTTTGAGGTTGCAATGAACTATGATCATGCCACTGTATTCTAGCCTGGGTAATAGTGAGACCCTATCTCAAAGTGTATTTATCTTGAGAATACTATGACTTGGCATTATTTGGTAACTGAAGATCACTGAGTCTTTTTTTTTTTTTTTAATTTTATAAAATTTTTGGTAGAGATGGGGTCTTGCTCTGTTGCCCAGGCTGATCTCAAACTTCTTGCCTCAAACAAACCTCCTGCCATAGTCTTCCAAAGTGCTGGATTACAGATGAGCCACTGTGCCTGGCCATGGAGACACAAATAATAAGCTGTCAGATATTTTTAATAAGTTCAAATAGACACCAAATAAAAAAATTCCCATTCTCCCCAACTTGCCAAGCCCCTAAATTAAGTAATGAAATGAAACCAGCACCTTTTCAGTACATCTGATTTAAAATCATTATTTATTCTGACCCTTTTAACTCGTTGCAGGATTTTTCTTCCCCTAGAGCAGACAGCTGTAGGTCTGTATCATTAAGGATTCTCAAATAAATGTGTTATTGAAACCACATAAAAGTCATCAATTGCAAATTCTACTTCTCTTTAAGTAGCTAAAAATGAAAGAGGTGGAAAAACAGGAGATAAGCACATTAAGTTCTCTACTAGTGCTGAATCTTTAAATGACTCAACAGGGAAGAAGAAATCATTCTAGAATGCAGTGCTCTGAATCCTGCTTTGTTATAAGTAGTTACAATAGTATTAAGTTAACAGTATTAAACAGCTGGACAGGTAGAGAAAACATTGTTTCAGGAGTTAGGCTTTGTAATCTTAGACTTGAGGGCTTTCTCGATTTCTCTTCATCTGTGATAAAGAAAAACCCTATTACTGCTCCCTTTGCCTGTGGTAAAAACTGAAAATAACTATGTGCTATATTAATCCCTTCCTTAAAACTTCTCAGTTGCCTTTATGTATTAAAGGTCTCCTCCACATGCTTTTGTCTTCACTTTTGCCTAACAGATCTGCGAGTGTCAGAAGATCACCCAGAGCCTCCAATTTGCTACCCACTGTTTAGCCACCAGAGTGAATACCTACTTTCTTGTTTCCCTCAGGGCCTGACAGAAAAGAACTGCTTTGACTGCAGTCATATGTCGTCCCAACATACTCCACTCAATACAAAGTAGTACAAAGTTCCATTGTTTAAGTTTTTCAAAAGGCAAAGTTTGAGTAGAATTTTTTTTTATCAGTTATAATACTGTTCTTTTTTACTCTTAGTTTTTTCCCAAAATCATTACTTTTAAACCTATAATTAATTCTTGCAGCCAGTATCTCCTGTATGTTTTACTCCTTGCTAAGCACTTACGTGTCTTCATTGGGAAAGCCTGCAGTCTTACTAAGAGATTTAAAATATTCATAGTGCAAAGAGATTCATAGTTAAATTCTAAAAAAGTGATGAATAAATACTGAGAAGGTTATTGAAAGATGACCTCAGAATGGGCAAGAGTTGTCATGAAAAGCTTTGTGGTAAAGACAGGGCAGAGAAGTGGCCACCTACTTAGTGCTGCCACATGTACATTCAAAGCCCTGTTCCACACCTTACCCTGGCCAGGTCCAGCTTTGAGGTGATGACGACAGTTGCTGGGAAGAAGAGAAAAGACCACCAGCTCACTGCTTGTTTCTACTGCTATAGTAGAGAGGAGAGAATGATGAAAGGCTCTTGTTACCTTCCTGTTTGAAGACTCCCTGGTTGTAAAAGGGAGTCAGAGGTCTCTGTACCTCCATCCCTTAGGGGGACTCTTTACCAACAAAAAGATTGTATTACAAGCATATTAAGCTGATATGCAAGGCTTTTCCTCCTGGAAGACTGGTGTAGGTGATGAGTTTCTAATCTCAAATACATTTGTGTTTACCAGGCTTTTATGAGTTTAAGAAGTTATCTCTCATTTATATATTTTTTTTCTATAGGAAAATGCTTGTTTCTATCAAAAATGACTCCTATGTAAACTGGAGAATATCTTTCAGAGTGGTTTCAACCCTGACTGTGTAGTCTGTTGAGGAGCTTAAAAAAAAAATGTTGGCCCAGCCCACACTAAACTGTCATTGGTACCTGGGTATCAGTATTTTTTAAAAACTTCCCATAGGATTCTAACGTACAGCCAAGATTGAGGACCATTTGTCTGTCATCTGGGATTATGCTTAATAAATATTGTTTTAAAAATTAATTAGATTTCATTCCGAAGTCATTATTAGTAAATTTGTTCAGTATCTAACTGACAAGAATTTCTAGCATATATTTCTTGATTAGAGCATGTAAATTTCTGAAAGAATTTTTGTAGCATTTTCCAGGCAGTAAGATGAAGGAACTAGTGCCCCAAATTTACCAAATGCAGGAGTCTAAAAAAGCCTGTGCTATATATAAATATACTCAAAGCCAAGTTTACATCTGTGTACACAAGTGTGCATGCATATGTATTATTATTCTTTCAGAATGACTGCAGTTGTAACAGTCATGAGCTTTGTGCTTTAATTTTATTCCTATTCCTATAATGTATTAAGTGTACTATCATGTTCTTGAGGCCTGTCTCCAGGAGATGTATTTATTTTTTTTTCCAAGAAAAGTGGGACATATATAAGTAGGTAAACAACAAATCTAGATACTCCTTTAATCTCTATTACGTCAGATCTTTGGCTCCCTTTAACAACCAGGCAATCTTCAATTATAGGTGACTAATAGAAAAGAAAATCACTGGCAGAGCAACAGCTTCATGTAATTTCAGAATATAAAAATGAATTTTAATCTTCTGAAAGGTAATGTTAGAATTAGCTGGATTGCTACACTTAGGAATCATAGGTTCCAAATAACTATCAGTACGTATGGAAAATAGATAATGGAATAGATTACTTGAAATGAGGGCTGCCTAAAAAATAAGACTACTGTATCTATATAAACAATCAAGTTAACAGAAGTCATGACAGCCAAACCTGGAATGTGAGATTATCTTCCTTCTGACCAAATGTGCTTGAATAAAATTAATGTTCCAAATTATGTGAGAGATTGCTTAGAGTGTAAAAATATATATATATATATGAATTAAATCAGCTCAGTCTAGTATTATTTTAGTCTCTTGGATATTATAATGTTATCTGTTCCATGTGTTATTAATATGAGACAGCATAATATAAAACAACTATATTGATTTAGAAACAACAGTATAGATAATTTAGCCTTTTGTCTCAGTTTTCCTACTTTAATGCTCTTGGGGCTTTCGCTTTTGATTTTCCATTTTTTTTCTTAATATTGTTGAAATTAGACTTTCTAAATTTAAATTTATCAGTTTCCTATGTAAAATGAGTCCTAGCACCAAATGTTTATTGACTTTAAAAAAAAAAAGTTTATGATGACTATAAAAGGAAAAACCCTATATCACTTTTGAGCTTGTTTAAATATCCAGAGTGCTAGTTATTTTGTGATGAGAATATACACCCCAAGAACATTTTTGAAAGACATATAATTAGTAACTCTTTTATTTTTCTTTTTATATACAATAAATTTACTTGTTTTAAAAGTTTGAATTTTCAAAATAATATTTAGTAAATAGCAGATTTATATACATCCAGCTGAACTTTTTGCTTGAATTGGGTTTCTACATTTTAAAAAGTATTTCAGTAATATAGGATATTTTAGTGTTTTCATGAATGTTTTTCATTTAATTATTATGAGATCAAGTAAATCTAAAAGGAACCTTTTAAATTCCCAATATGATACCAGTTTTTTCTTCTCAAAAGTAATGAGATTTTACTATAAACGATTACAGCATTCTTTAAAACTAGAATGACAATAACATTTTCATCATAAATACAAATTTTTGCAGATAAGTTGAATATATCAATGAAAGAAGAAAATCTATTTTTTCTTGTTTCCTTTCACAGGCAATGATACCGTCTTTATCCAAGTCACACTGCCCTATGGCCCAAGTTAGTATATTTGGCTTAAGACTCATAAATCTTGCTTTGGCTTTAAAAATCAAACCAAGTATAACCTGTCCTGCTAAAACTCTTCTTGGGTCTGGCAGCATTGGTACCTTGCTTGCAACGTCCTAGAAGTGAGGCCTTCACTTGTGCTATCTTTTGATCATAAATGATTTGCTTAAATTTATGTATTTTTCATGCTTTTTACAAAACCTCGTTTCTGTCTTAAAAGAACATATTAAATAAGTGGCTTCCACATTTAACCATTTCTTTTTTACAACTGTAGAGTTCTAAATATATTTTAATGCTCAACTTTGGGAAAAAAAAAAAAAAAAGCAAGAGCATGCATGCGCGTATGGGAATGCTGGCAGCTACATGCAGTTTCTAAATCACAAAATATACTTAGCCTGATAGTAGGATAGATTATAGACAACTGCTTTTAACTTTAGAATAACTTTCTTATAATTGTAATTATTCAAAGTATAGCCTAAACACTGATAAACAAAATAAAGCTCCATTTTAATTTTAAGGTAAACTAACAATTCACTAAATTTCATTATATTAATTATTTTAAGCTAATTAATATTTTTTACTGTCCTTTCATACAAGTAATTTTAAAATGTGTACAGTGGAAAATACTAGTTACAAGCTGAATTAACTGTATATTCTCAAGGGAAAAGGTAGGTGATCAAAATGTTGATCATTTTAATAATATCAGTACACAAAGTACTCTTTTTAAGATCTATATTGTTATAACATATAATTGACAAAAAGCTTAATGCTTAAAGGGAAAAAAACTGCCAAGTATAATTTTGAATGATGGTTTAAGTATTTTTTTCATGTCTTTTTTTATAGTGTGTATAAACTAACAACCGTGTTGTTCTCCAAAGTGTAATTATTTATATGCCTACCTTACATTCTTGTTATCATAAATGTCTGTAAGACAGGTTCCGATTAGTAGCTTTACTTACCTTTTTTGTGCCAGTTCACCAACTTAGGTTCACTAGATTTTAGTGTAATTTCTGTTTTCATTGTCAGGGCTGCCTCAGTTGTCTTGAATTGTGCCCATCATCGGTAAAATGTTTAGATTTAAAGTATAATGAGCCTCTTTTTGCTTACAGGCAAAGGAGAGCCTATAACTAAACAAAATGAGGAGAGCCCCCTCACCTAGACACTATGATTCTTTCCCTTGCATCCTTTGAGAGAAATGCTAGGGAGAGACGTTAGAGAGAGTGGTTAAGAGCAGGATCTCTACTCCCAGGGACTATCCAGTAAGGTGGGGAAGTTCTATAAAATCTAATTAAGTCAAAGAAAAAAGTGAACGCATTGTAGAGTCTTAAAAATTACCATTCCAAATATTTTCAGTAGCTCACTGTCTCCTAGACATCTGAGAATCAGATACAATTAAAAATTCCAATAACAGATTAACAGTGGGAATGTTACTTCGTTCAGGCAAAATAACAATATCTTAGGCAGCTTTTCTCTAAATATTCTGCTAAAAAATGTCTGCATGCTTTTATGGCAGTTTGCTTTAATAAATAAAATACTATTGGGTATTGGTTTATTGAACTGCTTTTGGTACTTCTATACATTACTTTTAATTATAAGCAGATTCCAGCTAAGCCTTTTCAAGATAAATAAATAAAATTCCTGTGAACTTTTTCTTAAAAATTTAACATCCTACAGGATCTGCTTCTGTATCATCTATAAGTTTAACCAAAGGCACGGATGAAATGCCTGTCCCTCCTCCTGTTCCTCCACGAAGACGACCAGAATCTGCCCCAGCAGAATCTTCACCATCTAAGGTAAACTGGGAAACCTTCTTATGTAGAAATTGGAATCATTACAGTTACATTATAAACTGCTTATGTCTAGTTTAGTTCTCACTGGGATAAGTTAACATTTCAAAGTATATGGGCTTAATCATTTAAACAAGGATTACATATGGATTTAGCATGCAGTAATGTTTATTTCTTTTCTTCTGAAAGTAGTTTTTTGGCATGCTTTCAAAACCTTTGTAAACCTAAGGCTATGGTTATTTTCGGGAAAAAAAACAAAAGCTTTAGTCTATAAAGTAAGAAGAGTTTGGTTTCAAGCAGTTCTTTAAAACATACAGAAAGAAAATCCTGAAGCTTTGTATGAAGGCACATTATAAGTCAAACTGTATCTTGGCATATGCTAAAAGTTATTTATCTGAGCCCTTAATAGTAAATCTGACATACTTTTAAATGGAGTTTTCATGAACATTCTGGGTTTGGAAGATACTGTAAAGGCTCAAAATAGCTATTATTTCTACTTATTTAAATTTTTTTCTTTTTTGGCCAGCTGTCAACTTAATTAGTTCTTAAGCTGTCCAGAGAACAGAGCACCAGGATAAGTCAAGATATTCTTTGTAGAACTTCGTGAATGTTCATATAGTTAAAATTATAAAATAGGTAATTTATGCTAAATTAGAAACGCTCTTAGATTGAGTGAAAAGCTAAGCAAGCAGTAGCAAACCAAAAAAATTGTGAGGAAGGAAAAACATTAAAGTAAAAAGTTCGGCAAAAAAAATTTTTTCTATGAATTGGCAGAACCTCCCATATGAAACATATGCCAGCCTTGGCAGCATAGCAAGACCATGACCCTACAAAAAATGCCAGGCATGGTGGTGCATGCCAGTGGTTCTTGCTTCTTGGGATGCTGAGGTGGGGGGATCACCTGAGCCCAGGAGGTCAAGCCTACAGTGAGCCATGATTACACCACTGCACTCCAGTTTGGGCAACAGAGCAAGGCCCTGTTGCCCCCTCAAAAAAATTTTTTAATTAAAAAGAAAACATACGGCAAAATTACCTGTTCCACATTTAGCATCCTTCCAATAGCATGTTTGAAAACCACAACTTAATTCTTAATATAGTCATGATACTTCATAAATTTATTAATAAATGTGTATTTTATTCTTTTTTTCATTTGTTAGATTATGTCTAAGCATTTGGACAGCCCCCCAGCCATTCCTCCTAGGCAACCCACATCAAAAGCCTATTCACCACGGTATTCAATATCAGACCGGACTTCTATATCAGATCCTCCTGAAAGCCCTCCCTTATTACCACCACGAGAACCTGTGAGGACACCTGATGTTTTCTCAAGCTCACCACTACATCTCCAACCTCCCCCTTTGGGCAAAAAAAGTGATCATGGCAATGCCTTCTTCCCAAATAGCCCCTCCCCCTTTACACCACCTCCTCCTCAAACACCTTCTCCTCACGGCACAAGAAGGCATCTGCCATCACCACCATTGACACAAGAAGTGGACCTTCATTCCATTGCTGGGCCGCCTGTTCCTCCACGACAAAGCACTTCTCAACACATCCCTAAACTCCCTCCAAAAACTTACAAAAGGGAGCACACACACCCATCCATGCACAGAGATGGACCACCACTGTTGGAGAATGCCCATTCTTCCTGAGTTCCTCTGTACTGGGATGTATATTTTCCTAGCCCCAAATCCATTGCTGGCAATGGATGCACTGAATGTGCCAGCACTGAGGAGTTAAAATGAGAACTCCAAACACTAACGACTTTTCTTCAAGATGCAGTATAAGACAATGAATTTTAACCTAGATGTAATTATAAAGTGAAAATGGTATTCCAGTTTAGAATATGGAACGACTGACCTAGAGGAATTGGACAACTGATTGCACCTGAAAATCAAGTAAAGGGACTTTTTCTGGCCAATAGGCTGGAGTCCCCTTTTTGTGAAATGATCTTTATCATAAGGGATGGAAAACATAGTCTGGTGTCCAGCAGGCCCACCTGATGACCGTTTTTGTAATTCAAATTATGCACTTTTAAAAAAAACTTAAACAGGGATCTTAATATCTTCCTTTGTTTTCCTTTGCTTTACTCTTCTACTTTAGAATATTTTCTTAAAAATCACTCAAAGGACTGTGAGGAAAGGCTGTGGTACCTGACCTTGTTGAAATCAAGGCCCAGCACTGTACTACAGTCCTGTTTACAGATTATTACAGTGAACTGAATGGGTACCGAGGCTTCACCAAAGAGGTACTTTTTTTGTTGTTGTTGTTGTTGTTTTAGGAATAATTATTATCAATTTTAAGAGCATTCCCCCTCACCTGTCCCCACACACCCAAACAAAATGTGGTGGTGTTGCCTTCAAAAAAAGAGAAGTTTTGTGTCATTAACATGACAGAAGAACTTTAAAAAAAAAAACCATCAAGTATTCTATTTGCATTTAGAAGACTGTTAATCTATGCTAGATTGTCATTTTCCCTCCTTCTCCCACAAAAGTTTACTGGTAATCGATGTCATGGCTCATATCTATCCCTCTAACCATACCATGGAAATGCAGGCACCCAATGTGAAAAGGAGCACTTGCTGGGCATCACTGACACTGTTCATGTTTTACTAATAGTTGAGTAATCAGCATATCTAGAATTATCTTGCATTACCTAAATCATATGTATATAGTGAATGTTATATAATATACCTGGCAGGTCTGTTTTAATTTAATTGAATAAAGATACAAATACTTTGTTTGGCTGGCATATATTAAATTATTATATGAAGAAAATGGTTGATTCTTTTTTCTTTTAGTTGAAAAACACACAAAAACACTAAACATAAAAGCACGTATTGTGGTACGCCTTGGTTTCTAGTTCTGGATATATGTCTTAATCCTAAAGAATGATCTAAAGTCACAGTTTGGCATATAGAAAGATATTTGGTTAGAATAGGATGGGTATCTTTTAAGCAGAACTTTGTAAGTTGTAAGTTCCTAAGCAACATGTATACAGTTAAGGTTTATGTGGAACATTCTACCTTGCTTGAGGTTTTCTGCTTTATCAAATCTATTCATAATAGAACATCTACCTGCATCATTACTATCATAATATGATTATTCATAAAGTGTGTGTACTATTCTTCTGAGTCTAACATATACTGTGACTGAAATGCATGCACCTTGTTGAAGAGAAAACATTTTATTAATCTCCACTATAACGTCTGTGAAATGTGCGGTATTCCATCCTTAGAGTTATGTGGTTCATCAGTGTCTGCGTGTATCCTCTGAATAATGAAACAACATTTCCACAATTCTGTTCACCACACCATTAGAGACATTTTTAGGAGTGCTGCAACATGGTGGGAACTTAGTACTTTAATAATTTCCTATATTTATTAAAGCGTAAAATATACATCACGATAGTACAGATGTAGTCCTTTAAGACCAGAAGGTATGTTAACTGCACCATCATTAAGCAGTCTATCCTATATTCTTATTTCTTAGAGTTGAATCCTTTTTGTTCACTATCTATACCATTCCTATGATGATAGCCATTTTTCTCTTTATAAAATATTTCTTCTTGAAAAGTGTCCTAAAAAATTAATTTCATATCCCTTCTTGGATGCAAAGTGTCCATAAGACCATCCACTCAACAGTATTTATCTAAGCCAACTTACTAGTGCTGCTACAGCTAATCATGATACACCGTCCAGACTCTCCCAGGACTTTTTACCGCGCCAGCCTCGTTGTCCCTAGGATTTCCCTTTTTATGTCTCATGGATTACTTCTCTTTTTAATTGCCCCAGGCCCATTTCAAGTGAGAACCTGATAAAAGTCACATTGGACCCCATTCAATATGTCTTTGGCTAATGTGTTAGTAGCCTTCAATAAGGTGATAACCCCTTTTCAATCTATCTATAAAGAGGAAAAATTCAAATTTGGAGTTCTAATCTTATTTTTCCCAAAGGGAACTATTCTTCTACCCCATGGTTCTAGGAGACCACTTCACTGTGCAACAGCTTTATATATGCATTGTGGATAGAGGATATTTTTATTCTGAACGGTGACATTTGGGTAAAAATATTTTCTGCAGTGGTAATTCATAAGAAAAATTACAGTTGGATGCCCTTAGGTGGAGGTGAGAAAACAATATCCTCACCTTCTCAGTATGAAACATTAACTAGTTGATAAATTTTTAACTAGTTGATAAATTTATCCTTGTAACAAAAATATACTTGATGAGGGACCAGAAATGCCAGAGAGCATCATTACAAAATTCTGCTTTTGAATCCTGGACATTACAGGGGGGTGAATGCAGCATGACTTTTTGTTAACGACATTCTAAAACGTAGAACATTTCTTTTAGAAATGAAAATATTTCAAGGCTGACTTTACTTAGTGGGCTGATAATCAATATAAATAAAGAGAAGTTTTTCCCATCTACACACTTTTTAAAACAGGAACAGATAAGAATATGTGTTTCTAAATTTATTAAAATACTGAGGTTATTTACTCTTCCCAGTCCTCCAAATATATTTTAAGACTATACATTATCAGGAAGTATACAAACACTGAGATTTGGCTTATTTAAAGGTTGTTGGGCATCAAGTTATGTTTAGTAGGTTACTATTCTCTTAAGGACGCTTTAACGGATCTGAATTTAACAAAGAGCATACCACACTAATACTACAATCAACAACAGTCCAGTCAACAATTACTATGTCAGCTGGAGGCTATATTATGATTCTAAATTTTTAAAGGTTTTTTTCCCTGTCCATAAATCAAAAATTACCTTATGTAAACCAAAAATTAGTTGGTATTTATGGTCATTATCCTAATTCTCAAGTTTAGCTTACTTTAAAATCTTGTACTTCATTGTCTTTTAATATGACAAATTCAGACTTTTAAGTGGCTCAGTAAAATAAATGAGGAGTGTCCCAATTAGTGTTGTACATATTGAGGAAAACTTTTTTGTTCCTTCAGATTTAGAAACAATTTAACCACTTATTTCATGGTATTCTGCTGCTGTGAATAGATTTACTTATTCTTTTAACATATATTATATGACTACACAAGTATAGGTCCTGTTGTAGTCCACATTAATCTTTACCAGTAAATAAACATCACAAGGTTAATACTGGTTTGGCAGAAAGAATTATGCAGTAAAATTATTTATAAGGGAACATGATGATTTTATTCAATATTTTTCTTCTTTGAAACATCTCATTACTAACTTATAAAATTACTTCATAATCCCTTATACATGAGCCAATGAAATATTTTTTGAGTTCTTAAGCATGAAGACTATATTTAAAATCTAAACAATAAAAGCACTTGTAACTCGTTTAGTAAATTCCATGCCTTATTTTCCATTTTTGACACCGTAAAGTGCATTTTCTGTCAACTGTGAGCAAATTTCCCTTTTGCCTTTAATGAAAATAGTGCATTAAGTAGCCAATTGCTGCAGAATTATAAAGCAAGTTAGCTAACGGTGGGTCACATTGGACTACCACTCAAAGAAACAAGATACATAACAGATGGAAGGTACATGTGGTGTGGCTTAGGGAGAGCGCACCTGTGCCAGATGCATGCCACTTTCAGTAGCTGCCAAATGTGCCTTTAATTAAGAACATCTCTAATTTTTTTCTTCAGATCAAGTCAGCATTTGGGGGCGGGATTAGGGCAGGGAACTTTGGGGTGCAAATATCTGGTGAAACCACCAGAGAATTTGTCAAAGTGACATGTATAGTTTTAGTTGAGATGTGTTTGTGTATATATGTGTATTTGCCTTTGTTTAGTAGCACGGTTATTTGCTAAAAATAATTGTCAAAAAAAAATTGCTCTGTCGGTCTTACTTTGATGTAAGAACAAAGTGTGGTCTATACATCTAATATGGCCTTTGTACCTAACCATGTTCATAGGTAATCTTTGTACTCTGTGTGCAGCAGTATTTGGTTTGCATTTTAAGTGAAAATAACGGCTGTTATTTTTCTGGCATTACTAAGATAAACCGAAAAATAATAAAGAAAAATGCCTTACATAGCCCACAAGTGTATTATTTTTGCATGTATTTATTTTAGAGAGCAGTATTTTTTAAATCATTAGTGACTCCCATTTAGCTCATACTTGTCATATAGAAATATTTTGCATTTTATCATGGTCTTTCTTTGGAGGCACTTTTTCCTTTATCAAGTTATAAAAGGATAAAAGAAGTTTCATATTTCCCTCTGTGTCAGGTTTTCTCATTGTAGTGAGTGGGAGGCCCTTGGGATGAAAATTAGTAACTTAAAAGTGACCTTGGGTGTCACCTGGATGAAGTTTCAGAGTGCTAAGGCATTTGTATTCCATAAAAGAAGTTTTGAGATACCACAGCTCCCTGACAGGCAGCTTTTGCTGAGATCTGCGGGAATGAGGCAGTGACCGTCAGTAATGCTTTCTAGGCTTGCCATGAAAATATGAGTTTAAGGTTGTAACTAAAGAATTATGCAAATGTACTGTCATTCAATGTGAACTATAGAATGTAAAAATTAATGAATCCTTAGAGAGCCAATCCCCTAATTTAAAAATAAAGGTAGATGAGGCCTGAAGAAGTGACATGACTTCGCCAACATCATATAGTAGTTAGTGAATCTGACCACTGACTCGGCTTTGATCCCTGGTATTTGGAGGACTGCTTTCAGGAATACCAAAATTAACTGGTGACTTTTACCCCCTGGTTTAAAGACACGATGTCACTGATTTATACAGATTCATTTGGTAGACCACTGTGAAATCCAAGCATGAATTATCGAGTATATTCTAGGAATTTAATAGCTATAGGAAAATAATGTTCTTATTAATTCAACTTTCTGAATATTTCTCTTGAAATGTCACTTATTTTGAGCTTTAACCAAGTGATTTACTTTTTAACTCATTTTAATCCTGTTAGGTCATCGCAGATCTGTCATATGGTACAGTCCATGGTTAAGCCTGCCTTTTTGCTGACAGGCACACATAGTGTCCAGAGGGAAGGAGGGCTTTGATATAAAGTACAATTCCAGAAAGGCAGTTTATCCTTTGTTTATCCTAAAATGTTTATCCTAATATTTTAGGACTCTTGATTCTTACTGGAGACAAGAAAAACTATAGCCTACTTAAAAGCTAATTTCTCTACCTCAGTAACTCATGAAGAAAAGGAAGAATCAACTTGATAGAAACAAGCAGGTGCTTTGGAATTATGTCTGTGTTCACCTTCTGGTTCCATTATTACATGAGTGACTTTGGAGAAATTAATCTGTTTCACATCAATACAAGGGGGTTAACAGATCTACTATTTGAGTCTATTACGAGGTTTAAAGGTAATATGTATAAAGCACATGCCTTTCACAGAGTAGGTGCTTAGTAAATGCTAACTAAATTCATATGAGGGATGCACTGTCAAAGTTTATTGGCTTTTAGGTATCTTTTAAGAGGCTGGTTGCTTATCCTGAAGCCTCATAATTTGATACTTTACTATCTGACTTCCTTTGCTGTTTATCATCACTTAAATTGGTTCTGAGTGACCTTAGGTTATAAATATTTGATAAGGGCCCATCTGACTATTCAGCATTCAACAAATATTTATACTTCCAGGTACAATTCTGATATTAGGAATATGGCAAATAAACAAAACAGGCAAAAGTGCATGTCATCGTGGGGTTTATAATCTAGTGAGGAGATGCAGACAATAAAAAGTAGTAAGCATAATAAATAAATATATTATACATTCAAATGTTTTCACTTATGAACAAAAAAGGATATGGTGATTGGGAATGTGGGGTCCAGGGGAGGTGAACTTAAAATGGAATGGTCAGAAGCCTGCCTCCTAGAGATGACATTAATAGACTTGGAAGAGGTGAGGGAACAACACGTGCACATATCTGGGAGAAGACTACGTCAAGTCACAGGAAACAGCCAGTGAAAAGTCCAGAAGCAGAAGCGTACTTGGTGTATCTGAGGAATAGTGACACTGCTTGTATCTGGAGAAGAATAAATGTGGGCAGAATAGAAGGAGATGCCATCAGAGGTTTGATAGAACCCAGCTCACTTAAGGCTTTAAAAGCCTTTGTAATGACTTTGACTTCTTAGTGACAGAGCAACCAGTGACAAGATCTGATTTACATTTAAACAGGATCACTCTGGCTGCCCTGTTGAGAATAAAATAGTAGGAATAGAGAGACTAACCCAATACAAAAGTGACTTGGACCAGGGTGATAGCAGTGGAGGTGTTAAGAAGAGGTCAGCCAATATGAAAAACAGAATTGTTAAAGATGATGTCAGGGTTTTGGCCAGAGCAACTGGAAGGATAAAGTTACCATTAAATGGGGTGGGGAAGATACGGTTGAAGCAGGCTTGGACACATTAAGTTCAATGACTATATTAGACATCTTAAGAGATGTCAAGGAGGCAGTTGAAGATGTTAGTCTGGAGTTTGGGAGAATAGTCTAAGCTAAGGGTATTAAATTGGGAGTCACTTTCATAAAGATATTAAAGCCTGGATAAGACCACAAAGGAAGTGAGTATAGACTAGAAAAAGAGGAGCTCTAAGCAAAGGAGAACTATGGGGCACTCTAACATTAAAAGACGGGGGCGACAGGCCAGGCCTGGTAGCACCAGCTACTCTGGAGCCCGAGGCGAGAGGATCGCTTAAGCCCAGGAGTTTGAGGTTACAGTGAGCTATGATCATGCCTGTAGAGTAGCTACTGTACTCTAGCCTGGGCAACACAGAGGTCCTGTCAGAAAGAGGAAAAAGGAAAGGAAGAAAAGCGGGGAGTAGAGATGGGAAATCAGCAAGTACACCAAGAAGAAACTGCTAGTGAAGAAAAATTTGAAAACCAAGAGTATGTTATGTCTTTGAGTCCTAGTAAAGACAGGACGTGATCAGCCTGTCAAATGCTACTTGATAGAGTAAGATGACTGAGAAGGAACCATTTGTTTGACAGTATGGAAGTCACTGGGTGATCTTGACACAAGCAGTTCAGGGCAGTGGTGTGGGCCAAAGCCTGGGCCTAGTTTAATAAAGAATGGCAAGAGAGGAACTGGAGCAGTTTCCTCTTTGAAGCTTTAGAATAAAGGGAAGCAGAAAACTAGGCCATAGCTAGAACTGTCAAGAGAGGATTTCTTTTGCTTTAAAGATGGGAGAAATAAGAGCGTGTTCGTATGCTGAAGGGTTTGTCCCAGTTTAAAAGAAAAATGTGATGAGAAGAGATGGAAGCACAGATGGTATCTACCAACACCTTTACAGTAGATCCTACTATTAATATCTTCAGATAGATAGGCTTACATACATGAGAAAAAAAGCCAACACATTCAGCTTTCTTGATAAGAATTAAGAGCATTTACTGCTATTATGTATCTGAAGGGAATGAGGCAAGAAGGAATAAAAATCTTGTTTTGTAGATAAGGAAGAAGTTGTGATGACATTCAAGATTATGTACGAAGCTCTTGGAAAACAACAACAGATTTTAAAGTTACTTGGTTTGGGGATAAAAATTTTGATTATTTTGAACATCTGACAATCTCCCACAAAGATATTTTTAGCATTGCCTAAATTCATTCCTTTATATTCTGTATTTAAAACTCAGCTATAGTGTCACACATCAATTTCTATTTTTTTCCCCTTAAAATATACAGGTCTCCATCAGTTTTCTCAACCTTCTTTTAACCCATCTTCCTTTTTGAAAAACTGTACCTCTCCTTTCCTTTCCTCCCAACCCACTCCCACCAGGTGAGACTCACTGGCCCATGTACTATAAATACCAGACTGCTCAGATGCTGTGAGTACTGCCCTCACACCTTCAAATGAACTTTCAGGACAAGAGAATCCCAACCATACCAAAAGCATTACTGTTCTAGACACAGGAAGAAAGTTATTAATGGTGATGTTTCAAGAATCTGAAACTAATTTTATGATACAACTTAATGCAGAAAAATCTGTCATGTTTCTAAGTGCATGCAGTCGGTTTTCTGGAATATACAATTTTACCAGTTATAGAGAGCAATGATCATGTGCATACGTACATTCTTAAATCAGAATCTTACTGTGATAGTAAAGGTCACAGATAATTGTGAATACAAAAATATTCACTGGTTTTCAATGAATTATTTGTTTTTTGTATCTCAAGATAATCAGTTCTTTATTCTGTTTTAAAATCCAGCCTATGAATAGAATCTGAATGCTGAAACTGACATACTAGATCATACTATATGGTGACCTAATAGATGGTATCTCTAAAATTTCAGTGGGACAGTGACTTGCAGGACTGCCTTAAAATGCAGATTCCTTTGAAAAACCACCTATCAGGTCCTAGGCTTATGACCTAGGTGACCAAAAAACCTGTTAACCAAACCCCCATGTCATACAATTTACCTATATAACCACCCTGCACATGTACCCTGAACCTAAACGTTAAAAAAATGCAGATTCCTGGACCCTACCTCCAGATAATCTAATACAGTAGGACTGAAATGGTGCCCAGGAGCCTGCATTTTTTCAAGTGCCCTCATGGAGGTGATGTATTAGTTAAGACTTAAAGGCAGTGAGGAAATGAGAAACGAGGTGCTATAGAAAACACTGTTCAAAGGGTTTCCCTGATGTTCTAGTATCAAGTCCCAGACTAAACTATTTGTTACAGGATGAAATAGCCCACTGGGGAGAACCCTAGAATCTGGTCCACAAATCCTTGGTTCTCAAAGGCTCCGATTCGGTAGTCAGAGAAGCAGGACAGTCCTTGCTTGGGCCTATATATATACTGATCTCACAAGGCTATAGAAAGGTCCTACTGCAACTCCTAGACTGTGCAAAATATCTACTTCATCTTTTGGTAGAATGCTTCTTTCTGATTATCAACTCAAATACTTCTCAAAGACATCTGTGGTCTCCTATGTAAAGTGCACTTCTCCAGAGGGCTGGAAGTCACAAATGTAGCCATTGTCAAGTTCTTTTCCACACTGCTCCATCCATGCATTACTTGATGTGATGCAACACAGTGCCTGGTGGCCCATGCCTGTAATCCCAGCCCTTTGGGAGGCTGAGGCGGGAGGAGGCTAGAGCCCAGGAGTTTGAGACCAGCCTGGGCAAGATAGTGAGACCTTGTCTCTACAAAATTTTCTAATCAGCCAGGTGTAGTGGTGCACACCCGCAGTCCTAGCTACTCAGAAGGCTGAGGCAGGAGGATTGCTTGAGGAGTTTGAGGCTGCAGTGAGCTATGACCTTTCTTTTTTTAATTGGTGAGATGTTTTCTAATGTTAGATGCTGTGAAAGTGACAGTGGTGCCTTTAACTGCTTCTGAAGGCAACTATGTTTTTTCTTCGTGACTGATATTTTTCCTTTAAAGAAAGGCAGGGAGGTAGAGTGATAACTGAAGCTGTCAAATTAAGAGTAAAACTTATTTTCTGTAGCTCTCTACTTATTAAAGCACCACCATTAATGTTGGCATCGACTACTTATTGTGTACCTACTATGCAGTCTTCAAGACGTTAAAAGGAATTTTAAAATATATGGCAAATATATATATTATGGCATAGTTCCTGCCCTTGAGGGGACTCATATTCTTACTAGGAAGATACAACAAACACATAAAAAGATAAGTTACACCACAAGAAGTCACAAAGAGATGAAGAGACTTAAACTGGGTCTTAAGATCGGCAGAGAGGACGGAACTAGAGAAAGGGCATAAACCAAGAGTGAGCCTGGGCAAGGTGCATGAATGACTGAGAAACAGTAAAAACCCAGTTTACTTGAGGTAAGTCAGTTCACCTAGAACTTTGAAAAGTATGAGATGGTAGTCAGCGAGAAAACCTAGACCCTTACTGGAGAGAGCAAGCCTTGGATGTCAAATCAAGAAGTTTGGAATTTCACTGTAGACCAGTAAAAACAGAAGAGTTTCACATAAAGCAATATTTGGGAATACTGTATTAGAGACATGCAGGACAGATGGGAGCAAAGAGTGCCTGGAGGCAGTTAGAAATGGGATCTAATTAAACTTAAGAGCCCTGCACAGCAAAAGAAGCTATCAATAGAGTGAACCAGCAAGCAATGGAATGGGAAAAAAAATGTCTCAATCCACTTATCTAACAAAGGGCTAATATCCAAAATCTATGGAAAACTTAGATTTACAAGAAAAAAAAAACATCAAAAAGTGGGCAAAGGATATGAAGACACTTTTCAGAAGAAGACATTTATGCAGCCAACAAATATGAAAAACTCATCGTCACTGGTCATTAGAGAAATGCAAGTCAAAACCACACTGAGATACCACCTCATACCAGTTAGAATGGCGATCATTAAAAAATCTGGAGACAACAGATGCTGGAGAGGATGTGGAGAAATAGGAACGCTTTTACACTGTTGGTGGGAGTATAAATAAATTCAACCATTGTGGAAGACAGTGTGGTGATTCCTCAAGTATCTAGAAACAGAAATACCATTTGACCCAGCAATCCCATTACTGGGTATATACCAAAAGGATTATAAATCATTCTATTATAAAGATACATGCACATGTTTATTGCGGCACTGTTCACAATAGCAAAGACTTGGAACCAACCCAAATGCCCATCAGTGATAGACTGGATAAAGAAAATGTGGCACATATATACCATGGAATACTATGCAGCCATTAAAAAATGAGTTCATGTCCTTTGAAGGGACATGGATGAAACCAGAAACCATCATTCTCAGCAAACTGACAAAAGAATAGGAAACCAAACACCGCATGTTCTCACTCATAAGTGGGTGTTGAACAATGAGAACACATGGACACAGGGAGGGGAACATCACACACTGGGGCCTGGGGGGTGGGGGCTAGGGGAGGAATAGCAGGGGGTGGGGGGATTGGGGAGGGATAGCATTAGGAGAAATACCTAATGTAGATGACGGGGCAATGGAGGCAGCAAATCATCACCAAGGCATGTGTATACCTGTGTAACAAAGCTGCACGATCTGTACATGTACCCCAGAACTTAAAAGTATAATAAATAAATTTTTTAAAAAAGCAAGCTACAGAAAATCCAGGTGTCAAATGATTGGGACCACTTGGGGAGTAAGTACAGCATTAATTATTTCTAGTTTCATAAAATACAACTCAATTATTCTGGAGTTACACTACAGATGTAACATCAAGATTTTTCATAGGATGCTACCAAAATAAAATTGGTGAGGTGTATGATAGTTTTTCAGCCTTTCTAGTAACTGATCAATTTTAGTGATAAACAGAAGATGAAAGAGAAAGGAATTTTATTGTGTTTACATTTTATTTAATAGGTTGTGACTTCTGTAGTATTTCACTTTCCATGTCCAGTCAATTTGGCATTGTGCTTTCAAGCACTGCTGGCCTGATAATAGAGAAAAATATAATTTCAAATGAATTCATTAACTTCAGGGAAATGAAAATCTTGGCTTAAACTTAAATATTGCAAACTCCAAAAACTTGGCAGTGATCCTTTATGTGTTCCAGACAATTACTGTTCCAAATGCACTAGGTAAGTTCCTAATTTGTCATCAAACAGAAGAAAACTTGCAACACTTAGAAGTGAACTTTTGCCTGTTTTATCAACAAACACATCAGTAGAGGAACAGCTTCTGAAGACACCAGTTTGAGTAACAAGACTTTGAATGAACAGAACTCAAATGCCCCTAATTTACTATAGGGAACTGCCTGGGAGTAAAGACAAATTGTTTAAACCTAATTTTTTTTCTATTATAAATCTGATGTTTGGGGCATATCAAGGATGCTGGCCATGTTGGACATATCCATGTGGAAACAGCACGTTTTATCACCCCAGAGCCAGGCATACCTGTTGCAATTTGATTCCTCTATCTGAGCTGTTAAGAGCTTTATTTACAAAATAGGAAAACAGTCAAGTACTGCAATCCTGAATTTTCACTTTGACCTGGTGTTTGTAGCAACCACTGTGTGTGAGTCACTAAAGTTTTGGTGCTACTGCCACCTTCTTTTCAGGCTGCAGAAAGTCTTTTTAAAAGGATGTGGCTAAATCACTGCTTTTTTCCTAGTCCATCAGGTCATGAGTGTGTGTGACACTCAAGATCACTAGTGGATCTTTAATACTGAGTAATCAACAAAACAGTCTACACTGTTTCCATCCTCAGCATAACCCACACAAGGGAAAATGTTTGCCTTCCTCTCTCCCCAGTCTGTACAGAAATCCTTGTTCCCTTTACTGATTTCCGTAACCACAGAACAAGTTTGTAGATCAATGTGTTTTTAAGCTTTGAACTTTCTGAATCATGGTTTCAGCACAAATTCTGCGTAACTCAAATTTAGAGCATATAAAATACAGTTTGTTAACTAATCCTTTGCCTTAAGAGATGTTAGATATGGCCTTGAGTTTTTGGAAGACATGAAGCCAGACAGAACTGGACCCTAACACAGTGTATATTAATTAGTCTAAGAACACTGGATGAATTAATAAGCTAAATGCTAGGAAGCATAAAATTCACATCCATGTTAAATAGGAACATTCTTAATATTATACTCGGGGAATGACTTCAAGGTAGAAGTTTTCATTCTTACAAACGTTTATTTTCCTTCAAATTTATTGTGTTTTTCTGTAATGATGTGAAAAGTCTTCATTTCCCTTTTCCCCAGTGGTGAGGTTCAAAAAGCCAGATCTTAACCAGAAACTAATCTTCATCTCTTCAATGTCTTGTATGTTGATTTAGTTTCATATGTATTTATATTAGTTTTCCTCAGGGATTTATACATCGATATATATATATATATATATGTGTGTATATATATATATTCCTACACAGATATATACAAGCTTTTTATCCTCATCTTACCACTTGACAATACAACTTTAAGTATGTTTTACACAGCTGTTCCTTGGTCAAGGTCATTTGCAAGAGCAAGTCGGTTTCTGAAGAAATCTTGTTTGGTGGGTGAAGGATCCATTGAGAGATTCTCATTAGTTTTTTCCCTGTATTCTGATCCACTGGACCTAAAATCTCAGCACACAGATAAAGTACAGGTTGATTTGGTTTTAATTGTTTTCAAATATTTTATCTATCCCAATTGTTTTGCATTTGTAAAACAGTTGCTCCCTAGATCTGGAATACTTTTTACTCCCTTGAATTTCATGACTTAGAATATGTGTATCTAAGATTTGCATTGAATATAAAGAGAGTATCTTTCTAATGCTTTATGAGGACAACTGTGACAACTGTATATGTCAGTGTAAGATATTGTGTAATAACATCCTAATAGGGGAACAAAAGCTCAGAACATTCAAGAAATCCTGTTTCTGATTCAGTGAAGTAACAACTCCACAAATTACCAAGGCCCTTACATTAAAATGATGGAATTCATGGTTCTCAACCAAGGTTACCAAGGACCTTCATTGAATTTGGTATTACATTACAAACTCTTGCTTTTGCTTGTTTTCATTTTTAAATCAAAGATTTATTGAAGCCAACCACACATATATGCTACATTTGGTAGAATGCAGAAATTCGTACAGTAATCAGATTGCAGAGATACTATAATCTCAACCACCGCAAAAGAGACCAAAGCCAATTAATAGTCAACAACTGAAATCAGTCCATTTGAGTCCCCAGTCGAGGGTGCATTCTTCCTTTATCTTGGTTAAGCCACTTGGGTAATCCATTCCAGCTCTGTACCTTCTCCAGTTTTCTCAAGTCAGAAGTCCCTGGAGGGAGGAGGCTTTCTGGAAATAATCTCTGATAAGCTAAACTGGGGCCCTTTGACTAGCTTAAACTCTAACCTAGAATGGGTAAAACTAGTCCAGACACTCAGAACCAATATCAAAAAACCTCATGCAGGGTGTATGAAAGTGATGTTAGACATGAAGTTCTTTGTCCAAAGTTCCTATACAACTGACCAAGTTCTCCATATGCTGAGGCTGTCAGGTACACTTCCACTATCCACCAAAGAAGGGTCCAGGGCCTCTGAGTCCTTGCACTATTATTGGTTTGCTACTGTTGGCTCCTCACTCTTATTATTAGATATGTTAATCATGACTATCATTTACTGAATTAATGGGCAGAATTCAAACATCTCTTTACATTATCCAAGGAAGAAGTTGGATCCACAAAGACTAAAAACCCTAACATCTGGAAACCCAGTGACTGACTAGGTGTTTTCACTTTGCACCCTGATAATCAATATCACAGATGAAGCCATAGCCACCCGCCATGCTTTCTACTTCGGGTTTGTAAGGAGCACTTTTCCACTATGTCCCAGTGCAGAGAGGAAAAACTATTCTCTCTCTCAACTCCAGTACATCTGGGTACTCATCAAGCAAGATACCTGAGTGGGATGAGGTTCTCTTCCTTTTCAGGAACCCCCCCAAGTTCTCCTTTGAAAGAGCTTCCACATGGCCCACCCTAAAACTCCAGGCCTTCTCTCATCTTTCACAGATCCCCCTACCTCCGGTTCAAATCATCCCTGATTAGTGCAGTTGTACCCCAAATTTAGGAAGATGTATTTTTGACCATTTCATTCTTTCCCTATGTCTTCCAATATTCAGAAGACAAGGAATGCCTACAATTTTGGGGGCAGGAAGTAGGGAGCAGGATTTGAATTGGGCTGTTATTTCTTCTTGTTCCCCACGGGACAGTTTCTCATCAGAAAGTCATTAGTCAAAACTTGAAATCTTCGCCTGGTATTTCCCCTCTTGGCTACATCTGGTCTCTCCAAAACCCAATATGTCACACTTTGATGGTTCCAACATGCAACTGTTTAGTGTTTACCTGAAAATAGGAAAGCTTTGATGTCACCACCAGCCCCAAGGACCACAGAAATCTTCACCAGTTGCGTTCCCATTTCTGAAACAAATGCCAAAATCGCCCTGTCTAGTTTTCAGAGTCCACAAACTCAGCTTAAATTTTTTTAACTGCTCTTCTCACAAATTGTACCTTCCCTGTCTCCAGTGTCTGAATTTCTCTGCATTTCTTGATATTAATAAAACAGCTAAATTGCTCATCCTTTTCAAAGTCCAGCATTCTACTACAGCCATGACTAAAAGCTCATTTTCATCCTTGTAAATATCATTTTAACTGACTCTTTATAATGCTTATGTGTATACAGCCACCTGGACTCTTCCAAAGGTGTGACTGTTAGGCTCTGAAGTAGTGCATACCTAAATTACTAGGAAATAACCTGTAGAATCAAGGAGAAAAAGCCAGCAGATCTGCTTTTATTCCCTTTCTCTATGAAACAGAAATGGCTTTTGAGCTCCTGGAGCCATTGTGGCTGACTGCAGGGCGTATCTGAGCAGACATTAAAGGAACAGGTAGGCAAACACTTGCTGGGGAAGGGTACAATGGCTGCCAGGACATACTGACACATAACCATCCAAGTATTTGATGGAAAGAGGAAAAGACAACAGACCTGTTGCTAACTTTCCTTTCACTCAAGGGTGACAAAGAAAATAGCAAATTGAATAAGTCAGACAAGGTCTACATTTGCTATTAATAAACCTGGAAAGCTTGTTTGGAGCTGGGGATGGGAGAGTAGTTGAATCCAGTGCTGTAAAAACCTCTGACTTAAGAAGGCTTGGTTCTCTGATTGGAAAGACTATCTTCCTTGAAAGGTTTAGGAGACATGCATCTCTCTCAAGAAGTAAAGGGCAAGGAAACACCCATCCTGTCAGCCAGTCAGTCAGCCCTGGTAATCAAAGCAACAGCCTTGTGTGGCTCCACCTTTATTTCCACTCAGACAACACTTCAGATTTTAAATCCAAAGGACAGCACCAATATCATGGAGGCAATCTGATTGACGCAGGAGGGACTGATCTATGAGAAAGGACAAGAGGACTAAGGGAATCCACCGGCCCTTTATCTAAGGAGAATCCCAAACAGCTGCAAGAGGACTGACAGCAATTAACCAACATGAGTTTGGAGAGCCCATAGCAAATGAGCATTTATTTAATGTATATTAGTTGAGTGCCTACTATGTGCTACGTATTACACCTCATATCAATAGTTAGGTTACCCTTACATTGATCTGTAAGCTCCTAATGGGCAGGAACTATTTCTCTTACATCTTTTCTGCTGGACAGAACCTAGTATATTAAAGACCCTTAATTGGTTGATTTCAAATGGCTTATTGAGAAACATCTGTAATCAAGGTTAAGTAATCTAAAATGTTTACCCCTTCAACTATCCCCTTTAAAGTTATATAGGAAATGAAATGGAGAATGAGAAAGAACCCCAAACTGAGTAAGAGTGGGAGAGGGACTTAAAATGAGCTTTAAGGAGATAGAGAATAGGTGAGATCAAGTTATCAATGATTCTTTAGCAGCCCTGCTTCTATTCCATGGTCTGTTCAACAGCTGAAGCTGGACATATACAAAAACTGCTGGGAAGACACCAAAATAAGACCATTCGCTGACATGAAATGATTACATTCGGGGCCCTGTAGAAGTACTCTCTCTGTGTGTGATTAAGAAAATCGATGGTGATAGGATTGGTGGAGGGAGGGTGATGACAAGGAAGGAGACACTCTGACGCATGTAAATTTTAAAGTGCTAAAGAGGAAGTGGATGAGCAAGGAAGTAGAATTAATCATCTGGAAGCCATATTCTTTATCTCCTACTCCCCTGAAATTGGAAAATAAAAGAGAGAGTACCATCTACATGCCCTACTCCTAAGCTGTCTCACGTGAGCCTCTTCCCCACTGCCACATCTGCCATCGACAATACTCATTAAGTGGTGCAAGGTGTGTATATTAAGGTGACATATAATTTGCCCCAAACTTCACAATAATCTAGGTTTAAATCTTTGACAGCCTCTGTATAGATCTTTCTAGAAGGGGATAGTTTGTCTTCCATCCTGCTCAAAGGCAGGGGAATAAGTTCCAGTCTAGCATCAGCCTACCATAGTAAGTCTGTTCCCTCTAAGAATACTCATTTAAAATGTTTAAAATCATTTAACATTTCCAAACTTTAAGATATGTAGCCTTTATTCTGATCAATTCTGGGTACCCTTCAGGGACATGTGACCTTGTAACTACCCAGGACAAATGTGCCTGAGATGGAAACAATCAGAGGTCATTCTTTTCCCCAAATATTGTGGGCATTTTTCAGAATTGTTTTAATGATGTCAACTTGACTCCCTTTTGAATCCTTGTGGGTATGAGCCTTCGGCCCTCCCAGCCTCAGAGGGAAGAGAACCCTTTCTCAGGATTTCTGTTGCATCTGGCTCCATGCCTAGCTTCATCCCGAAGCAGCATTCTGGGTGTGTGGGGCCACCAGCCAAACAAGCCCCTATGGAACAAAAAGTGTATCAGTGTAGACAGGAATGAGCCTCCAGAGGGCTGTGGGGGAGGAAGGCAGTGAGCCCCAGACAGGACACAAGTGGCTTTGCTGGCACTGGCCCATGTGAACCTGTGAGGCCAGGCTCTGCAATGGTTCCAGTACTCAGGATTGGCCACTTCTTAAAGTCCCAGGGCTTGCTGCCAGCCTGACATCCTGACATGCAAGAGGAGAATGGGCTGAATGTCTCTTCTGGTTCCTTCCTCTGCCTGTCCACAGGCCTGACTTCAGAGTGCAAGTTCCTGTGTAATGGCTGGGACTGTGTCATTCATGATTCCTATACAAGTGTCTTGCATAGTGCATGCATATAAGATTGAATGCTTAATTGATGAGAAGAATGGTGTGTTCTCATCTGAGTTAAAAGCCACTGCCCTTCCTGTGCTACACTGGGGTTTCCCTGACCTTCCTCTTTACTTTAAAATGGAGCAGACTTTCCATCATCCTCACATGAAAATACTCAGAAAATGCTACTTAAGCTGCCTCTTCAACCCATGCAAAGTCTCCAGAGTGCCCACTGCAGCACTCCAAGCACCTGATGGTACTGACTACACTAGGCCAAATCTAAAAAGCCAGGAAAGCCTGCCAGACGGTCATCTGTGTGGCTCCACCTTTACTTCCACTCAGACAACACTTCAGATTTTAAATACAAAGGATAGAATCAGTATTGGTGGCGACAATGTAATTGATGCAGGAGGGACTAATCTATAAGAAAGTACAAGAGGATTAAGGGAATCCCAAACAGCCCCAAGAGGACTGACAGCAATTAACCAACATGAACTTGGAGAACCCATAGCAAGTCCTCTACATTATACCAATGTCTGTGGGGAGTTACAAAAAGATAAAACCTGGTCTTCTACATGCTAGGGCTTTAAAATTGTTAAGTCCCAAAGCCTCATTAATTTCTTGTTTCAGGTGATAAAAAGATGTGATTACCCAGATTGAACTACAACAAAGACAAACTATAGATAAAGCAAATCCCCACAATGGAAAGGACTCTGGTGATTTCTTCAACAATCTCCCACTCGGTGCAGGGACCACTTTCATAGTATCCCTGACCAGAGACCTCTCATGAACCCATTCCCTAATGACACAGCCAGCTCCAGTTCCAGGCAGCTGCATTTGTAGGAAATTCTTCCTCTTAGCCACTGCTCCTAGTTCTGCCCTCTGAATCCAGAGAGGACAAATACACTCCCTCTGTCTCATGTCACTGGCAAAACAATTTCTTACACCTCTCTGACAAATAGGAATTTGTAAAGGGACCAGTGGTGGATCTATTGCTCATTGTTTTCCAACAGACAGCACCCAGTCATTATAAATGACAGTGGGCAAAAAGTGGCTGTTTTGGGAATACTTTGGTTTAAAAAAAAAAAAGATAGGCTCAAGCTGTGCCCTTAGGATTTTGGAATCCTTAGAAGGATGCAGGAGTCTGACTGGGCACGGTGGCTCACACCCGTAATCCCAACACTTTGGGAGGCCAAGGCAGGTGAATCACTTGAGGTCAGGAGTTCAAGACCACCCTGGCCAACATGGTAAAACCCTGTCTCTACAAAAAATACAAAAACAAAACAAAACAAAAGTAGCCAGGGGTGGTGGCAGGTGCCTGTAATCCCAGCTACTCGGGAGGCTGGGGCAGGAGAATAGCCTGAACCCAGGAGGCAGAGGCTGCAGTGAGCTGTGATTGTGCCATTGTGCCCCAGCCTGGGCAGCTGAGCAAGACTGCATGTCAAGAAGGATTCAAGAGTCTAAATCCCAAGGGTGGACTGGAAAAGTACCTGTTTCCAGGTTCTCCCACCCCTGTCAACTTGACAGATGTTGGCGCTGGGTCAAGACAGATCTATGATTCTAGAAAGAGGAATACAATTCTTAACTCTTCAAACCCTGAGTAAGGTGGGTTGAGGATCCAGCAACAGCATGCAAGCACACACTGGGTTCCTCAGCAAAACTGAAAGGGAATGCTGGGCTCTGGCTAAATGTAGACCTGTTGTTCTTTCTTCCTCTTCCCCCTTCTCCAATAACAATAGGTACCACTAATCTTAGTACCACCCTCCCCACAGGAGTACAATTACAATTAGACAAACCAGCAAGAACAAAGTCCCCAATTCCTCCACCAATACCACAATCTAAATCAGCCTGTGACCTTGACCTTCAAGGAAAAGGTGATTTCCCTGTGCTTCCTTACTCATCAGCAGCTCTCCAAAGGCAGCAATAAAGCCTCTGTTTAACTTTTCCACCCACTAAAATATGAAGACTTACTATTTAAAACTGACTGCAAGAGCATCCTCCACCAAGAGTAACTAAGCAGCAGGGAAAATCTCTCTAAGGGGGAGGGAGGGAGGTCTGAGCCAGTGGAGACTGAAACAGCAGTTTCTCAGGCAGGCAGCGGCTGGACTGGCAAATCCCTCTATGGTCAAATGCTAATGCTCACCTCTCTCTTCCTTATATTTTATGCTGGGGTCAGACTATAAGACAGTGCTGACCAAAATGCCTGGTGGGTGATGTTTTATACAACAACAATGACTTAGAATCTCAGAAGGACCACAGGAGGAAAATGCCTTGTTTTTCCTCCTATGGAATAAAGAAACTACATTAAAGTGATTTCTAACTAGGGCCACGCCAAATCCACTCATTCAGGGAAAGCACTAACAGAAGTCCCAATAAACATGGATTAGCACCCAGGATGACAATAGGTCCCTAAATGCAGAAATGCTGAGATCCCGTAGAAAACTTTCCACAGATGGGGAGATCTGAAGGAGCATCCATGACCCCCAACCCCAATAGTGGATCCCACTCCTCCCAGTCTAAAGGGGCTTGTCACCAGCTCATTTCTCAAGGGAACCTCCTCTGCCCACTCCTCTTGGGACACACGACTTTGGGAACAAGGAAGGAGGGATAAAAGAAGAGGCAGGGCAGAGAGCTGAGTCTGCTTCTACTCTGGGAGATTAAAATGAGAAACAGCTTCACCCCACAGGAGTCATGGCTACCGGGTACAGGCACTGTACTTGAAGCAGTTGTGTGAGACCAGGCTACTTGATACTTATTATTGTTAAAACCTCAAGATTTAGCACAAAGGGAAATGAGTTACAATGCTGTCTTGTCTAAGGGCTACTCACTTCTTTTTAAAGAGCTTGCGGAAGGAGCTGCGAAAGCCCCCTTTCTGGTCTTGCCTGGGATTTTGATCGCTGAAAGATGTTTGTTCACTTTCTCTTTCTTCTTTGGGACAGAATCTGGTAGTATCTTCTAAATGCATCTCCTGGAAACAAAAAAAGAGGTTTTTTTTTTTTACTCCTTTCCAAACTTATTATGGATCCTGACTATGGGCAACTTTGCAATGTTGTCACTTTCCTCTCCCACACCAAGACTACCAGTGGGCACCCAATCCCAACTAAAGCAAACCTAGGCTAATGAAGAAACCAGTAGGTGAAAAGAGGATAATTTTCTGCTGAGTGTACTATTTTCTACGTATCAAGGCAAATAATCTAGTGTAATATAACAATAATCAAAGGAAATAAATGTAGCTAATGTTTAAAAAGTGAATAAATTAAATTCTTATTTTGGCACCAACATTGTGGTGCTGGAAAACCAGTAGCAGTCCCCTCATATCTCCAGGTGTTTCTCTTTCTACAAAGTAAGGACGTTCCTTATTTGTAATGCTAGCTTTAAAGTCATGTTCCTAACTCTCCATTTTAGACATAAACCAAGGAAGGCATTTTTGAGAAGTCAGACCTGTTTAGAAATAAACGTCAACTAATACTTCCAACCTGCAAACACACCTGTAAAACAGTTTTTTCAATTCTTAACCCATACTATTTGGAGTACAAAGTAAAATAAGTTAAAAATAAGGCTGTATCTTTGAACTCTCTAGTTTCTTTTTAAATGTGAGATGTGCTAAATAGAAGTGCATGTATATTTATATGTATACAAGTCATATATGCACTTACATACATGCTTCTATTCCAGATGAACAAAGTGTTTACCTTGAGGTGACTGTAATTTAAAAGCAATCTAAAAACAGCTGCTGAATCTTGAAAAACCTTTAGAGAAGCCAAGAAGTCAAAACAAAAACCACAACAATGATGCCCTGAAAGTTTCATGATTAGATGGGTGACTGCTCGCTGTCAGAGAAACCAAGTGTGAGGATGGATTTTCTTTTTCCAGAAAATATATGGGTCTGACTTTGAGAACTGAGGGTCGCAGATATAGAAACTGAGATTCTACTAACATTCCTAACTAGACCATGGAGATTGACATGCAGTGTTTCTTAAAGTATGGTCCTGTGACTACAGGATCAGCTCTGGCCTTTATTTAAAGTGTAGCTTCCTGAGTCCCAACCCAGACTTTCTGAATCAGAATCTCTGCAGTTAGACCTAGTTAATCCTTATGCACACTTAGATTTGGAAAACGAATGATTTTAGGGAGGGGTCCTCAACTCCTAGTACTGACCTCTTAGGAACTGGGCCACACAGCAGGAGGTGAGCAGTGGGGTGGGCGAGCCAGCGAAGCTTCATCTGTATTTACAGCCGCTCCCCATTGCCTGCATTACTGCCTGAGCTCCACCTTCTGTCAGATCGGCAGCGGCATTAGATTTTCACAGGTGCACAAACCCTATTGTGAAACACACATGCAAGGAATCTAGGCTACACGCTCCTTAGGAGAATCTAATAATGCCTGATGGTCTGAGGTGGAGCTGAGGCAGTGATGCTAATGCTGGGGAGTGGCTGCAAATACAGATTAACATTAGCAGAGAGGTTTGACTGCACAGAGACCATAATAAATCAATTGCTTGCAGACTCATATCAAAACCCTATCAGCGAGTGGCAAGTGACAATTAAGTTGCATCTGGTGGCAGGCTTTATAGTGGCAAGTAAGTTGATGTACTTCAATGGTACAGCTACATCTGGTGGCCTTAAAAGTAGTTTTGAGACCATTTCAAATCTCCATATGTTCTGGATTAAAGTCAAGGAAGAATATCCCGAGATTGCCACAAAGCACTGAAAAACCTGCTTCCATTTCCAACATCCTATCTTTGCAATACGGGGTTTTCTGTAGTGACAGCAACCAAAATGAGATTACAGAGTAGACTGGACATAAGCGACACACTTCGGGTGTCACTGTCTCCCATCATCCCCAGATGGGACCACCAAGTTGCAGAAAAACAAGGTCAGGGTTCCCACTGATCCTACATTATTGTGAGTTGTATAATTATTTCATTATATATTAGAAAGTAATAATAATAGAAATAAAGTACGCAATAAATGGAATGCACTCAAATCATCCCAAAACCACCTCCCCAACCCAGTCTGTGGAAAAAGTATCTTCCCCAAAACTGGTCCCTGGTGCTGAAAAGGTTGGGGACCACCGACTTAAGGCATGTTTCTGCCCACCTACACTTAATGTTTATATGAATCACCTGGGAATGATCCCAAATTCCGATTCAGTAGGTCTGGGGTGCCAATCCTGCATTTATAACACGTTCCAAGCAATGCATTTACTACTGCCCCCAAGGACCACATTGCGAGAAACGGGCTTTTAGAGACTATTTAGTGACTAAATCTATTAATGATTTAAGGAAAATCTTTCTATGAAATCATGATCTCAATAGAATTTCATACTTTGCAAAGCCTACTCAAAAACTGTATCTTATTTGGCCTGATCCTCTCAGCAACCCTGTGAGGTAGGCTGTCTTTATTTTGAGACAACTGGAGGCACAGAGAAGCCAAGTGACTTGTCCAAAAGCAGTTACTGGGCAGCAGAGCCAGGACTAGAACCTAGAGCTCCTGCCAGAGACAGAACACTAAAGACTAGGCCTTAACTGGCTCTTCTGGGCAGGGTGAAAGATATACAGAGCACTTAAAGGGATGACACACTAGGAGTTTTGCACATTTCAAAAGCAGAGCTGACACCTTTAAGGATAGAGCTTTTGGGGGTTTACCTTTTGCAACTAAAACCCCATTGCACCACCACCTCCAACACACACAAACAGGCAGATATATAGACATGCACATACATGCCCATGCACACATGTATACCCACATGGCCTCTGCCCACCTGCACTCTGCATGCCACCTCTCTCTAGGACCCCAAACAACTAGGGCCTTTTAAGTTTTGGAAAGAAAAATTGTCCAAAAAGTGTCCAAAACCAGAAATATGTAATGGGAACTTGGTGTGCTTGAAAATTTTAGTGATATTGCTAGAGAAAATGCCTTTTTTAACTGACTTCCATTTGACGTTTCCTTGGTATCTCATCCTGAACTGACTTGACTCATGTCTTAGTCTGTTAGGAGATGAAACCTGCTGTCCAGTATGTGCGATTAACCGTTCGTAATACATTGTTAGTTGTTATTCGGTATGTCTGGTAAACAGCCACAAATATATTACTCATTGTTTGCTTCTCAGATATGTTCATTGTTATTTCTGATTAATCGTTTTTTCCTTGAAATTGCTGACCCCCAAATTTTTCACAAATCAACTAGAAAAGGACGTTTTTATTACATATGAAATAAAAGCTCTTTACAGTACAAACTATATTAATAAGAAGGTTTTATATGTAAACCTCTGCTCATCCCAAGTCACACCGGATTGGCTCTATGATTTCCATCCTACTTCCTGTTCGATAAACTTCTAAGCTCATCACATGTCTAAGATTGATTTCTCCAAGAAATTCTGCCTAATCAAATTTTACAAAGCTTGGAGTTGAAAATCAGAGCTAGGGAAAATCTAACAACTCCAGGAAACCTCAGCAACGTTAGCTGAGCACACTATTAGGTGTTTCTGTCCTCTGCAGGGGCCAGACACAGACTCTGACTGCTGTAGTGCAGGTGGGCAGCAACCTCCAAGGCTCTTCCTGTTCCTCTGGCCTAATTTCCACCACTCTAACCCGGCACGATGCCAGAGAAAAGGCATCACCCTGCTTCTGTTATGTTTCCCTGCCTCACTCTTCCCCTAGCCAACTTCTAGGCAGCTTTTACAATCTAATTCAGACATTTAACTTATCTAGGAGGCCTTCTCTGACCACCACGACCCCAAAGGTTTTAAATATCCCTCCCATGTGTTCCCACAGTTTATTACATAATTCTGTGTTTTTGTGTCTCCTTTCTGTACTAAGTCAGTGGTCCTGAAGGATAGAGACTTGTTTGTTTCAGCAATTAGCACAGAGCCTGGTACAAGACAACCATTCAGTGTTTGCTGAAAAATTAATGAATGAAAAAAGTCAGTGATCATCAATCTGTTCCCATTCAAAAATGAGAATAGTTGGAACGGAAGGGTCCACGCACAGTTCAGAGCTATCATGTTACCTACTCTCTGCTTAAATCGATCAAAGCAATTATTTGCTCAGATACTATTAGCACTTCATGGATAAGTATTTAAAGACCTCTTTAAATGACTTGCAGGCTTGCAGACACCACAGTGAGACATCAAAATATCAAACACCTGCAGACAGCCTGCAGGCACTGGGGTTGGCCATCGGAATACCTCAACATTCACTGAGGCCAAAGAAGGTGTTTCTATTTTGGGATGTCCCTGTCCCAATGGAGTTAGCAAATTAACATGACACTCTTTTCCAGTCAAAAGGAAATGCAAGCAGAAACAGAGTTGGCTTTGCAGCACACTGCGCAGCAACTCTACTCTGAGCTAGGGCAACTTGCCTCCTCTCTAGCTACAAGCAACACAGTGGCCCGGGATCTGCATGCAGTGCTCTGAAAAAAGTGCAACTCTTCACCTAAGGAAGAGTCCTCATAATGCCCTAAATGTGTATGTGATAAATCAGAGATAAAGAATCGCGGGCTTCTCTGCTATCTCTGCCGTCCCTCGCTTACCATATGACACATGCTCTTTGGGTCCTGGTACTGGAGAACACTAGCGGCCACTCCCCTTCCAGGGCCACTGAGGCAGCCTACAGCTCGCGGGGTGCTGGGGCTCCCCCGGCTCTCCCACCGCCTCCGCCACCCGAGCGCGCTCCCGAGCCGCTAGCCTGGCCTGGCCCCCCGCCCCTCCATACTAGGAGAACTCGGGCTGCTTCCTGCAGATCTAGGCCTGGGGCCGCCGACGCTGTGGGTTTCGGTTCGGTGTTACTTTACCCTCCTTACTTCCAAATAGGTCTGTTTTTCGCTTTGGGACCTCTGTTGGGGGAAGAAAGTCCGGGGCGCGCCGCGGGCGGCAACAGCTGCAGCGGCCGGGCCGTGCGGCTGTGCAGCGCGCTCGGCCTTGATGGGCGCGCGGCCGCCGCTACTGCTGCGCGTGCTGTAGAGGCGCGGGGCCACGCCGTCGGCGGGCGGCGCACGCGGGAACTCCTTGAGCGAGCGGCTCAGCGGCTTGGCCTTGCCGTGCGCCTGCGCCTGCGCTTGCGCCGCGGCCGCCTCCAGCTTGTAGGCGCCGCTGCTGCCCGCCGGCGACGTGGCGCTCTTGGGTAGCGGCTGCAGCGGGTGCTCTGGCCGCTCGGCCTCCATGGCGAAGCTGACGGGCCGCAGGAAGCAGATGTCCAGGCTGGACTCAGAGGAGGCGGGCGAGCAGTTCTCGAAGAGGGCCGGGGCCTGGAACGGCTCCTCGTCGTAGGGCGCAGGCAGCGCGAAGATCTCGCCGCCGTACTCGAACTCCTCGTAGGCCGCCGGCACGAAGCCGCGGGCATCGGGCAGGAGCTCGGCCGGGGCACGCAGGGAGCGCTCCACGTTGCCCAGCGGTTCGGCCGGAGAGGGGTCGAAGTCCATCTCCGGGATGGCCTGCAGGGGCCCGGCCAACGCCTTCACGTCCTGCTCGGCCGCGCAGAACTGCGTGGGCGCCAGGAGGCTCTCGGGCCGCTCGTGCTTCCTGCCCTCCAGCTCCCAGTCACTGGGCTTCCCGGGCTGCATGCTTTCCATCAGGCTTTGCTGCTGTTGGCTTTTCTTCACTGGGGGCATCAGATGTCTTTAGGGAAACAGAGTACAAAAGAGGTGTGCTTACGGCCGGTGAATGCCTGCCTCTCGCCTGCCCGCCACCTCCCAAGCTTCACAAACTTCCATTCAGGCGCTTCCACGAACCCCAGTCCCCAGACACAGAGTGGATATGGTAGCTTGTCGAGCGAGGGCCCGAAGGCATTGTCTGAGCATCCGAGACATGGCCGCTGGGTCAGGGATGGCCATCACCCCACGTGGAAGCCCATCACCCCATGTGGAATCCCAGACCCTCCTCACCACCTGCGGTGCTCCAAGGCACGCCTTCAGGCTCGCTCTCCCTTGCTTGCCCTAACAAAGTCATACAAGATAATGGAAACCCAACTTTTGTTCGACTGGTGGATCTTCACACTCAAAAAACAAATTACGTTCCTAGATAAAGTAAACTTAGGGTGATCTTGATAACTATTGAATCTGGATGATGGCATGTGGGGTTCACTGTATTCTATGTAGATTTGAAATTTTCATAATAAAATTTAAAAAGTGTCCTTGTCGCTATAACACATGCTATATAATTCATCTCAAACTTCCTCCCACAAAGAATTACCAATATGTAAAAGCTGTCACTCTGGACATGCCCAATTTCAAGGAGGGATTTTGGTTTTTGGAGTCATGGGTAATGGATAATTTAAACAGTTTACAAACTAGGATAGGATACCATCAAATGGGATGTCCAGTTGTGCTGGACTTGAATTGACAGATGTAAATGGACACTGACCAGAAGTGGTTACTCTGCTAATTTATATATTCATATTTTAATTCTACCATAAAAGTGCAGAAAGACTAGGAGGCTGAGGCAGACGGATCACCATTGGTCAGGAGCTCACGACCAGTTTGGCCAACATGGCAAAACCCTGTCTCTACTAAAACTACAAAAATTAGGCGGGCATCGTGGCATGCACCTGTAATCCCAGCTAGTCGGGAGGCTGAGGCAGGAGAATGCCTTGAATCTGGGAGGTGGAAGTTGCAATGAGCTGAGGTCGTGCCATTGCACTTCCATCTCAAAAAACAAACGAAAAAACCAGAATGCTGAAACCAATATTTTACTCTGGTGGTCTTAAAATGAAAATTAGGTCTCACGTTAACATGTGAAAGAAATAGTGAGACAAAATATTGACCTCATTTGAATTCTAACTTGGAAGAAAGATTGAGAGCTTTATTTTCCACACAAAGTGCAGTGTCAGCCTTACTATTCAGTCTGGGTATAATCTCCAGGCGTTTCACATTTTGGCTCTACGTGTTGCATTTCAAAGAAGATGAAGTTTTGTAACTGCCTCAGGAGTTGAAGTGATCCATTAAGTAAATATCTACTTTCTGCCTCTCTTCCCACTTTCTACACCTGTCCCTTAACATTAGTGCATTCCTCTGGGACCTAAGCATCTGGTTGGCTGCTTGGCTGGCACAGATAGCCCTGATGGGGAAAGGGACAGAGGAATCTAGGCTGCCCTGCTGACCCACACAAACTGGCTGGGTCCCAAAGGCATTGGCATTGACCTTCCCACAGCAACAGGTGCTTACGTGACGGTAGGGCCAGAACTGGGAGCAGAAGGGTAGGGTTGCAGCATCTCTTCTGAGTGGATCCCAGTGTCACGGACAGCCTCAGGACCTGCAGTGGGGGAAGCATCTTGCCCGGCATTGGCACACTGGGAAGCCAGCCCTTTGTACAGCTTCGCCATGGATGACCTAACAGAATGGAAGTAATAGTTCTCAGCTTATATAGTGGCAAAGGGGCTCTCTGAACACAGATTATGCCAAAAAAGAGAGATGTCTCAGATAAAGTTTGCTGGGAAGGTCTCTATCTCCAGGGCCTTTGCAAACTAAGTTGCTTACTTAATAGGGTGCAAGCCAGCAGGAGTAAGGAAGCTGATTCACAGACTGAAAAGAGCTTGGGGGAAGGGCTGGGGTTTTGGAGAGACACATTCCATCACAGGAGCCCTGGCTTGGGAGACAGCATCTTTTTCTGGTCTGAAGCTTCCACAGAAATGATTCTGTTTTCCTCCACAGGAGTTGGGATGAAATTGAAGGAAATCCGGGTCATTAGGAAGCTGTGTCGTGGGGTGCTTCTGTTCCCTCCAAAGCTCAGAGTATTCCTAATCAACCTTCCTGTTTCTCCCTAATATAAAACCTAACCAAAATTCCCCTCCCTTATTTGCTTTATTTTTATCCATATCACATATCACCATCTTACTTATTTGCTCACTGTCCAACTCTAAAAAGGAAGCTCTATGTGGCAAAGATTTGGTTGGGGCCATTTTGTTCCTTTCAGTATATTCAGTGCATGGAACAGTGCGTGGAACAGTGCCTGACATAAAATAGGTGCTCAATAAATATTTGTTGAATTAATAAAGGAAACCATGTTGCGGCCTTTTAATTGAAATTTTGAGCAGGCAAGTTTAGAACAGTGAACTATTTTCAAGGTGGTTATGAACATGGGACAAGAGGGGGTCTACATAAGCAATACAGTGAAGTGTTTTTTTGTTAATTTCCCCTGGGTAGTCAGTGTCTTCCTCCTGTAGCCAGCCTGACCAGCTCTTTCTCTCCCCTTTTCTCTTCCCTTCTACCGCCCATCACTGCATTTCAACTACTTAACACACAACGTGGTTACTTGTGAAAGACACCCACAGTAACTGGTGTATATCTCTACTCTCAGAAGTCTTTGACCCTTTAGACTACACCATCAGAACCTTACTTCTTGAGCTTTTTCCGTTTCTGAATAAGCAAATCTTCATTGCATTGAAACAGCAGGGTGTAGTGTGAGATAAATACTCGGAGGCGCTGGACGCACACCAGGAGTAGATAATAGTCAGGGTGCTCCTGCTCTGTGAACTTCAGGACATTCTGGATGGAGGGAAAAAGGAAGCAGCATTGCATAATTAGCATGAAAATTTGTTTTGTCTCTTCTGCACTTCACCTTGATCTGTTGTGGGAATTTGATAGCCATTTAATCAAAACAATGAACAATACACATGACCCATCTAATTATATGCTGAAAGGTCAAACTGGCTGCTCTCTATCACACCAACAGAAAAATAAGTCACTATCGTACCTGTTTGAGTTGACCGTGAACATAATTTCATTTGAAAAGTTAGAACCATCTCCTAATTAGACCTCTGAAGTAGTAGAGGCATTCTAACAATTACTGTCTATAAGCAATGCCTTAACTCAAAAGAGCCAGACCAATGTTAAGAGCATCAGGCATCAAGGCAGGTGAGGGAGGAGGATGTTTATGATCAAGCCTGGTAGCCCCTCCTGTCATATTCCCTGCTGTGCTATAGCGGAACATGAGTGTGATTTGGATTTGGGAAAGCTAAAATGTATCGAGTACTTCCTATTGCCAGGTAGTAAGTCCTTTACGTATATTATCTCATTTATTTTTACCACAACCTACTCACATCGGTACTATTATTAACTCCATTTAACAAATAAGGAAATCAAGGTATGAAGAAGTTCAATGAGCTTCATCAGGTCACACCTATAGTAAATAATGGAGGCAAGATTTGAACTCAACTGAGAGAGTAGAACCAGGGCTTGTTTGCCATATTCTACTATTTGCAAAACCTGAGTTTCAGTCTTAGGTTTTTTTACCTACTAGGTATGTTAACTTGGGTAAATTCTTAATTTCTTTGGCCCTGCGTTTTCTCTTGTAAAATATAACAACAATAATACCTATTTCATGGGATTGTTGTAAGAATTAAATAAGGTCATTATTGTGAGAAAATGTTTTTAGGATCTAAAGCTATACACAATTGAAAGTCTTTTCAGGTCACGGGTTTGGCTCACACCTGCAATCCAAGCACTCTGGGAGGCCAAGGCGGGAGGATCACTTGAGCCCAAGAGCTCAAGACCAGCCTGGGCAACACAGGTAAACCCTGTCTCTACAAAAAATACAAAAATAAGCCAGCCATGGTGGCACGCACCTAAGTCTCAGCTACGCAGGAGACAGAGGTGGGAGCATTGCTTAAGCCGGGGAGGTTGAGGCAGCAGTGAGGTAAAATCACACCACTGCACTCCAGCCTGGGCAACAGAGCCAGACCCTATCTCAAAAAAAAAAAAAAGTCTTTTCAGTATTGATACTTTGATACTGGACTACTGGACGACTTCTACCTGAGATTAATCCCAAGCATTTCTAAGATGCTTTCATTGAATTACTTAAGAAGATCAGTCAGCAGTTAAACCAGAACAGGTGGGTGGTGGAAAGAAGAGGGTCTGGTGGGGGTTAGTGAGCCTCTCTTTCAAGTCTCCTTCCTCCAGGATAGCACAAGCCTTGCAGGAAAATGGTGTGAAGACATCAGCTCATCATCTTCATATCTCTTCGATGACATAAAGCTTAAGCATGGTATAGTAGAACCCTGGACCCATGCCAAAAGAAAGTAGGATAGCAGCGAAGTGGGCAGGTTAGAGATATTTAGATGTCGGGGGTGGCATTTAGATGGCGGTAAAAGCGAAGTGGAAAGAACTGGATGAGGTGCTTAGAATCTAGCAGGAGTGGTTATAGAAAGATCCTGGATCAGCTGAGGTGGAAATTGCTGGAAAGTAAAAATAGAACTTCTGAGGTAAGCATCATGAGCTGAAAATTTTTAGAAATAAAGATTTTCAGCTGGTCACAGTGGCTCACACCTGTAATCTCAGCACTTTTGGAGGCCAAGGCAGGTGGATCACTTGAGGTCAGGAGTTCAAGACCAACCTGACCAACATGGTGAAACTCCATCTCTACTAAAAATACAAAAATTAGCTGGACATGGTGGTGCGCATCTGTAGTCCCAGCTACTTGGGAGTCTGAGGCAGGAGAATCGCTTGAACCCAAGAAGCAGAGGTTGCAGTGAGCCAAGATCTTGCCACTACACTCCAGCCTGGGTGACAGATCGAGACTCCATCTCAAAAAAAAAGAAAAAAAGATTTTAGCTTATGCCCCAGGGCATTATGGTCTATGGGGTAATGATAACAATCTGGGTAAACACTTTTTAGAAATATTAACGATTCTTGAGGCGTTACAGTCTTTCTCAGTTGGGAGCCAAAGACAATCATTACTTAGCATGAAAATCAGTTCAGTGGCTTTCCCACCCACGCCTACCTGCAGATGTATCAGATATTCCGGGATGCGCTGGACTATGTGGAAAAACAACGTGTAGATGTCAGATTTAATCTCTTCATCACCCTGAATGAAAGAAAGGTCAAGTCACTCTTCAGTGTTCCTCCAGCTGTGGCAGCAGAACCTCTGAGTCAGTCCTGCCAGAGTAGGAAGAGTTTCTTCCCACAGCACTTTCTTCCTGGAAATTGTCTAGAGCACTGATCTCTCATGGGAGAGGCCACATATTCAGGGACACACTTTAGGGGCTAACTCTTCTCCTGAAGGGAGCATTTCATATACTTCTTCTGAATCCACCCAAATTTCCAAACTACCCTCTCCTTCCCCTCATCTTAGCGAAGTTCCAGACAGAAGTGGGTACTCAATAAACCATATCTGAATTGAATGAATTCATTAAGGCTCTCCAGCAAGTAATCATGACAATGGTGTAGTAATAGGCTTGAAGGGAGAGGTGGAGCCTCAGGAGAGTGGAAAAGGGAGTGTGTGATTCAAAACTAGTGAGCTGGCCTGGCCGCAGAAAACACACTGCACTTTCTCCATGTCCCTTCCTTCTCCTTCTCTTCTTCTTTTTTTTTTTTTTTTTTGAGACGGAGTTTCGCTCTTGTTACCCAGGCTGGAGTGCAATGGCGCCATCTCGGCTCACCGCAACCTCTGCCTCCTGGGTTCAGGCAATTCTCCTGCCTCAGCCTCCTGAGTAGCTGGGATTACAGGCACGCACCACCATGACCAGCTAATTTTTTGTATCTTTAGTAGAGATGGGGTTTCACCATGTTGACCAGGATGGTCTCAATCTCTTGACCTTGTGATCCACCCACCTTGGCCTCCCAAAGTGCTGGGATTGCAGGCTTGAGCCACTGCTCCTTCTCTTCTTTCCCAGATATTAGCTGAAAGCTAACATGTGGTAGGCATTATACTGGGTTGGGAGTAGTGGGGGGTCGAAGTAGAAACTTACTAAGACAGAGCCTCTCATCTCTTGTGAAATTTGATTAATTCTTAGTGTTGGGGCTTCTGATGCTGTTTTATCCTATTGATCTGAAATAACTAAGTTGTTATACATGTATATGAGCTTACTGAGCACCTAATATATCACTGCAGTAGCAATACTTCAAGCAACATGACTAAGCCACCTTACGATCTTATAAACTGACAAAGGATAGAAGTTTAATATTCAGAGTCACATCTGAGACTGAAAAAAACCCACCACATACAGCATGTAAGATGCAGCCTGGAGATCTCTGCATAGAACACCCATTTAGTTTGTCTATGATTCCAATGGAATGGAAGAGAGAGTCAGTAAGGCAGAGAGAGGACCAACACAATGGCACTGATCCTTAAGTCAGTTCCCCTAATGCCAGGTAGTAGTGTCAGTGGCTCTGTTCAGGCCATTCCCCAGCCTAGAAAGTGAGTGCATGTGCCGTATTGACTGGGTGGATGAACACCATCATATGGATGCCATGTGCAGATGAAGGATAGCAGATACATGGTGTTAACTCACCTCTTTCAGGACTACAACATGAACCAATGAGATGCACTCAGGCAGGTCCCTCAGGTAGGCAACGTAATAATCCAAGAAATTATTCTTTAAAACAAACACATAAAAAGAAAGAAACAAAACGGTTACTCCAGCTCTCTTCTGATTTGAATATTTAAAAATAATAAAAAGAAATAAACAAAAAACAAACACAAAAATGCATGGTAAGAACCTGAAAACAGGATTGATAATATTTTTATAGAGTTATATATGTAAAACAAAAGTATGTTGCAGAGATTATCTTATTCATTTAATGTGTTCTTTATATATTTTGGGGCTTTAAAAAAAAACTTTTTGGTTTTAAGGTAAATATCCCTACTGCTTGGGAACCAAAACTCAGCATCAGCCAGGTGCAGTGGTTCACGCCTGTAATCCCAGCACTTTGGGAGGCCAAGGCAGGCAGATTACCTGAGGTCAGGAGTTTGAGACCATCCTGGCCAACATTGTGAAACCCCATCTCTACTGAAAATACAAAAATTAGCTGGGCATGGTGATGTGTGCCTGTAATTCCAGCTACTGGGAGGCTGAGGCAGGAGAATCACTTGAACCTGGAAGGCAGAAGTTGCAGTGAGCTGAAATTGCTCCAGTGCACTCTAGCCTGAGTGACAGAGTAAGACTCCGTCTAAAAAAAAAAGAAAGAAAAAGAAAAGAAAACCTCAGCATCCCTCATCCCTTCCCTAATAAGAGAAAGTGAAATAAACTTATAAACTTAGGGAAAAGGGAGGTTCATGTAAGTTAAAAATGTATTTTTTAATCATTTAATAATAAAAATGTATATTTTTGTAAGTCCATTTCATTTCAGTCAGTCATCTATGTCCAGATGAAGGACTCTGCCCACCCCACTTCATGTTATCCAGACTGGTGGTTCACATTTTCTAGTAATTGCATATTTCCACTAACTGAATATTTATGCATTATCCTCTTAGGAAAATCATTATTAGCTTCTAAAGTTATAATAATTCTAAGCTAAACAAAGCCTTCTGAACACAAGAGAGTAAAAGTGATGTTAAAGGATATTAGTACATTATATCCACTCTAGTCTATGGAAGAAAATAATCTGTAAACTTTGTATTGTTATCCAGAGTTGAGAATAATTGATATACAAAAATTGATTCCAGCCAAAGTCTGGCTTGCAGACCAATTTTAATTAGCCCACAAAATCTTTTAAAAATCAGAAAATTTCCCACAAAATTCTGGATTTCCAGCTTTTCTTAAAATATCAGAAGCTCAGGCAACTCTGCTCCTTTTTTCCTGCATGATGAGTGGATAGAGCTGAGTAGCTATTCCTTGTAGAACCTCACAGGTGCTCCACTCCAGCTCACACTCCACACCAGTCCATACTGTGTTCACTCGTTTATGCCCCTGTCTGGCCCTGTAGGCATTTAAGTTTGCAACCTCTGGCTTATATCATATTTTCTTTGTAGGATATTATAGAGATTGAAAAATTCGAGACAATAGCCACCCATCGCATTTTTTAAAGATCTCCAAGAAATGAAAATTGTGTGTGAAAATACACATGTATATACAAATTCTCATGTGTGTGTGTATATATATGCATGTGTGTATATGCATATATATATATTTTATATATACACACATGCATATATATATTTTTTTCACACACACACACATCTTTTTTTCTTTAATTTAATTGAGACAGGGTCTTGCTGTGTTATTCAGGCTAGTTTCAAAGTCCTGGGTTCAAACAATCCTCCTGCCTCAGCCTCCCAGAGTGTTCAGATTACAGGAATGAGCAAGCCACCACACCAGGCCCACAAATATATATATACATGCATTTATATAAACACAAACACAATACATACACACATACACACATGTATTCAATGGAGGCAGTTATAGGACAGTGGAAAGCTGTGAACTAGAAGCCAGAAGACCTAACTTAGGATTCTACTCACAGATTTCCAACTACCTATGATTTCAGCAAGGCTTTTAAATCTCTCTGAATCATGGAATGATCTGTATGTAGAATGAAAAGTTACACTAGATCTCAGTAGCTCCTCTAGCTCTGAAATTCACTGCTTCTAGATTCTCCATTAAGAGATGTAGACAAATGAGACACAAATACATATACGTAAAATTTATAGAGGGGCAGATAAAACCTTACCTCATCATTTGTTAACTTAAGGAATAAATCTCCAAGGACGCCTTGGCGTGGCCACTTCAGGACCCTTTCCTGCAGTGCGTGAAGCAGATCCAGGTGCTGCTGGACAAGGTACCGTAAAGAGCCAGGGAAGAGGCTTGAAACAGAATAGAGATGAATCACACAAACCAGGTGTAGAGAAGAAAGGACCCTACAAAAATACACACGGCAGGGCCCATTCTCCTAGCCATCACTACATCACCATACTCTGAGTCACAGGCCTCCATTTAGGATTTTTTTAAGTTTTTTTTTTTAAAGTTTTTCATTGCAGATATCCCCAGACTACAAAAGCAACAACAACAAAACCCTTTACTGACGGCTCCTATACAAATACATATTGAACTAATAAAGAGGCCCAGTGTGCCACGCCTGCAATCCCAGCACTTTTAGAGCAGGTGGAGCACCTGAGGTCAGGAGTTTAAGACCAGCCTGGCCAACATGACAAAACCCTGTCTCTACTAAAAATATAAAAAATTAGCTGGGGATGGTGGCGTGCACCTGTAGTTTCAGCTATTTGGGAGTCTAAGGCAGGAGAAATCACTTGAATCAGGGAGGCAGAGGTTGCAGTGAGCTGAGATCACTCCACTTCACCCCAGCCTGGGTAACAGAGTGAGACTCTGTCTCAAAAAAATAGACACACACATAAATAAAATAAAAATAAAGAGCACATCATTTGAAAGACCTTTTTAAATCTAACCTGGTACTCACTCATTTAAACAACACTCAGTGGAAATTCTAAGGGATACTTTTTCAGTGTTTTAGAGTTATTCCTATTTGATGGGCAAAATAGTCTATTCTAATTAGTGTGGTGGATGCAGCACTCAGGTGGCGTCTATATGGCCATTCTCAGCTACCGGTAGAAGACTGCTATTTAGGTAAGCAAGAAAAATTACTTAAAGCTGGCAACTAAAAAGCTCAGGGAGTTATAGGATATGAGCGGGTTTCTTTTTTCCTTTTCTTTAGTTTCTAAGAGGAATACCGGGCCAGGACAGAGTGTTCTTTGGGTAGACTATTCAAATAATTTGGATGTGTGTCCCTGCCCAACTCTCATACTGAAATGTAATCCCCAGTGTTGGAGGTGGGGCTTGGTGGGAGGTGACTGTGTCATGAGGGTGAATTTCTCATGAGTGGTTTAGCACCATCCCTTTTGATACTGTCCTACCACGTAATAGTGATGGCGATTGAGTTCTCATGAAATCTGGCTGTTTAAAAGTGTGCAGTGCCTCTGTCTTTCTCTCTTGCTCCTCCTCTGGCTTATGACATGCCTGCTTCCCCTTAGCCTTCCACCGCGTCAGTTTCCTGAGGCCTCCTCAGAGGCCGAGCAGATCATGCTTCCTGTACAGCCTGCAGAACCGTAATCCAATTAAACCTCTTTTCTTTATAAATTGCCTCGTCTCAGGTATTCTTCATAGCAATGTGAGAACAGCCTAACCCAGCTACTGACCAGGCCCAGCCTGCTACTCCCTGAAATTTTACAAAGCGCCTTTTCTACTCTTCCATCCCTCTCTTCTATTTTGCTGTGTACCTTGCAATGTACCTCAGAAGTAATGACAGGAAGAAGGGAGACATCAGAGAAGGGTGGGTGGAGAGGAGAGATAGAAAGAGTCTCGTGGGAGGAAGAGGAAGGGGGACTAGCTGGGTAAGAGTGAGGGGATTAGAGGCCTATAGGAAAGAGGAAGAAAAAAACAAAAAGAAGCGGAGTTTTTCTGGGCTTCTAACTTGGTGACTTAAGGTAGGTTCCCTTATGCTTTCAGCACCACTAGTGTAACATACAGAAGAGAGATGGTCTGGTTGATCTGAACTTATTGAGTATTTCCCCAGGGTCAAATGAGAGTAAGTTGGTGGACAACCAGGGTGCTCTGCCAACAAGCAAACCTTTGTTGGGACAATAGGAAGGACACCAGATTGAGAGGAGGTCTTTTTCAACTCATTTCTAAGCAAAGCAAAGTGACCCCTGTGACTATAGCTCAGAGGAGACACACAAACACCAAAAGAGGGTACTCAGCCTCCTGTGAAAAGGTACAAGGAAGCCTTCCACTTCCTCCACCAACTATGCCTGTAGCCTCCATACGTACAAAGCCAGCTGATCCATTTACACAGGAGGAGAGGCCTCCTGATCTCAGTGCCTACAATGGAACAGTGGGCTTAGGAGATCAAAGAAATCCTTACCCAGATCAGAGGGAATTTGGAGGGGTGGCTAGAAGATATACTAACTGGGAGAAGACCATAAACCTGACGGAGAAAAACACAACTGATTGTACCAAAAGAGCAAAATGAGGCTGGGCATGGTGGCTCACGCCTGCAATCCTAGCACTTTGGAAGGCCAAGGTGGGCAGATCACCAGAGGTCGGGAGTTTCAGACCAGCCTGACCAACAAGGAGAACCCCAAATAAAAATACAAAATTAGCTGGCTGTGGTAGTGTGCTCCTGCAATCCCAGCTACTCAGGAGGCTGAGGCAGGAGAATCGCTTCAACCTGGGAGGCAGAGATTGTAGTGAGCCGAGATCATGCCATTGCACTCCAGCCTGGGCAACAAGAGTGAAATTCCATCTAAAAAAAACAGGGCCAGGTGTGGTGGCTCATGCCATCACTTTGCGAAGCCAAGGAAAGTGGATCACAAGGCCAGGAGTTTAAGACCAGCCTGGCCAAGATGGTGAAACCCTGTCTCTACTAAAAATACAAAAGAAAATTAGCCGGGCGTGGTGGCAGGTGCCTGTTATCCCAGCTACTCAGGAGGCTGAGGCAGAGAATTGCCGGAACCTGGGGAGGCGGAGGTTGCAGTGAGCCCAAATCACGCCATTCCAGCCTGGGTGACGGAGTGAGACTCCATCTCAAAAAAACAAAACAAAACCGAAAGAGCAAAATGCTGAGGCCTCCCCAGAGGCCGAGCAGATGCCAGCATGCCAGCATTATGCTTCCTGTATAGCCTGCAGAACTGTGATCCAATTAAGCCTCTTTTCTTTATAAATTACCCAGTCTCGGGTATTCTTTACAGCAATGTGAGAAGAGCCTAAGCTGTCACATGAAATGTACTTACTGTTTCATAAGTTACATGAAAAACAATGACCTACAGTGGGTTCTGTATAAAATGTTGAAAATGGGCTTTAAACTTAAAAAAAAAATGTAACAAGGGTATTTGAAATTAGGAAGGAGTGCGAAATCAGAAGACAAAGAGCAAAGGGGGAAAGACGGCACGAAGTACAGCCACACTTCACCTATTTCACTCTTTCGCCTGGCACCAGACCTGACTCCTGGAAGCAGCTTTTTCAGAAGACAAAATATTCAGAGCTCAGCTTTTTTTTCTTTTCCTCACTGGGGATGAAATTACGGCAACATGAGTAGTTTATTACTTCTAAAGCCTTCAAAGTATTTATCTCCCAAGAATATATACTTAATCAGTGAGGTAAATGCACTAAAAGCAAGAAAGAAAAATCCACTTATAGTTTCAGGTTAATAACTTAGCTTTTGCCTGCCCAGTAAGAGGCTAAAATAACTCCTGAGCTTCGCGGCAGCAGGTTCCCACCACCTCGGATGGGCATGATCATTAAGCGTGTGCCACCTGGTGGTGATCTGTATCATGACACTTGTTGAGTTCTTGGTGGACATAACACTGGAATTGAGCTTACAAGGCTAATGGACAATCCTGCTGAACTGATCACTGCCCCCTCCACAAGTGTTCAGACAGCACTGTGATCCTGAAGCTGTGTCTCTCTCTAGGTCAGAGCCAAAAAAGCCCAGAACTCCAACTTCTTTTTTTTTTTTTTTTTTTACTACTACTCAGCCATAACAAGGAATGAACAGAACCCCAACTTCTGTGATCCTTAGACACATGACAGCCTGGGCAACAGAGCGAGATGCTGTCTCTATAATAAACTGAAAAATTAGCAGGGCGCTGTGGCTCATGCTTGTAATCCCAGGTACTGGGGATGCTGAGGCGCGAGGATCACTTGAGCCCAGAAGTTTGAGGCTGCAGTGAGCCTTGATTGGGCCACTATACCCTTCTCCAGCCTGTCTCTAAACAAACCAAACAAATGAACCATAGCCCTCTAGCTCTGCCCAGGTGTCAGCCAGCAGCATGTGCCCCTGCAACTTCCAGCCCTTTTGGCCAGGGGCAGGGCTGGCTTCAAACAGGCTGAGGAAGCTCTTGAGTGATTCACTTTTTTTTAAGGAAAAACCTAAGGTTTTATTTAATAGGTTGGAGAAGATGTGGCCACCTCAGGCTTGAGTGTCAAGTTGTACTTGCAGTGGGGATTATTTGCATCCCAGGTTACTTTCCAATAGGGTAAAAAGTGTTGAAGCTTGTGGTTTGTGATGGGAAAGGTAGTAAATGTTAATACACTTATTTTCATCTTTGCATGGAGAAAAATGCCAATAGAGAAAAGGAATCATCTCATTCTGCTTTGTATTTCCTTCAGCTGGTCTATTTGAAGTCCACATAGAAGTCAGGCATGGTGGCTCGTGCCTGTAATCCCAACACTTTGAGAGGCCGAGGAGGACAGATCACTTAAGGTCAGGAGTTCCAGACCAGCCTGGCCAGCATGGAGAAACCTCGTCTCTACTAAAACTACAAAAATTAGCTGGGCATGGTGGTGTGTGCCTGTAATCGCAGCTACTCAGGAGGCTGAGGCAGGAGAATCACTTGAACCCGAGAAGTGGAAGTTACAGTGAGCCGAGATTGCACCACTGCACTCCGGCCTGGGCAACAGAGTGAGATCTTGTCTCAAAAAAATAAAGAAAAAAATAAACTGCACGCAGAGGTTTCAGAAAAGCTTTAAAAAAAGAAAAAGATAATGAGTGGAGGAGGATAATGAAAATATAACCCTAGGATAGAAAAGCAGCAGCACCACCAAGCTCAGAACCAGAGACTTCATATTCAGTATCAATGAAGAGTATTGCGTTGAAGCTTTTCTCTGCTTGGTCTGTGCAAAGAAAAAAGAGGGTTAGCCTAGCAAATAACTAACATGAATAACATTATCATGGATTCTTGAAATAACCATTATGATTTTTTTTAGATGGAGTTTCACTCTTGTTGCCCAGTCTAGAGTGCAATGGCGCGATCTCAGCTCACTGCAACCTCCGCTTCCCGGGTTCAGGCAATTCTCCTGCCTCAGCCTCCTGAGTAGCTGGGATTACAGGTATGTGCCACCACGCCTGGCTAATTTTTGTATTTTTAGTAGGGACGGGGTTTTTCCATGTTGGTCAGGCTGATCTCAAACTCCTGACCCTCAAGTAATCTGCCCCCTCAGCCTCCCAAAGTGCTGGGATTACAGGCATCAGCCACCGTGCTCAGCTCTAACTATCATCTTACTTTCATAGAGGATTGTATGATAGCTTTAATTTTTTAATCTTGTAGGATTTGGGGGACAGATCTACTCCTTCTTCCCAGTGATGAGTCATAAGAGAATGTCTTAGAAAAATAGGAGGTGACAAGTCCAGTCGCTGTGGCTCACGCCTGTAATCCTAGCACTTTGGGAGGCTGAGATGGGTAGATCACCTGAGGTCAGGAGTTTGAGACCAGCCTGACAAACATGGCAAAACCCTGTCTCTACTAAAAATACAAAATTAGCCGGGCGTGATGGCACATGCCTGTAATCCCAGCTGCTCAGGAGGCTGAGGCAGGAGAATCACTTGAACGCGGGAGGCAGGGGTTTTGGTGAGCTGAGGTGGCACCACTGCACTCCAACCTGGGCAAGAAGAGCAAAACTCCAACTCAAAAAAAAGAAAGAAGGAAAGAAAAGGAAGAGAAGAGAAAGGAGAAGAGAAGAGAAAATAGGAGGTGACAGCAAGTCAACAAGGGTCCTCTCTTTTATCTACCCGAATCCTCTGCAGGGTCTGGCCTCTCCCTATGATCTCCTGCCTGCTGGAAGCTTGCAACAGGGCTAGATAAACATACCTAGCAGCCCTACTTAACAAATCAACTGAGATGTGAAGTAAAAACTTATCGTTCAAGAGGGAAGATTGGGTTTTAAAATAGGAAGAGACACTCAGTGCTTCTGCCTCTCTGAGAAACTTTACATAGTGCTGTTGATGAAGGCGGTGGCCTTAGGGAAGCGGTATGATGCAGAGACCGCACACAGTACAGGGTGGGGCAGGCCTGCACTACTGGGCTCTGTGGCTTTAGATTTCCCTGGGCCTTAGTGCCTGTATCTGTAAGGCAGGGGTCACAGGGTTCTGCTGAACAGTTCATGAAGTTATAATTCAAGTGCCTAGCAGAGCAGCTGCTTACCACTCCCTTCCACAGTAAACAGTTCTTTCTCTTTTCCCAGCCTTGCCCTGCCTCCCCAGATTTTCAGGCTAAGAAGAGATGCTGCTGGCTTAGAATTTTCCATGTGGAAGTAAAGCCACACCAAAGGGTAGGCCACCTTTAGATTTCCTTCCCATAAACTGAGTAGGTCTTTAGCAACAGCAACATAGCTAGAGGCCATAGAGACTTCCAGAGGCCTCCAGTGCAGCTGGGAGGGTCTAGGAGGAGCAATGGGAAGGGTCAGATGGGGAAGGAAGTGCTGAGAATCCGGCAGCCTCTGAGAGAAGGTGAGGCTCAGTCCAGAGCCTTGCCTGGTCACAGCGTTAGCTGGGTCACCTTCGCCTTTCTGTTCTTGTTGCTTTGTATTTTGTTCACCTTGCTTTCGTAGTAAAATCACTCTTGAAAATAGTTAAGCCACTTATGGGTTTGTCAGGGAGTAGTGCCTCACTTGGTCATTTAGGTAGGAGGATCAGCAGTGTGTTTTGGTGACTGAGTATATTGTTGGCAGCCACCAAGTCAGTTGGATTTGGGGGGATGGTAAGGAGCAGGAAACTATAATTAAGGGCTTCCCTGGGTAGATTCAGAATTAACGAACCACCAAAGGAATGGTCAAGGTAATAGTGCCACATATGTTCATAGTGCTCCATAATCCAGATTTCCCATTCCTTTGAATTGGCCTTTCCTCAATTTTTCTGGATTATTACATATTCATTACATTAATCTTTTTCACCAAGTCTTATTTTCCTCCTTCCTGCTTTCTCCAAACAGAGAAGGAAACAGAAAAACAATCTAAAGACTATGAACAGATATAGGTGGAGGAGTGCTGTGACATTGGGAAAGTGTGCTGTTACAACAGGTGGCAGACCCTGCGCAAGTGTGCATTACCCACACGATAATAAGAAAGGCCCAGGTCCAGCAGTATATCAACCCTGCATCCATTTCTCTAACGGCCACTGAGTGCTTAAGTTTTCCACACATTAATTCCCTTTTGCTTCTAAGAGATCTGTGACCCATGGAGACCCCATGCAGATGGCAACAGAGAGCAAAGCTTCCCTCACTGTAGCATTTGTTCCCCCTTAAAGTTTTTAAAAGGCATGTTAGAGACACTGAAGGCCCAGCCGAGTACACTCATTTTCTTACCTTAATGAAAATCTAAATTTAAGGCTTGCCAGGGGTTCCCTAATGCTATGATCTAAATTTGTGCCCCAAAATTAATGTGCTGGAAACTTAACCCCCAATGCAACAGTACTGGGAGGTGGGACCCATAGTGGGTGTTTAGGTCTGAGAGCTCCACCCGATGAATGGATTATTGCCTCTACAAAAGGGGCTTGAGGGAGTGGGCTGTCCTGCTCTCTTCTGCTCTTCTGTCACATGAGGCTACAACATTCCTCCTCTCTGGAGGACACAACAATAAAATGCCATCTCAGAACCAGAGACTGAATCTGCAGGCACTTTGATCTTAGACTTCCCAGTCTCCAGAACTGTGAGATAATACATTTCTGTTCATTGTAAGTTATCCAGTCTGTGATATTCTGTTATAGCAGCACCAAGTGAGCTGAGACACCTGCCATCACTGTCTCTTCTCTTTTCAGAGACTGTTTCTGGAACTCTTTATAGGTCCCAGACATCCCAAAGTGGAAACAATAAACCACTTACCTTAAATCCTAATCAATCTGAAAAGCAAAGGCAATGAGTGCATGGATACCTTCTCTCTTTGGAATTCCTCTTTCCATCAGACCCCTGGAATGTGGCTTTTATCTTCAAGATCAGAGAGATGTTAATGACATATTTTCTTTCAGATTCAAGCAATTCCAGGGCCACAGTCTGTCTTTTAGCTATAGAAATAAACCAAAGAGGGACTTGATATTAACCATTTCTTCCAAAAATCCTATTAAATGCAAGCAATAAAAAGAACCATCTGCAAGTTTTTGAAAGGTAGAAAGCAGAATGGAGACACAGTAATTCATTCAGCAGAGCAAAGGGCACGAAGTCTTGGTGTCCCCATCTGCAGATGAAAAATCTGCTGAGCAGCAGCCAGAAAGCTCTCGGTTTGGAGACACCAGGGGCAACATTAGAAAGTGCAACTAAGGGGCAATGCTGAAAGCAGGAGCAATTGCTGAAAGTCTATGCAGGGGGCAGCTGAACCTCCAGATCCTCACCCCCATGCCAGATGGCTTCCTCACTTCCTCCCCATGGCAAACAAGAAAAACGAAACTAGAGAAGTCCTGGTTTCTGGGATCTGGGCTGAAGACTTTAGACATAGTAGAGTTGAGATGCTAAAATGAAAACAAAAGGACTCAGGGAAGGCTTCACACTGAACAGTGAGACTTCCCTCAGCCTCCTTCCCCTGTAGATCTAGACTGCCAGCAGCCAAGTTTAAACTCTTCAGGCAGGAGATTGGAGGGTCTTCCACTAGAAAAACTGAACTGCCCAAGGAAAAAAGATCCACCGACACTGAAATAAAGAGGTCGGCTATCTGCCAGACACGGTGGCTCACGCCTGTAATCTCAGCACTTTGCAAGGCCGAGGTGGGTAGATCTTGAACTCCTGAGGTTCAAGATCATGTCTGGCTAACATAGCAAAACCCCATCTGTACTAAAAATACAAAAGTTAGCCAGACATGGTGGCGCACACCTGTAATCCCAGCTACTCAGGAGGCTGAGGAAGGAGGATTGCTTGAACTCAGGAGACAGAGGTTGCAGTGAGCTGAGATGGTGCCATTGCATTCCAGCCTGGGCAACAAAGCAAGACTCCATCTCAAAAAGGAAAAAGAGGTCAACTATCAAAAAGTTAATTTGCCATCTGATTAGCCTGTCTATAATGAAACCCACTGATTTACAAGCTTGGTCAATACATTCCAGGGTTTTTCTAGGAACTCTTTCTTATATATATTTAGCTCAGGATGCTCATGCATTTGAATAAAGCTTATACCATAAAAGAAAGAGAGGAAAAAAGAAAATATACTTGTATTTTTTACAAGGAGGGGGTACCCTGAAGAAACAGAGACAATGCAGGATACAAAAGAATAAAAATTTTTAATCTTACAATTCATATTCTCATTTTTTTTTTTAAAGACGGGGTTTCACCATGTTGGTCAGGTTGGTCTTGAACTCCCAACCTCAGGTGATCCGCCTGCCTTTGCCTCCAAAGTGCTTGGATTACAGGTGTGAGCCACCACACCTGGCCACAATCATATTCTCAAAGAGATGCAAGAAACATATTCCAGCCATTTAACAACTTGCAGGATGCTAGTTTTAAAAAGAGAGGATAATTTTTTTAAAAGGAGAAAGTTTTAAACATCGTTTAAAAGATAGAAAAAATTAGGCCTATATTCCCAGCACTTTGGGAGGCCCAGGCGGGTGGATCACGAGGTCAAGAGATCCAGACCATCCTGGTCAACATGGTGAAACCCCATCTCTATTAAAAATACAAAAATTAGCTGGGCATGGTGGCATGTGCCTGTAATCCCAGCTACTCAGGAGGCAGAGGCAGGAGAATTGCCTGAACCCAGGAGGCGGAGGTTGCGGTGAGCCGAGATCGCGCCATTGCACTCCAGCCTGGGTAACAAGAGTGAAACTCCGTCTCAAAAAAAAAAAAAGAAAAAATTAAAAGAGTAGAAGACGAAGTAAAAGAAATTTCCCTTGCTCAAAAAAAAAAAATAAGAAAGAGATGTATTGAAGAAAAATAGAAGAGCAAGAGATGGCAGTTGGGAAATCAGTCCAAGAGATCCAACATCGGATTAGTAGAAGTTTCAGAGAAAAGAAAGAAAATGGACGAGAAGATATTATCAAATTAGTAACAGGAAAAAAAAATCCGAGGACATGTATTTCCAGAGAAAAGGGCCCTTGTGCCCAGCAAAATTAATGAAAAAGACTCACATCATTCTAAGGCATATCACATCACTGTGAAACTTTAGCACACCGTGGATTAAAAAAAAGATCCTAAAAGTCACCAGATAGAAAAATCAGGTAACATACAAAAAACTGAGTATCAGAATGGCACTGGACTTCCTACCAGCAAAATTAGAAGCTAAAGGACAATGGAACAATTGCTTCAAAATTATGAGGAAAAAAGATGTAATATTTGGGCAAATTATTAATCAAATATGTAAAACCATTTCTGCAAAATTATGACAGCAAGAGAAATCTGACATAGCTGACTCTATCTTGCATCTAACCTCAAGCTGCCCTTGTTCATTCCTGGGCATAGGCTGAGATTTTGAGAGCAATTTTGTTCATAGTTTAACTTAAAGCAAGGATGATAATAACCCTTCCCAAAACTAACCCCACACCCTCCAATTTGGTACCCAAACTATCTTTGAAAAACTAATGAAAGGCCAAAAGGTGAGTATTAAGAATTATGAATTCATATGATGAATTATGCTAAGATGTATAGGCATAGTTAAATGATAATCAGCCATTGTTCTGGAGGTCACAAGATTTGTAACTTCCCTGGTTATTGCTATAGATAACATCACTACTGTAGAACCTAAGATTGGTCTTTCGAGACATCTTTCCAGACTTTTCCATTGCTGGAGCTGACTCACTCCACCTGGATCCACAACCAGTGACTCAACCAGTCTTGTGGCCCTCACCCACAGGCTGACTTAGCATCTGAGGACCACATTCCTGTAATTTCATCCCCAACTAATCAGCAGCACCCATTCCCTATCCCCCTGCCCACCAAATTCAGCCTCTGAATTTTCAGGGAGATTGATTTGAGTGATAAACTCCCATCTGCTGCTTAGCTGTCTGTATGTTTATTCAGCTCTATTCTATTGCAATACAGCAGTCTCGGTAAAGCAGCTCCACCTGCACAGCAAGCCAGCAAGAAGAACCCACCAAGCGATCACATATGTGGAAGTTACTGGACAATGTGTTCCCCCAAAACCAGGAGTAAACCAAGAAACCAAGGATACAGAAGATGAAAAAAAAATCAACAACAAGCAAACAGGAATGGAAAAGAGAAGAAAGATGAAGGGAATTCTATTTAAAAAAATTTTGTGTGTGTGTATTGTTTTTTGATAGCAGTTCACACTGCAGATGAAGGGAATTCTTAAGAAGACTGGGAAGTCCCAGGATGATGGCAGTACACTGGGTTAAAGCAGGAAGGGTGATGGAGGCAAATGCTCATTGAAAAAATAAAAATAAAAAGGATGAGCCGGGCACAGTCGTGCATGCCTGTAATCCCAGCACTGCGGGAAGCCAAGGCGGGCGGATTATGAGGTCAAGAGATTGAGACCATCTGGCCAATATGGTGAAACCCCGACTCTACTAAAAATACAAAAATTAGCTGGGCATGGTGGCGTATACCTATAGTCTCAGCTACTTGGGAGGCTGAGGCAGGAGAATTGCTTGAACCCAAGAGGCAGAGGTTGCAGTGAGCCAAGATTGTGCCACTGCACTCCAGCCTGGTGACAGAGTAAAACTCTATCTAAAAAAAAAAAAAAAAAAGAATGGCTGGGCTTAGTGGCTTGTGTCTGTAGTGCCAGCTACTTGGGAAGCTGAGGCAGGTGGATCACGTGATCCCAGGAGATCAAGGCTGAAGTGAGCTGTGATCATGTCACTGCACTCCAGCCTGGGCAAGAGAGCAAGACCCTGCCTTAAAAAAAAACGTAGTTGGTCAATGGACTTACTTAGTCACTTTATAAAAGAAGATACATGAATAGCCAAGCATATAAAAACATACTTAATATCAGTAATCCCCAGGAAAGTGCAAATTAAAACTACAGTATGATACCAGTACACATCCCTGAGAATGGCTAACATTGAAAGGACTAACCATCCTTCCCAAGTATTGGAAAGTATGTGAAACAACAGGGCTCTCATACATTGCTAGCGAGAGTATTATCCAACTGCTTTAGAAAAATGCTTGACATTTTCTCTTAAAGTTAAACATAACCACAACCTACAATCCAAAGATTTCATTCCTAGATATACATCCAAGAGAAATGAGGGCATATATCCCCTCCAAAAAAAAAAAAAAATTGTACAAGAATATTCATAGCAAGCCAGGCACGGTGGCTCACGCCTGTTATCTCAACACTTTGGGAGGCCAAGACAGGCGAATCACTTGAAATCAGGAGTTTGAGTCTAGCCTGGCCAGCACGGTGAAACCCCATCTCTACTAAAAATACAAAAATTAGCCAGATGTGGTGGTGCACACCTGTAATCCCAGCTACTCAGGAGGCTGAAGTAGGAGAATCCCTTGAGCCTAGGAGGTGGTGGTTGCAGTGAGCAGAGATTGCACCACTATACTCCAGCCTCAGCGACACAGCAAGACTGTCTCGAAAGAAAAAAATACATACATATTCATAGTATCTTAGTCATAATAGCCCCAAAACTGGAAGCAATATAAATGTCCAGCAACAGGAGAAGGGATTTTAAAATTGTAATAAATTTGTTCAATGTGATTAATAAAAAGGAATGAACTACCAAATGAATTGTGTACAAAAATATACATAAATCTTTTTAAAAAACATTATGTTAGGAGAAAGAGGCAAGACGCAAAAGAGTACACACTGTATTGTTCCATTCATACGAAGTTTAAGAACAGACAAAACTAATTTGTGGTACTAGAAGTCACAATTGTGGTTCTCTGTGTGGATATTGACTGGAAAAGTTCATGAAAGAACTTTCTAGGGTTCTTTCATGCACAGAAATACTGTATATCCTGATCTGGGTGCTGATCACACGGGATATAAACATGTAAAATGTCTATCAGCATAACTGTAAGCTCTGTGAATTTTACTGTGTAAATTAACCCTCAAGAAAATATTAGTAAAAAACAAAGTAGTGTAAACCTTTTTTTTTTTTTTTTTGAGCTAGGGTCTTGTTCTGTTGCCTAGGCTGGGGAGTGCAAAGGCACTATCATAGCTCAGTGCAGCCTCTACCTCCTGAGCTCAAGTAATCCTCCTACCTTGGACTCCCATGTAGCTGGGACCACAGGCACATGCGATGAACCCAGCTAATTTGGTTTTTTATTTTTTGTAGAGACGGGTCTCATTATGTTGCCCAGGCTGGCCAACTCCTGGGTCCAGCGGATCCTCCCAAAGTGCTGGAATTACGGGTGTACAGCCACCATGCTTGGCTAAACAATTTTTTTTTAAACGTAGAAGCAGAAGAGGACTGTGTACCCAGCCTGAGCCTGCCATTCTTCCTCCCCTGTGCCCCCCAAAAGAAATCATGGAAGCAAGTGCCAGAAAAAAACTGTCAAAAGAGTTTAAAGTTGTTGCCACTCTTTTCCACACCAAACCTTTTAATACTATTTGACTTTTCATGTATTTGATATTAAAAATTCAAAATAATTTTTAAAAAATTACTTCCCGTCAAATAGCCAGGAGGAAATGCCGTTGTCTGACACAGTAATTGTTCAGCAATGATTTATGATACGAAGGGAAGGAAGGAGGGAGGGAAAAAGGAAGGAGGACAGGCCCTGTTGCAGGTGTGATGTTTTGGTGGTAGACTACTGATGAAGGGTCTGTTTATAGAAGATTCCACATCATTGGCTAAACAGTCCTGCCTTCTCCACCAGCCTCATTCCTTCTCCAACTCCCACCATAGCACTACATTGCTAAGTGTCATGGACACTCACAATCAAGGTGGTAGTCACTGGCCAAGGGCTGGTGAGTCCCTTTACTTCTATAGGCTTTAGTTCATCTGAAAAGGAAACCAGGAACTAGGTGGCCTCATGGGTCCACTGAATCTAAACTGTAAGGATTCTTGCCTTAGGGTTCAAAGCTCTGGTACATCCCGTTCTTTAAACTATCAGCCTGCATTCCCCTTGGAACTTACCAGCTAAGGAGGTTTCACATAAAACGTTTTCCAAGGAGCTGTGTCTACCCTGGCTGGCCTCCTTGAGTTTATCCGGGTGGTCTTTGGTGACGTATTCTTCACCCCATTCTTTACCATCCTTAGGCTGCCTCCACATGCCAGATGGGAGATGGCCTTTGGGCTGGATCTCAGCCGAGAGGCAAGACTTGAGGTTTTCTTCTGCTTCTGGAGTTGTTGGGTTCACTCCTGGTGTTGCAGGGGAAGGCAGGGGGAAACAAACCTGCTATCAAAATCCTTTTTAAAATTATGTTTGTTACTTTTTTTTTTTTTTTGAGACGAAGTTTCACATTTGTTGTCCAGGCTGGAGTGCAATGGCGTGATCTTGGCTCACTGCAACCTCTGCCTCCCAGGTTCAAGTGATTCTCCTATCTCAGTCACCCAAGTAGCTGAGATTACAGTCATGTGCAACCACACCCAGCTAATTTCTTTGTTTTTAGCAGAGCCAAGGTTTTACTAAAACTCAGCTAATTTCTGTATTTTTAGTAGAGCTGAGAGGTTTTTTGGCCAGGCTGTTTTGAACTCCTGACCTCAGGTGATCCACCTGCCTCAGCCTCTCAAAGTGCTGGGATTACAGGCGTGAGCCACCACACCCAGCCTTGTTACTCTATTTTTTTTTTTTTAAATGGAGTTTCGCTCTTGTTGCCCAGGCTGGAGTGCGATGGCATAATATTGGCTCACTGCAACCTCTACCTCCCAGGTTCTAGCAATTCTCCTGCCTCAGCCTCCCAAGTAGCTGGGATTACAGGCATGCGCCACCACATCTGGCTAATTTTGTATTTTTAGTAAAGATGAGGTTTCTCCATGTTGATCAGGCTGATCTTGAACTCATGACCTCAGGTGATCCACCCACCTTGGCCTCCCAAAGTGCTGGGATTACAGGCGTGAGCCACCACACCCAGCCTTGGTTACTAACTCTTAATGAATCTGTCTCTGTTTGGGTACAACTATCCTTTGAGGATTAAATATACCAATTAAGGATCAAAAGTGTCCGCAGCTGCATGGGGTCCCCTCTGTTTCTGGTTTATACATCCTCTATGCTTTATACATAGTCTTTACTAAATAAGGAGTTTTGAAAAATGAATTGATCAAATAGTATAGCTAATTTATAGTAATATGTATTGACTCCTTATATCTGCTTTCAGGTGAGCACACCAGGCACTGGAGCACTCCTGGGAAGAGAATACAGAAAGACGAGGAGGAAGGGTGCCAAAAACAATGTCTTCTTCGGCCATTTTCTCCTTGACCCTAATGCTAGAAAGGAAGGAGAAAGGGAAGATGAGATAATTTATAAAATTCCGCCAAATTGTCAGTTAAGTAAATTAAATAAATCCTTTTAAAATTTTGTTGTCTATTCTCTTTCTTTTATATTATTTAGTCTTTTCTTTATTACCTGCACTATACAGATGTAAAAGTAAATAACTTTTGAATTAAACTATACAGCGTGTGATCCACGGAAAATTTATGTCATGCCACATTTACCTGAAGTTTTTGGCAAGTGTGAATTGATTAGTCATTGAAATAAACCAGAAAGAAGGAAGCATACTGGTTTTGTCTCAAGCTTTCCTAGCCCTTCTTTCTCCTTGGGTTTAAACGAGTCACCTACCTGCTCTAGTACACATCTTAGAATCTTCATAACTTCGTAACTTTCTCTTTTGTAAGTTCTTTCATGCCTGGTTTGAAACTGAGGAAGTGGAAGCAGAGAAGGTGGAAGAGGGAAAGAATGGAATTGATGGAAAAAAAGAAAACTAAGAGAAAAGCCACTTACCAGGACCCATCATTCCCTTCACATTACTGTCTCCTACATGAACAGATCTGGACTCTTGGGCTGCAGAGAAAGGAAAGCATTCATTCAGCGTTCATTCTACTAACACGGACTAAGCACCTCCCATGAGCCAGGCATTCGGGCAGACTCGGAGATTCTACAGTTTTGTGGGGGAGGCAGAGCAGTGAAAAAAGAAGAAAAGAAATTACAGTATAGTATGGCAAGTGCTATTTTCGGAGCAGTAAAAAGATACAAGAGCGGTACTTACCCAAGGATTACAGTAAGAAATAAATAAGTTAGATTTGTAAACTGCTTGAAGTACTACCTGGCATCTTGTAAGAGTTAAATAGTTGTTTAACTGTAATGGTGGTGGCAGTGGTATGATGGTAATAATAAAAAGAGACAGAAAGAAAAAAAAAAAGACAGAATGATACATGTTAAAATGTAAAATGATACATGTTAAAATGTAAGCCAGCCTGGGCAACAAGACAAAAACCCCCCCTCACCCCCAGCTCCAAACCACAGAAATTAGTGGGGCATGGTGGTGTGCGCCTGTGGTCCCAGCTACTTGGGAGACTAAAATAGGAAGATCGCTCGAGCCCAAGAGGTTGAGGCTGCAGTGAGCCAAGATTGTGCCACTACACTCCAGCCTGGGTGACAGAGCAAGACCCTGTCTCCAAAAAAAGAGAGTAAACCGATCACTTCTCTGGTTAGCCCTCCAATAGCGTCCCATTTCAGTGTCAGAGCCAAAGCCCTTATAATGATCACAGAGCGCTAGAACATCTGCTCCCAACCCATGCCTGCTGTTTTCCTTTTTTTGTTTTTTTAACTGTACCTCCTGTTTTCTCCCTGGTTCAATCTGCTTTTTAGCCCTGCTGTTCTTCTTGGTCTTCCTTGAACATGTCAGTCATATTCTCACAGGACCCCGGCACTGGCTGTTCCCTCTCTTCCTTCCCCTCAGTGCCCATAAGTGAACTTTCTCACTTCCTTCCGGTCTTTGTCTGGCACCCTATTTAAAATTACAATTCCTCTTTACTTATTTTATTCATTAACTTGTCACTCTCTAACATACTACATATCTTACTTATCTTGCTCATTGTCTGCTTGCCTCAGAGGAAAGGCTCCATGAAAGCAGGAATTTTTGTTGTTTTGTTCATTCCTATATCTTACCACCTAAAACAGCGCCCGGGATGGAGGGAGGGAGAGAAGCAGGAGGGATAGAGAGAGGGAAAACGTCAGGGTGGCTTTAATGCAGAGAGAAGTCAAGGGTAACAAAATACAAGTCTGAAGAGAAAAGCAGAGGCAATTTAAAACATGGCCACATAAACTGTGTTAAGGAACTTGGACTTTATTCTGAGAGTCATGAGGAATCAAAGAGAATCTAAGAAGGAGTGTCCAGATAGTAGGTGGAAAATCAAAGAAGAACAGTGTCAGCCAAAAGAAGAGCATGTTTCAAGAAGGCAGGCATCGGCCAGGCACGGTGGCTCACACCTGTAATCCCAGCACTTTGGGAAGCCAAGGCGGGTGGATCACGAGGTCAAGAGATCGAGACCATCCTGGTCAACATGGTGAAACCCCGTCTCTACTAAAAATACAAAAAATTAGCTGGGCATGGTGGTGCGTGCCTGTAGTCCCAGCTACTCAGGAGGCTGAGGCAGGAGAATTGCCTGAACCCAGGAGGCAGAGGTTGCGGTGAGCCGAGCGCCATTGCACTCCAGCCTGGGTAACAAGAGCAAAACTCTGTCTCAAAAAAAAAAGAAGGCAGGCATCAAGGGTGCCAAAAACTACCAGGAAAGGTAAGGAACACATTTTAATGAAGTGGTAAGGATGAAAGCCAATGTCGAACAGGTAGAATAAACAGGAGGTAAGAAGAAGAGATGGATAGGAAGATTATATCTTTCAAAAAATTAGTTTTCCATTTTCTCAAGCAAGAATATGTCAGGAGTGGGGAGGCGGAACATCTTCTTGAGAGTGTCTTGCATGGGGAAAGGAACCCAAAGCTAAGGTATGCTTGGGCCTGCAAAATGACATTTCCAACTGACAAGTTATACAATCATAAGACACATAAATGAAGTTATTGCATCAGGGCTCACCTAAAGTGGTTGCCTTCTCAAATGGGGAGGTCAGCTATTTGTGGTAAGCAGCCCCAGATGGCTCCAATTATCTGCACCCTTAGCATTCATGTCCTCATGTAATCCTTTCCCTCAGGTAAAGGCTGGATTTACGGATTAGCTTCTAATGAATAGAATATGGCAGAAAAGATGGACTACCACTTCTAAGATTAGGTTATGAAAAGACTGTAGGCTGGGCACGGTGACTCACACCTGTAATCCCAGCACTTTGGGAGGCTGAGGTGGGCAGATCACTTGAGGACAGGAGTTCAAGACCAGCATGGCAAAACCCTGTCTCTACTAAAAATACAAAAATTAGCCAGGTGTGGTGGCAGGTTCCTGCAATCCCAGCTACTTAGGAGACTAAGGCTGGAGAATCGTTTGAACCCAGGAGGTGGAGGTTGCAGTGAGCCAAGATTGTGCCCTTGTACTCCAGCCTGGGTGGCAAGAGTGAAACTCTGTTTCAAAACAAAACAAAACAAAAGAAACCAGCAACAACCAAAAAACCCACTGAGGCTTCTTCTATATTTGAGCATTCTTTTAGAACGCTTGCCCTGGGAGAGGCTAGCTGCCAAATTGTAAGGCAGCCACTTAGAGAGTCTCACGTTACAAAAACTGGAGCCTGCCAATAAGCATGTGAATAAGCTTGGATATAGATGCCCCTGAGTAGAGCGTTCACATGAGATGACAACCATAGCCAATGCCTTGATTACAGCCTTAACGACAGACCTTGAGCCAGAGGCACTCAGCTAAGCTGTGCACGGATTCCTGACTCAGAGAAACTGTGAACCATGAATGGTTGCTATTTTAAGCTACTGAATTTTGGGAGGATAGATGATAATTGTACTATTTTATCATTAACAGTGGATAAACCAAGACTTTCTGAATGTTTGGTTCTTGAACTCTGAGTTTTAACACAAGCTGCCAAGTATGTGCAGAATGTCTTATCATAGCACATTAATCTTACATTTCTGCAGCAACTCTGTAGAATAGACTATGACCATGTCTATGTAGGAGAAAAGGAAGGAGGGGTTGCCACTAAAGAGTTCATTTAAATCCATGTGGGCAGTGAAATCATCTGGATCAGCTGTTTTCAGTGGATTCAACACATTCTGTGATTATTTATTTCCCTGGGGACTGTTTCACATTGTCTAAACATGTACACATTTACTTTGTAAAAATAATTTTTAACCTTTTATCTTGTGAATATGTTTAGCTGCTCCAGACCTGGCATTGAACTTTTACTTTCTAAGCCTATTGTATACTATACTGTTTCCCAGCGAGGATCATCCTCTTATGCAGAGCTGTTCATGTCCTTTTTTTTTCTTTTGAGATGGAGTTTCGCTCTTGTTACCCAGAATGGAGTGCAATGGCGCAATCTCGGCTCACCGCAACCTCCGCCTCCTGGGTTCAGGCAGTTCTCCTGCCTCAGCCTCCTGAGTAACTGGGACTACAGGCGTGCGCCACCATGCCCGGCTAATATTTCGAATTTTTAGTAGAGACGGGTTTCACCTTGTTGACCAGGATGGTCTCGATCTCTTGACCTCGTGATCCACCCGCCTCGGCCTCCCAAAGTGCTGGGATTACAGGTGTGAGCCACCGCGCCCGGCCGTTCATGTCCTAAAGGAAAGAAAATAGAGCCACCTGCAATGAACCCAGTCCCCAGATGGATCAAGTGAGTTTTCCCAGGTTGCACCTATTAGTCTCTCAATGAATTTCTCAAATAGGTAAAAGATAAAAATAAAAATAAAAAGGCAGGCTGGGCGCAGTGGCTCACAAATGTAATCCCAGCACTTTGGGAGGCTGCGGTCGGCAGATCACGAGGTCAAGAGTTTGAGACCAGACTGGTCAACATAGTGTGAAACCCTGTCTCTACTAAAAATGCAAAAAAGTAGCCCCGCGTGGTGGCAGGTGCCTGTAATCACAGCTACTCCTGTCTCAACAGGAGAATCGCTTGAACCTGGGAGGCAGAGTTTGCAGTGAGCTGAGATGCCACCATTGCACTCCAGCCTAGGCAACAGTGTGACTCCAACTCAAAAAAAGACTTATTGGCCGGGCGCGGTGGTTCACGCCTGTAATCACAGCACTTTGGGAGGCTGAGGCGGGTGGATCACGAGGTCAACAGATCGAGACCATCCTGGTCAACATGGTGAAACCCCGTCTCTACTAAAAATACAAAAAAATTAGCTGGGCATGGTGGCGCATGCCTGTAATTCCAGCTACTCAGGAGGCTGAGGCAGGAAAATTGCCTGAACCCAGGAGGCAGAGGTTGCAGTGAGCTGAGATCCCGCCATTGCACTCCAGCCTGGGTAACAAGAGTGAAACTCCATCTCAAAAAAAAAAAAAAAAGACTTATTAGAGTAAGTGATTTTTTTGTAATATTTCTCTCTTATGGGTTAGCATAATATTGATTGTACAATAAATTATTTTAATTCAATTGAAATTTAGAAGTATCCAGATTAGTATTCTCCGCCACTAAAAAAAAATATTTAAAATTGGGCAAACTCTTGTGGCCTCTTAGATCCTCTGGATTCTCCTAAATTCCAGTTACAAAAGGAAAAATTCCAGGCAATACACCGTTTTCCTCTAACAAAGATGAAGGGGTTAAACCCATTCTTAAGCCCTAGGAATCAGGAGAAAAATACTTGATTAATTCACTATGATTTGTGAACTGTACCTTTTTCATAGGCCTGAGAAGGCAAAAGGTTGGTAAAGTCTTCGCTTGGAAGAACAGGCTCAGGGATATTGATTGAACGAAAAGGACTTCCTTGTGCTTGTGCAGGCCCGGCCTGTGAGCTGTGTTCTTCTTTCTGAGTTTTCCTAGGAAAGAGAAATAAAGACAAGTCTATTCTGGTTCTTAATATCTGATCGATTAGGAGAAGATTCAGTTCAGACTAACTCAAGAAAATGTCTGAATTATTAGGTTGGACCACATAAATTGCTATTTTTGAAAATTAAAAGTGGTCAAATATTAGCAATCCATATCTTTCAACTTAATTCATCACCTCAGTTGGAGAAAAAAACTTCGAATATTTACAAATCACCTTTCTAATTATAATACCCACATTCTTATTTTTTTGTTACTGGCTTCCTTATCATCAGGATCTTCAGAGTTTGCAATGGTGACAATTTGCTTGCGATGATTTACATTCACTCAGAAGTACCAGAAAGCAGCAGGTCCTCTCCTGAAAACAACCTATTCTTCAGGGTCACACACATATTATTCCTACAATTCTATTTTCAATTTGTTAATATTAAAAACACATAAGTAGGTTGAGCACGCCTGTAATCCCACCACTTTGGGAGGCCACACCAGGAGGATCACTTGAGTCCAGGAGTCCAAGACCAGCCTGGGAAAACATAGGGAGACCCCATTTCTACAATTTTTTTAAAAAATTAGCTAGCATGGTGGCCACACCTATAGTTCCAGCTACTCAGGAGATTGAGGTGGGAGAATCATTTGAGCCCAGGAGTTCAAGGCTACAGTGAACTGTGATCATACTACTATACTCCAGCATGGGCAACAGAGCAAGACTCTGTCTCAAAAAAAAAAAAAAAGAAAGAAGGAAAAACAAAACCACATAAGTAGCAATAAAGATTATGTATGTTTAATGGTGAAAATTTACTTGATTCAACCTGGTCCAGGCATTGTTTAGCATAAATTTATTTTCAACCCTAGAAGTAAAATAATAATTGCATTAGAGATATTTTAGAAAATTAATAAAAAAAGAAAATCACTGGTGGTGCTACTATCTTAACACAACCATCATTATTTTTAAGTATATCTTTCTAGTTGTTATTTTATATATTTTTACCCTAGTAATCAAAGCACTCATGCCATTTTATGTCACTTTCATTTTACATATCGTATTAAATGCATTTTTCTAAATAATAGGTACCACCTATCTTTGGCATTAGCCAATGTTATAATTCTATAGGCTTCATCGAATGCTGAGCTGTGAAGCACAGTGGCCAGCTAGCTAGATACCGATAGTGGGGAAGGTGTTCCAGGTGCCTCTGCAGAAGCCATTGCTTATGGGTTTGCCTTCAGTACATTTTTAAAAGACACTCACTTGGCTTTAACTTTTCGAGATTCTCTTCGCTTCTCCTGTTGAAGCTGTTCGATTTTCTGTTGCATTTCTTCTTGTTTGGAAGTGATGGCTTGGATCATTGACATGGCATTGCTCAGCTCTTCCTAAAAAATAGGAATTGCTGTGTTTTAAACTGGCACATGGGGTAAAAGTATATAACATAACCTAGCATACTCTACACTTTTAATACATGTTTATTGAATGAATGAATGAATAAAATTAAAAAAATTACTTCCATTGTGGCCTCAAATTTTAAGACAGAGCTCCAAAAAAGAAAACATGGAAGGTATTTTTCCATGATAATTATGACTGGCCCAGAGGAAAAATTCGTATATTTGGCTGCTATTGAAAAAGGCAAGTTTTCTGCTCCTATTGTTGAGACCAAAATTCTCTTGTCAGCAAGGAAATAAAAGAGGGGCCTACCTTGAAATAGTTTAATGAATTCTTCATCTCAGTAACTTTTTCTTCCATGGAACATCTGCAGCTCTTAACCTTTTCTTCCAAAGCATATTCTCCATGTTGAATTCTTGACAGTTCTTGCATTGCTTCTGTGAAACCAGTTTTGAGTTCAGAGGCTAGGGCCTGCAACTAAATAGTACATGAAAAGTTAATTCAACTTGCTGAAAATTATTAAAGTGGCACCATTGGCCCTGGGATCTTTCTTTTGCTTGAGAAGCAAGGCTTCTGAAAATCTACAGACCTCATTTACTAGTGTACTTCAGTTTGGACAACTTAAGACAAGCTTGGCCCCATTCGTCTAAGAAAAAGAGCGTCGTCTTTATATAGCACATGCTGAAGCTTGGAAAATGAGAAGAAAGCAAGCCATTAATTAAGTTTACAAGTACTTCTGCAAGCTTCTATTCTGACACCTTTGATTAAAATGAGATTTACTTGAAAAGAAACATGTATGTGAATCTTGATCCAGTAACTCTTCAAAATCTGTGAAAGAAGAAAATGGGTCATATTCTCTCTGGTTATCATAAGAAGTAAGGAAATTCAGTTCTTGTTTTCTTAAGAAATTAAAAAACAGAGTAACAACTAAGCATAACTGAGAATTTATTTGAAAGAAAAGAAGGGTTTTTTAAAAAAAATACTCTTGGATGGTATCGTGGGAAAAAGGAGGTAATGGTATTTTCAATGACGGTAGGCTTTAACTCATAAGAAAGGCACAGAAATATCTGGTAGAATATGGCAGGAGCTCAGAATGTTGTTGATGGTGATATGAGTCATCTTCAGCAGTCAGTCCTGGTCATGTAGGAGCTCACACACTGAACTTCTATTGTCAACTCCGACATCATGAAAGAAGTGTTCAATTTTGGATCAGGTAGGGTACAAATCCTGGTTCTGTCCTAAAGTACTAAGACCTTAGGCATGTTGTAGCAGTTTCCTCATCCATAAAATAGGTATGATAATATCTATTTCACAGGGCTGTCTTGAAAATTAAATGCGTAACTGTAGGTAAGCTGCCTACCACAGCACATACTTGGTACGTAGATGTTCAAGAAATGTTCATTCTTCTCCCACTTTAGGTGGCAAATCAAAAAGTTAAGCACAAACAGAAATGTGGAGAAAATGAAGCACTTCTAAAGTTCAGTTTTATTTATTGAACAAATGAAAAAACATTTTCAACAGACAGTAAGTTAATAATAACAATAAGATAATAACATTACTTCCTTGACATTTATGATCTTACACTCTGCTAGGTAGCGGAACTCTTAGCTCCACATGTCTCTTTAAAACAGAATCATTTAGAAGGCTTATTCTATAATCAACTTTTGTTGTTGTTGTGTTATTTTGTTTTGTTTTAAGACACAGTCTTGCTCTGTCATCCAGGCTGGAGTGCAGTGGAGTGATCTCGGCTCACTGCAACCTCTGCCTCCCAGGTTCAAGTGATTCTCCTGCCTCAGCCTCCCAAGTAGCTGGGATTACAGGCATGCACCAGCATGCCCAGCTAAGTTTCATATTTTTAATAGAGATTGGGTTTCACCATGTTGGCCAGCCGGGTTTCGAACCTCTGACCTCAAATGATCCACCTGCCTTGGCCTCCCAAAGTGCTGGGATTACAGGCATGAGCCACCATGCCTGGCCTCAAATATTTTTCTTTTAAAGGAATGAAAACTAAAGTCCAGATACCTTCACAAAGTTTCTTTGAATGTGTATTTCTAACATTTTAGTCATCATGGTGGATTAAATTACCAGATCAACCACTTTCTGATCTAATACTTTTTCATTATGTAAAAGTATCTTCTGTGAGCAAAATAAAAAGAAAATTGATAGCTATGTAACGTCAAATCAAAAATGTATGCAAGTTTTAAAGTTGGAAGAAGGAAAGCTGACATTCATCTTAGTGACATTCACTTAGATTTCCTGATTGGGAAAAAAAAAAAGGAACCACTATCCAACAGAAATAGGTTTCATTATCTTGCTCTCTTAGGCAGAGTTTTTTGCAGAGACCAAAAGGCAGCAGCAAACTCCTAGGAAAAGGACCTTTCCAAAGCTGGCAGAACTCCAGTTCTCAAAAAATTATCAAAATTTTCCCCTAACAGCCAGGTAACATAGGTACTCTGGGTCTTTGAAAGCTATTTTTGAGACATGTGCCCATTTCCTACCAACATATTACTCTGAGCTCCATGGGTACCTGCTACTGAAGTCTTGCTACTGCTTTGAAAACAGCTTCACAGCACTGACCAGCCAGGGAGGGAAGCCGTCAGGAGGACACACACCTGATACAACATGTCATTTTAAGATGCTGAGCGATCCTAATCTCTTCAGCCCCTACAGAGTGGTTTTCAACTACCAACCTGACTCCTTGTGAACAAGAAATACTGTGAAGACACTGTCTTAACATCTTTTCTCTGCTCTCTCTTCAGCTTTCTTTTTTGACAGCCCACAGCCCACCCCAAGGATTAGAAACGGGTGTCTACCTTGTTCTCCAGCGAGTTGAACACGTTCCTCATCTCGTTGATTTTTTCATGAAGCTTCTCTAGAGAGGTTATGATCCCTCCATCCTGCCGCTGGAGGCGGGCTCCCACTGGAGGTAGGTTCAGGGAAGACTTGTACTTCGAAGCCTACGGTACCACAGAGGGCATCTTAGGCTCAAATAAATAGGGGAGAGGAGTCCGAATTCTTCCTATTTCCTGCTCTTAATTTCTGAGTCTCAATTTTCTTTCTTTTCTTGGCTTCTTAACTCTTCTTAAGATGAATTTTAGTCAGTGTCTTCCAATTTTTTTTTTCATGAAAGATCTCTCAGGCCTCAAACTTAATTTTCATAAATTTCAACTTGTGTTTTACAGACATATCTTCCTTTTTGCCACATTACCCAGGACAGGAGGCTACCAAGAGGTAAATTAGGGGAACTGGACCTGTGCCTTGGGAAACTTGCAAAGTCATAAATGTCGATGTTTGGGAAACCTCCCAATTCCTACAATTCTATAAGAGCAAAAGCCAGGTGTTCCGCAGTGGCACATACATGATGGCAAGGAGGCCAAGGTAATTGCTTTGGTTTCCCCCTAAACCAGGGTTACTGCAGAAGCAACATGAGTTTTCTGCCAACTTCCATCTTCCAACTGTAGGGCTCTTTATTGATCCCCAGAAGTGCAATGACTTAAAATACAAAGTGAGCAGCAAGTAATTTGAATGTCGAGAGTAAACTTCCCAAATCTACTCCTCTACATTCCCTTAAAGTCATTATTCCAGGGCCTTATTGAGACTGACATGAAGCCTGGTGTGCTGGAAATTTCTCTTATTATATTACAGGCCTAGAAGAGTTAACTTCTCTGGTATCAGAAGAACGTTCCTCAATGGCAAAAAGAGACTGAGGCTCAATCAGGATTTACAAATCCTAGAAAACTTTCAATGGCAGTTTTGATGATGAAACCTATTCCTGTAGGACTGGTTCCCATAGTGTTTCAATTAGAGCTCCTTTGGCACATCACTTCTTTTAAAAATTATTTTCATTACAGAGAAAAATAAAGAAGAAAAAAGAGAATCGCCAAATAGAATCATTCTGAATTTCATCATGTCAATATTACCATTAACCCTCACAGTTCCTTCATTTTGTTCTATGCATATAAATGCAGATATTTATATGGTTGAAATCACACTGCAGATACATTGTGATTCTACCTCTCTTTTTTTTTCCTCCTAATATTCCAATAAAAATTTATAATAGCCTTCCAAATTTTTCTGAATGTCTGCTTTTGATGGCTATGTAATATTCCATCCTATGAATTTGCCAGACTTTACCTACCTATTTGCTTTTGTTGGAAATGTATGTTGCTTGTAATTTTTCAATGTTATAACTAATGCTGCAAATTATGTTTTTGTTTTAAAGTTTTGTATATATTTCTAATTACTACCTTAGAATAAATTCCTAAATATGAACTTCCTGTGGGTCAAAGATGTTAGTAGTATTTGACCCAAAGGGAAAGCTACTATATCACAGGGAGGTAATCTGTTCAACTAATTAATAACTATCCAAGTTATATTTGACCAGAGGATTTGAAAAGTTATGGTAACATGTCTGTATATTCTTGGAAATGTTACATATGATATGTAATGTCCTAAATTAGTGAATTTGGAAAAACATACCTTGAATAGTAAAATACATGAAACAATAGAAATAGAAGAAGTCACAGTGTTTACATTCCTAAGGCTACAAGTGAGCTTAAAACACAGTTGGAGCCGGGCGCGGTGGCTCACACCTGTAATCCCAGCACTTTGGGAGGCCGAGGCGGGTGAATCACGAGGTCAAGAGATCGAGACCATTTTGGTCAACATGGTGAAACTCCGTCTCTACTAAAATTACAAAAAAAATTAGCTGGGCATGGTGGTGCGTGCCTGTAATCCCAGCTACTCAGGAGGCTGAGGCAGGAGAATTGCCTGAACCCAGGAGGCAGAGGTTGTGGTGAACCGAGACTGCGCCATTGCACTCCAGTCTGGGTAACAAGAGCGAAACTCCGTCTCAAAAAAAAAAAAAAAAAACACCGTTGGAGTTCAAATCATTAGTGTGAATGTTGGGCTAGCACTAAATTGTGCAGTTACTACGTCTGTTGCCTTAATTATGGGATCCCCTTCTCATGTTAATGGGATCATAATTTGTATAATCCATATGCAAAATCAAGTAATAAAGGGTAAAGTGATACCATCTGAGTCTGGAAAAGAGATCTGATTCAACAGCTCCGAGAGGGGTATGTGCAGTGAACACAGGATAAGATGAAAAGGAAATAGGGAATAGACTTTTCTAAAAGTTTCTAACAATTACACACACTTACCAGAACTAAATATTATTATTATTTGCTATTAGTCAAAATATAATACTCCTTATTTTAATCATTGCTTCTTTGAGCTTTAACTTTTTCTTAGCTATCTATAACTTTACTTTGGTAAATTGTCTGTGTTCCTTGCTCATTTTCTACTGGGGTTTTGGAAGTTTCCATTTTTATTGGCCTTCATGAACTACTAATTTATGATTAAACTTTTGAAATATTAATGTGTCTGTTCTCACTCATAGGTAGGTGTTGAACAATGAGAACATATGGACACGGAGGGGAGCATCAAACACTGGAGTCTGTTGGGGAGGTTAGGGGAGGGACAGCAGAGGGTGGGGAGGTTGGGGAGGGCTAACATGGGGAGAAATGCCAGATTTAGGTAACAGAGGGATGGAGGCAGCAAACCATATTGCCATGTATATACCTATGCAACAATCCTGCATTATCTGCACAGGTACCTCGGAACCTAAAGTACAATAAAGTTAAGAAATACTGTTGTGTCATCCTAATTTTGTTATTTGCCTCTAAATTTGTTTAGAATATTTTTATGATGGAAATAGTTGAAATTATAATGTGGATGAACTCTTAAATCTCTTTCTTTGTGATTTCTTCCACTGCTTTTTAACTTAGAAAGACATTTCACATTTGGAGACAAATGAAATATTCACTTATTTTAAAATTTTATGGTTTGAATTTTTAATATTTAAACCTTTAATCCACTTTGGAGTTTGTTTTGATTAGAGTGTGAAGTGAGGATCTCTTCTTTTTTTCCAAAAGACCCAGACAAAATCTTCCCAGCACTGTTTGGCATAAGACTAAATGAGTGCATCAGACCTCTTGGCTCAAAGCAATATAGACATCTTGTAATATAGTCATCCATTCATTCATTCAGTTCGTATTTATTGAATATGTATTATATGCCAGGCATTGTACTTTACACTGAGAATTCAACAGAGAGCAAAATGGACTAAATTCCTGCCATTAGAGCTTACATTCTATATGAGGAGACAGAAAAAAAAAAAATCAGGTAATATATACGATAATGTCAGATAGGGATGGGATCTATCCAGAAAATAAAGTGAGGTAGAGAATGACCAAAATTTCATATTTTGCTTCAGGTGCCTTCCCTTCTACTATAGGTTTTATTCTGTTATGGTTAACTCCTCCCCAGTTCCCTCCTTCCTCTTTCTCTTCTTCTTTCTTTACTTCTCCTCTTTCTTCTTCTTCTTTTGGTTAAATGTTGCTTGGAGTAAACAGACTGGGGCTTAGGAAGTGTTCTTTTAAAACAAGGATGGGGTTATGATAGCATCACAGAGGTCATAGAGACCAACTTCACTTCCATCGCTTTGTGTGATCCACTGTGAACAGTTGTACTAGGATTTGTAACACAATAAGATAATGAGGCCACCCCCACTGCAGCTATATTTAGCCAACATTCAGGGAGTGACCTACATAAAATCTGTAATAGACTTTAAATCATACCTGACTTTAAAGAGGTACTCACACTCATTCAAATGTCATACACAGGTCAGATAAGAACAGAGGGGAGGTGGGCAAGGAAAGCATCTGGAGGACTTGGACCAGTGAGGCATCAAATCATTGCTGAGTGAAAACCCGTTTTTGCTTCTAGGCCTTTGTTCAAGCTAGTCCCCTGCCCCAAACAACCTTACCTATACCTACTTGTCAAATGATCAACTTGTCCTTAAGTACCTAGCTCAAATCCTCCAGTCAATACTAATTCATCCCTTCCCCACAGAATTTTATCAATGCCTCTGTTACAATCCTTTCAACATCTTACCTTGTAAGAGCTATTCTTTTTTTTTTGAGATGGAGTCTTACACTGTCACCCAGGCTGGAGTGCAAAGGCGCAATCTCGGCTCACTGCAACCTCTGTCTCCTGTCTTCAAGTGATTCTCCTGCCTCAGCTGACTGAGTAGCTGGGATTACAGGCGTGCACCACCACGCCTGGCTAATTTTGTGTATCTTTAGCAGAGATGGAGTTTAACCATGTTGGCCAGGCTGGTCTCAAACTCCTGACCTTGTGATCCGCCCACCTCAGCCTCCCAAAGTGCTGGGATTACAGGTATGAGCCACTATGCCCAGCCAAGAGCTATTATTCTATGTGTTCTTCAGGTTGTGGACACATAAAAATCAATGAGAATGTCTGTTTCATCTGTTTAATCTGCCACAAGGTCAAACAGTAGACTTTGCACATAGCAACTGCTCAATAAATGTGCATTCTATTGAAATGAGGCTGTTTCCTCCATTCATCCTATAGCTGGTCTGAGATAGGGGCAATACGGTTAAGTAATGTTTTCATAATCCTATGTTGGCTTGCCCTAGTTTGATCTATAGCAAAGATCTCTTACATGATAATTCTGGGAACTAGTTGTCATTTTCACTTTACTGTCATTTAAACTCAACAAATCTAAATAACATTTCCCCTAAACTATCTACTCTTCTGGACCCCTATATTTCTGCTTGAGAGAGCACTCTTTTTTCATGGTTACCAGAGCTTAAAACCTTAGAGCCAACTTTGAAAGCATCCTTTCTCCCAATCCCCCCACCAAGCTCTGTCAATGTTTCCTTCCTTTTCAGATATTCCAGACAGCACTGCCTGAAGTCTGGAGAGGAGCATGGGTTTCCCTTGCCCAAGCTGCATTTATATTACAAATTATGTCAGAATAAAGTTCCATGATTTTTAAGAACAGAAATGTACTTTAAATTTATGGTTGGGAGACAGAAGCCAAGTAAATACTACGTAGAGGATCAAAGCAATCTCATATGACTCTTATTGCAAAGATGTTTTGCAGAACTTTTATCTTCCTTGTAAAGTAAATTGTTCCCATTGTTTAAAAAGAGCATGAAAATTTTTCCTATACATATATTTGAACATTTGCAATGTTAACCCCCTTTTCATTCTCAATTCTCCCTGCTGACATAGAAAGTAAGAAAAACAGATCTTTCCCTCTCCTCTCTGATAGACATGTCACCTGGCAGTGTAACAGCCATGGCGATGGGGGCAGCCGGCAAGAGAAGCAGGGTGGAGGTGGGAGTGATAGTGCTGCGTTTTATAAATGAGATAACTTGTCTTTCTTTTTTTCTTTTTTTTGAGATGGAGTCTTGCTTTGTTGCCCAGGCTGAAGTGCCGTGGTGCGATCTCGGCTCACTGCAACCTCCGCTTCCTGGGTTCAAGCGGTTATCCTGTCTCTGCCTCCTGAATAGCTGGATTACAGGTGTGCACCACCATGCCCAGCTAATTTTTGTATTTTTAGTAGAGATGGGGTTTCACCATGTTGGTCAGGCTGGTCTCAAACTCCTGACCTCATGATCCGCCCACCTTGGCCTCTCAAAGTGCTGGGATTACAGGCATGAGCCACTGCACCCAGCAAACAACTTGTCTTTCAATAATGAGTTCTCGGCCAAGCACAGTGGTGCTCCCCTATAGTCTCAGCTACTCGGGAAGCTGAGCTTGAGCCCAGGAGTTAAAGACCAGGCTGGGCAACACAGAAAGACCCTGTCTCAAAAAAAAAAATCAGTTCTATCCAAAGTACGCTGTGAGTAGTGGGACCCACTGCACTGCCTGTCTCCCAGCTCTGTTAAGAGAACAAGTGCAACAATATATATGGAAGCACTTGTGAGTGCTAAAAACGTCTACGCATAAAGAATAGTCAGTCATCACTATTAGACATGGGAGCATTCCAATCGATTTGTCTTTACCTGGTATATCTGCGTGGAAGGATTATTCACCGGCATATGTTCATTCTCTCCTGCAGGGAGAAAGAGCTTTGTTCAATCAACACTACTCATTCTGTCCCTATCCCCTTCAGATATATACAGGAAATACAAGAAACCAATGATTCAAGAGGAACAAAAAAATGAGCTGATGTATGTGGTATCCATATTCACACATCCTAATCACTAAACCGTTATCTACCTGATAGACTCTGGCAAAAGAAAACCACGTTCTACTACAGTAGGGAAGTTTCTCAAGCAAACTGAATGATGTGTGATTATTAAACACTCAGAAAGGAATTTTCAGTAAGTGTCTTTCTTATGTTCTTGGGGCTGACTGAAATTGACCTGTGGGGATGGTTCTATAGTCAAGAAGGCGGCTCTTCACCAGGCACGTATTGATCTTAGTGAGCCTGCATAAAATGTCCTCTACTTCTCCCACCTATGATCTTTGCCAGACTTCTGAACTGTGCCCTACTGTCACGGCCAAGTTCAGCTAAGGGAATCTTGCTGTCTCCTGGGCAAGATGTCTGACAGAACTGTCAATGGAAAGGTTCTGGGAAGGATGCAGACAGAAGAAAACAGTATTGTATAGTACCAGACTTCAAGAAACACAGGGCACACACAGAGGAGGTAGTAGGTTGTAGAAGACCATTCACAGGCCTGGCACAGTGGCTCACACCTGTAATCCCTTTGGGAAGCTGAGGCAGGTGAATCACCTGAGATCAGGAGTTGGAGACCAGCCTGGCCAACATGGTGAAACCCCATCTCTACTAAAAACACAAAAATTAGTCAGGCGTGGTGGTGGGCGCCCATAATCCCAGCTACTCCAAAGGCTGAATAAGGAGAATTCAAAAGGTTGAATTCAGGAGGTGGAAGTTGCAGTGAGCCGAGATCATGCCATTGCATTCCACCCTGGGCAACAAGAGTGAAACTCCGTCTCAAAAGGGAGGGGAGGGGAGGGGAGGGGAGGGGAGGGGAGGGGAGGGGAGGGGAGGGGAGGGGAGGGGAGGGGAGCGGGAGGGGAGGAGAGGGGAGCGGGAGGGGAGGGGAGGGGAGGGGAGGGAAGCGGGAGGGGAGGGGAGGGGAGCGGGAGGGGAGGAAAAGAGGTTAGCCTAGAATGTCTTTCTCAGAACCACATTGATTGGCCATAAACATGAGGCAATCCATGTAAAACATTCAGCTCATTGCTTATCCATTTAGCTACTTCTCCAGTGTGTCACAATGCATGCATTGTATGCATCAAGCAGTTTATAGAGGAAACGCCTGGTTGCAAACATTTGGTTGTGTGGATATGTATATTGTTCTCCTAAGGCATGCTGGTACAGGAAACCCCTCCAGCCTTGGTATTTAAGTTCATAAATAATATGTAACCTTAGCCCAGAATTTATACACACATAAGGCTGGCCCTACAAAATCCATTTGATTTGAGGTTACCGAAACTTCCTGCATAAGCCTGAGTAAAGATTATTCAATTTCATACTATGTCCCAACAGCCTGGTAAAATAGCAAGAATTAGGGCTTTGGAGGAAGGATCCAGATCCCAGAACTAACTTTTGTAGTTATCACCTGACTTCTCTATGACTGTTTCCTCTTCTGTAAATTGCAGATGATAAGAGAATCTACTTTTATACAGTTGTTTCTATACGGTAATGATTCAAAGAGAAAGCACTTATGCTTCTAGGCTAGTTTAGAAGGTGATAGATGTCCAGTAGTTGAATCTGTGTCTTGGCCTCACCCAGCTTGTTGTTCTGAGAGAGTCCTAAAGTTATTGCTAAGAAAAACAAGATAACAATCCAGAACAAATTCTAATAGCATTTCTTCTTTTTTCAGCACCCAGTCTATAGTCTTCATAGTCATTATATCATGACAGGGAAACGAAAATGGTTGACATATTGTCATGTCTCGAGATAGTGGTAAGACAACACAAAAACCTACTTGAATACTAAGCCCTAAAGCAAGACACAGGAAAAATCTGACCTTGCTTTGTTTTGGTTTTTTCCATAGTGCCGGTTACTTCTCTTCTCCCACTTATTCTTCAACATTGCATCCTCATCGTCCTGGCTTAGGCCACCTCCTCTTCCCTGCACCTGTCAATTCAAATCAAGAGGAAGAGATAACAGGTTGAACTGTCAAAGAAACTGAACTTACTTCATGTATTAACTTTAAAAAATTGAAATGAACACAGCCTGAGGCACATGCAATTTCAGAAGAGGAAAAAATATTAAGTTGAGTAAACATTTAGCATCAAGATAAATATCATTTTGTGAATACATATAAAATCCATTATTCAAACTTAGGGTAGTTTTTCAATATGCTACATTCTTTTTTGGATCAAATCAATTAAAACCTAATGGTTTTATTAGCAAGTCATAGTTTAAGGAAATTTTCTTTGCTTTTTTTTTCAAACAGGGTCTTGCTCTGTCACCCAGGATAGGGTGCAGTGATGCAATCACTGCAGCCTTGACCTCCTGGGTCAAGCCTTCCACCTTAGCCTCCCAAATAGCTGGAACCACAGGCACATGCCCCCACAGTTGTGTGTATATATATATATATATGTAAATATATACATTTTGTAGAGATGGGGTCTCCCTATGTTGCCTAGGCTCAAGTGATAATCTGATTTTAGCCTTCCAAAGTGCTGGGATTACAGGTGCGAGCCACCACACCCAGACCCAAGGAAATTATCTTAAGGAGAAAAAACTTGAGCAGATATGAAGGCTAATGTATCTGTTTCTATTCCATTAAACAGTACGTTTCTTGATAGCCTTGTCCCCACTTTTGGCACCTGGTAGACTCCTTTGCATCCATGAAATGCTAATCAAATGTGCCCTTAGACATGAAGCTGCAAGGTCAGAATGCAATCCAACACACATTCAGAGTTGTGGATACTGGTCCTCTTTTTAGCCATCCAGCATTTTGACCCTTTCCTAAGTTTGAAGAATTCTCCTGCCTTATGAGGCTTGATCAGATGCCTCCCATTTTAGAGGCTGAAAGCGCCAGGTTCTTCTAGCCTCCCTTGCAGCTAAGGCATGATAGATACATGACCTAGGACATACCACTCAGATGCACCTACCCCAATTAACACTGGCCGTTGCAAAAATAATTCCTAAGGCAGATACTTGATATTCTTTCTACTTTCTAGGACAGCAGTGGCAGTGAGGGTAGTGGTGGTGACCAGTATCTGTTACAAACATATTAGGAAATTAAAGGTGCTGTTTTCAGTGCTTTCCCCACTAGCACAGTTGTACTGTGTGATTTAGGCATTGCTGCTGACCATAGAACCCCAAACTTGGTTCTCCAGCCTCCCAGCAAGGACATGAGCTATCCATCTCCTTTCAACAAATTCATTTGCTGCTTAAATCAGCCAGTTTGTTTTCTTTTGCTTATAACTAAGAAACCTGATTGAAACAACACAAACATCTGAACACTATCGAAGATTAAGAAAACACAACTTTAAACTTTGTTCATCACTCTAGAATAGACAAATCTAATCAATACTGACAAAATGCAGATCAACAGTTGCCTAGAGCAGAAGGTGGAGGGATAACTGGGAAGAGGCATAGGGATCTTTCTTTCTTTCTTTCTTTCTTTCTTTCTTTCTTTCTTTCTTTCTTTCTTTCTTTCTTTCTTTCTTTCTTCTTTCTTTCTTTCCTTTCTTTCTTCTTTCTTTCTTTCTTCTCTCTCTCTCTCTCTCTCTCTCCCTCCCTCCCTCCCTCCCTCTCTCTCTCTCTCTCTCTCTCTTAGACAAGGTCTCACTCTGATGCCCAGGCTACAGTGCAGACGCTTATGATGGCTCACTGTAGCCTTGAACTCCTGGGCTCAAGTGATCCTCCCATCTCAGCCTCCTGAATAGCTAGGACTACAGGTGGATGCCACTATGTCTGGCAGATTTTTTTATTTTTGTAGAGTCAGGGGACTCACTATGTTACCGAGGCTGGTCTTGAACTCCAGGGCTCAAGCGAATCCCCTTCCTCGGCCTCCCAAAGTGCTGAGATTGTAGTCATAAGCCACTATGCCTGGCTGCACAGGAAACTTTTTAGGATAATAGAAATGTTCTACTGCTTAATTGTGTTAGTGGTATATGGGTGCACTAATTTGTCAAAACTCACTGAACGTATATTCTATAATTGGGTACATTTTATCTTACATAAATTATACCTGAAGATAGTTGATTTAAGACTTTATTATGGGCCGAGTGTGGTGGCTCATGCCTGTAATTCCAGCACTTTGGGAGGCTGAGGTATATGGATCACTTGAGGTCAGGAGTTGGAAACCAGCCTTGCCAACATGGTGAAACCCAGTATCTACTAAAAACACAAAAAATAGCTGGACATGGTGGCAGGTGTCTGTAATCCCAGCTACTGGGGAGGCTGAGGCAGGAGAATTGCTTGAACCTGGGAGGTAGAAGTTGCAGTGAGCCAAGATCATACCACTGCACTCCAGCCTGGGTGACATAGCGAGACTCTGTCTCAAAAAAAAAAAGGGCAGGGAACAGTGGCTTATGCCTGTAATCCCAGCACTTTGGGAGGCTGAGGTGGGCAGATTACCTGAGGTCGCAAGTTCAAGACCAGCCTGATCAACATGAAGAAACCCCATATCTACTAAAAATACAAAATTAGCCAGGTGTGGTACCACATGCCTGTAATCCCAGCTACTCAGGAGGCTGAAACAGGAGAATCGCTTGAACCCAGGAGGCAGAGGTTGCAGTGAGCCGAGATGATGCCATTGCACTCCAGCCTGGGCAACAAGAACAAAATTCCATCTCAAAAACAAACAAAAAATAACAACAAAAAAAACACTTCACTATAAAATATGGAATGTGTCCAAACCAAAAAATAATAAGTTGGCAGGGTGGGAAGATACACACTGGTAAAAAGCTATTGGAGAACAGCTACATAGTTATAAATAAGGAATATAAAGAAAGGCCCAAAGTCAAGGCCATATGCTGTTTAAACTCTTGCACATTTTTAATGTAAGCACGAAAGTTATGCCAAGGTAGGGCATCTTTCATAACTATCTTGAATCTTTTTTCACAGCCAATATAAACATTACTAAAATGAAGACTTTCTCCTCCTTAGCAATTGTTAATTTGCTTGATATCTAATCCATTCTAGGATGAATATAATTAAATCACAGAATGTTACAGCCAGAGCCCTGAGAAAATTATTCTCTCCAACTTATTCATTTATAAAAGAAGCAAATGAGACCTGAGGAGGGGAAGAGAAGTGGCCCACCCAAAGCCACACAGCTTTAAAAATGGTCTTTAAAAGTGATTTCTGTTACTATTTTGGGGAAAAAATATCTTTAAATATGCAAAGCCATGTCTTTATGGGATTTTTGTGGGTGATTTTTCCTGGCGATTTAGTCATTAATCTGTAACTAATTGAAAACAAAAAATCCATATATCATAGGTAAAATGAAAACTTATGTATTTTCTAAGCTAGAATATCCTCATACTCACGTATGTACACATGACCACTTATTTCAAGACATAATACTTTATTTTATTTTATTTTTTGTAGAAATGGAGTCTTGATCTGCCCAGGCTAGAGTGCAGTGACATGATCGTAGCTCAGTGTAACCTGGAACTCTTGGGCTTAAGGGACCCACCTGCTTCAGCCTCCCAAGTAGCTTGGATTACAGGCATATGCCACCATCCATGACTAATGTTTTACTTTTTGTAGAGACAGCGTCTCCCCATGTTGCCCAGACTGTTCTTGACCTCCTAGCCTCAAGCAATTCTTCCACTTTGTCCTCCCAAAGGGTTGAGATTATAGGCATGAGCCACCATGAGACATAATAAATGTGTGATGGATAGTAAGTTAGAAATTTTATTTAGTAAATTTCAAAAGCAACAAAACTACATTGGAGGTCAGGCATGGTGGCTCATGCTTATAATCCCAGCACTTTGGGAGGCTGAGGCAAGCAGATAGCTTGAAGCAGGAATTCCACAGCCTGGCCAACATGTTGAAACCCTGCTCTACTAAAAATATAAAAATTAGTCAGGCATGGTAGCGCACACTTGTAATCTCAGCTACTCAGGAGAATCACTTGAACCCAGGAGGCAGAGATTGCAGTGAGCCGAGATCACGCCACTTCACTCCAGCCTGGGGAACAGAGTGAAACTCCATCTAAAAACAAAAACATTACATTAGAGAAAATTTGGAAAGTATATAGGGGACAAAACAACTGTAATGCTTCTATTTAAACAACTATCCTGATCACTTGTTTGTATTGACTGTTAATATTTTTTCTCTGGAATCTTTTACATAATTATTAATGAAGCCTACCTAAAATTTTATGCCTAACTTTCCCATCTATATTATAGCATAAACATTTTACTTTCTTTTAAAAATTGGATCATGGCTGAGTGCAGTGACTCATGCCTGTAATCCCAGCATTTTGGATGGCCGAGGATGGAGGATCGCTTGAGGCCAGGAGTTCAAGATCAGCCTGGGCAACATAGCAAGATCCCATCTCTGTAAAGGAACAAGTAAAATAAACATGGGATTAAAATAAAATAAACATGGGATTAAAATAAAATAAACATGGGATTAAAGTAAAATAAACATGGGATTAAAATAAACATGTTGTACAGATAAAATAAGTGAAGAAAAACTTTTTAAAAATTAAAAAAATTGGACCATTGTTATTTAAGCTGTTTTTATTGTGGCTGTTTGAGCAGAGGGTAATCCCAACTGATGTTAATAATCTCGGGTATTCTTTCATTCTTTTTTCCATCCTCATGTAATTGCATGCAGTCATATACAGAATACACATATATGGAGTAGGATTGTCATTGTAGGTTTATATACTATACTTCTCTGCATCTTACTCTCACTTAATACATTGTGGCAATCTCTCCAAGTTAATTGGTATAGATCTAAGAAATTACTTCCTTTTTTTTTTTTTTGAAATGGAGTCTCACTGTCTTCCCAGGATAGAGTGCAGTAGTAGGATCTTGGCTTACTGGAACCTCCGTCTCCCAGTTTCAAGCGATTCTCTTGCCTTAGCCTCCAGAGTAGCTGGGATTACAGGTACATGCCACCATGCCTAGCTAATTTTTGTATTTTTCGTAGGATCAGGG